AACATTTTTGAAGATGAAATAAGCATTTTCTGAACATTTTGCACAAATCATGCCTTCTCATCACTTTTGAATAATAATGCCATCTCATTAAATTTCTACTGAGTAATCTCAGCTGTAGGCAGTTTATCTTTGACGATACCGCTGTAGCAGATGAATTTTTGATAAAGTACATTGTATTCATAATCTCGAACTGAGTATTGTCTCAATTTAAAAGATGACTCAGTATCATTCGCTATGTGTAAAACAACATAGCATCCATAGTCGGAGACATCCAGGCTAGAGACAAGCAAGAGTCGAAAATGTATGAACGATGGAAAAATAAAACGCAACACTGTAATTTTACGCATCAATTTCATTTTCGTTAATCATTTTTACATTTAAATATGTTCCATTTGTTTGTTTTTATTGTATCCAATCTATTAATAATAATTTTACGTGTAACACTTAAAATGTGATTAACCGGCAATAATAAATGACAATAATCGCTAATTCCGTGTTTAGTTTCCTAATTCATTGTGTTCGGAATCCATGTTATTTCTTCAATTTATAAATCTTGTTTGATTTATTTCATCTTAAAGTAAATTTCATGTGTATTTTACATCAAATTGATTAGAATATAGCCATATATAAAACGCATTTTATTCAGCTGTGGTTTTTTTTACCTATGAGGTGTTTTCATTGTTGTTTTTGTTCATTGAACTGATTCAATGATGGTTGTTTTATTCTCTGTATTTATTCATTCAGCGGATCAACTTTGATCAATTCTTCTTTTCAACATGTCTAAAATTGATTTTGTTCGAATACAAACATGGTCTCTTCCCGTTGCGACTGATTCAGTTTTAAAAATTTTATTCGGCTGGGTCTAAAAAAACGAGCTACTTTGAACAAGTGAGAAATATCATTCTCATCGTACCATCGAGATGTAGTACATTTAAAACCTAGTTAAATAGTCTAGTGTTGCAAGTGAGTCGAGTAGCTTTGATTTTGATAAAATGTTATTGTTTTTACATTTCTGGTCATTTTTGTTATTTGTCTAAATATCTATCGAAAGGGAGAGGCTTTCACATGCGAATTCTCATATTCAAACAAAACGAACCGAGTAAAAGGTCAGAACACAAAGAGTAATGAACTCTATTTAGATAGAATTTTGAACACAAGATTCCATTTCAAAACGAATGAGTGATATTTAATTGATTTAGAACTAAAATTTGTTGATTATTTCATATTTGATAGGGGTGTAAAGTTGTCATAAAGTGTTTTATTGTAGGATAACACTCACCAAACATTATCAAGTCTGGTCTTCAGTGAGTGTAGTAGTGATAGTGTATGGAGTTTTTGCTTTTCACCTGTGACTAAAGGCCGTCGGTGTGGTTTCAGTGCGTTTCTCATCTCATTCGTGCATACACGATGAGATTGATTGAGTGCATTGGAAAACAAGATACAATTTTTTCTCTTTGTGTGTATGTGTCGGTGCTAATGAATGAATGAAAACAAAATAGAAATATCATTTGATTTCGTGTCACATATCTGGAGCTCGATCGGAACGGAAACTAAATGCAGGAAATAAGGTGGAAACGAGGTCTCTGTATGTGTATGTGTATGTGTGTGTGTGTGTCGTGGAAGCTGATTAAATCTTATTCTCACACAACAAACGTAAAGATCGGAAAATAAATGCCTTTTTTTTCTTGAAATATACACATTCGTTCTGTTTGTAATAACTCATTTTTATTTAAATTTATTAATTGATTTAATATGTGTATACCTTCTAAACGTTTAATAATTACATAATTTGTTTTACTTATGCTTTGTTGTTGTTGTTGATTTTCATGTCGGTCCTTATATCATCTCGTAATATATGATTTTTTTTTTGTTTTGTTTTCATTCTATCGTTTGTAACTCAAATCTATTGTTTCTTTTTTTTTTAGTTTTGATAATGAGAAAAAAGAAAAGAAAGATGTGTCCTTAGAATCCTAACGAAAATACAATAATAGATTTAATAATAATAACGATTTGAATTAATGATTTTCTTTTTTGTTATGCAATCTTTCCTTTCTTTCCATTATCGTCTATTTATTTCGTCCCATGCTACGATTTTGGTATCTATTTTTTTTTCTTCTTCTTATTTTTGCTTTGTCCAAGTTGTGTCATATATATATATTGAGTGTGGCTGCGGTTGCCATTTTTTTTTTCTTCACTTATCGGTTGCCGAATTATATTTTTCATTTGTGATTTTATCATCTTGTGGTTTTCTCTCTCTTTCGCGTGTATGGTTGGTTGTTTTATACAGTTTGATATAAATAAAATAGAAACGAAAATGTGTTTTGATGATTTTTTCTTCTTCTTCTGATTGAATATTCTATATGCGCGCGTTATGTAAAATTTTATTATAATTCACGTGTTATTTGTTTGTTTGTTTTGTTAGATTTAATGTTTTTTCTTTTGTTAAATCGCGATTTTTTGTTTGTTAAATTCATATCCTATACGTGTTCTAAATGTATCCCAAGCACTTCACCATGATGTGCTTCATATGAAAATGTATATTATTTTTTCCACCCTCAGATTATTCTTCTTTTTTTTTAAGTTAGTCTAAAAGTCTATGCTACATTCAATGTGTGTGTGTGTGTTTGTGTTTTTTCATCATCATTTACATTACACTTTTCCTATGAATAAACAATAATAGTAATTATATAGGTTTCAAATTAATTTTACAGATGTTTGTTGCATGTGGTTGTGTGTGTATGTGTATGTGAGGATGTGTTCTCTAGAGCGACCACACATTCAATCGCAAAATAGATTAATAAATTCAATTTGTTTAAATCCGTATTAAATGTCTAAATTGTAATGCAATATAAAATACAAAGTTCATTTTTTTTATATCGTCGGATTTCATTTTACTTTTCTTTTTCAATAACAAAATACAGGAATTTGAGTTTCTTTGTGTTCTAGCTTCTCAATTTTAGCTCAAAGTCATCAATGAGTTCTGTTTTGTTGTCTCTTTTTGCTTTGCGATAAGACTTGTATGTTTTTTTTTTCTAATTCCATTTGTTTTTTATTTTCTATTATCCATAAGTACACACTAAACGTACACATCTGGTTTCAATTCACAATTGAAACTCATTGTCTTCACTTCGGTTATTCTATAGTGCATATACTATGCATATGCATAGACCGAACAAATTTTTTCATTTTTTTTTTTTGTGTTGGAGGCATAATTTTTTGTGATTTTTCTCTCATGTTGTTTTTTTTCTGTAACGAATGCAAAAGGAATAATTTGTTAATGATTTTCTTTAAAAATAAGTGCCGACATCAGACAATAATACATTAATTAGATAAGTTTTAATGTTTTTACGTTTCCTTTTCGCCCTATCTCTCTTATTGTTTAAAATAATTAATGCGAATCGCAAATAAAAACAACGCCCTTTTCATGTTGGTTGTTTTTGGATGATAATTAGCTGCCGTTTTTTTTTTGCTTTTTTCTTTCAATTTTCTTTTTAATGGTAGATTTACTGTGATATTACAATACGACAATAGTATACTAAATAGGTTAGGTCATTTGATCAACTGTCAACGTGTTTTATTTTTTTCTGCACAAGATCATCGTCCGTTTGTCATCACATTTACTGCAATTTCCATCTGTGTGTGTATGTGTGTCTTCTTTTCACATTGCAATGTATATCAAATCCGAATTGGTTCGCGTCGGACACAATTTTCATTTTCTACAATCAAATAATTCTAAAACTGAACTCAATTTCTCAACTGGTTTTCATGTTCTTTATAATATTGGTTTTTTTCTTTTCATTTTTTGTTTGTTAAATTTATGTACATGAACCTAAATAAAATCTAATATTGTTTTTCTTTTGTTTATCTTGAGTTCCACTTCTGATGCGTTTCACTTTGTTAATTTTTTTTTTTAAAAATGTTAGCTTCAATGAAATATATATGTTACTTATATACATAGTAATGATATATCGATAGAAATAATAAAAATAAAAAAAAAAGAAATGAGTTTTGTTTTGTTTTTGTTTGAAAGGAATTAAATAAATACACTTAAAGCGAATAGATAATAATTATATATGAGAAACAAATTAAGGCAGAACACCAATATTGGTTGCCAAAAAGCCAAACAGACTATTTTCTTTTTTTTGCTCATTTTCTTCGCTTCTGAGCTATTCGTCGATATTCAGTTTTGTGTTTTCATCGCCATCTTTTCTTTCTTTCGCCCCTTCGTATTTTCTTGTGTTTTTTTTTTGGCTTAAATTGTAAATTTGACTAAATGTGGAATTCGACGCATGTATCGTTGATTACATGCGCATACAATGCATATTAATTGGCAACAAAATACGAAATATTACTACAATTGTTCGACGAATTTGGTGAGTTGATCTTGAGGTGTCATCCCTGGCATATTATCCATACCGCCTGAAAAAATTGCAAAACAACAAATGCATTAGATTTGGTAAAATAATAACTTGAACGATTACTGATCACAGAATCGAATGGAAAATGCATTAAAAATTGTTTGGAAGCCATGACAATTACCTTGTACATTCATATTGCCACCAGGCACGTTCATGTTGTCAGTCGGCATATTTGATATTGGTGATTGATGTGGATGCATGTGCATGTCAGCGTTTCCGGGCTGCTGATTGCCACCCATTTGAGGAGCCGGCGAATGACTCGGCAGATGAGGAGACGGTTGAGCTCGCGGCGACGCTGACGGTTGGGCTCGTGGTGAGGGATTCGATTGTGGGCTACGATTTGGCGGTGGAGATCGAACCGATTGCATCAGTTGCTGTTGCATCATCGATTGTGGAGTTGGTGGGCCCATCACTCCTTGTTGATTGTGTTGCATTCTATTCATACCTGTTGCGATCAGAAATAAATCAAAATCAAAATTTGAATGGAAATGTCCACACTCTGCGGTTTGGTTTGAATCAAAGTATGCCTGGCATCAATTTGTGCCAGGAAAATGCAATTTTTCTTAATGAAATTTACTCAATTTTCATACCGAATTGTTGTTGATCATTTCCAATGTTCCCGCTGCCTGGTTGGAATTGCATTCTCATTCGTTGCGAATGTTGCGAATATGGTGGTGGGTAATTACCCTGCATTTGCATTTGCTGCTGCTGTTGCTGCTGTTGCTGTCTTTGCATCATCATCTGGTTTTTTATCCATTGCTGTACACGAAATGACAAAGAATAGATATCAAAATGTGTCCAACACAGTGCGTTTCAGTCAATTCCTATACAAGTTTACTTTCAACGGTAACCTACCTGTTGCTGTTGAGTATTCTGCCCTTGTCCTTGCATTTGATTCGCTGCGTTGCCTGGCATTTGGCCCATTTGTTGCATCGATTGCATATTTTGCATGGATTGCATCCGTGGTCCACCCATCTGGCCTGGCATTGGAGGTTGCTGCTGTTGTGGTGGCTGCTGCGAATGCTGTTGAGGACTCATCATCTGTGACATATTCCCTTGAACGTTTCCGCCAGGTGCATTTGGATTTTGATTTTGTGCCTGCTAAAAAGAGAGAATTATCATTCCAATCGTTCGAAATTCAATGCAGTTACAGCTATTGTTACAACACCAACCTGTCGCTGCTTGATAAATGCTGACATGAGCTGTGGATTGGATTTTAGGATGTTCAGAATTTGTTGCTGTTGATCAGGGTTGTTTGTGCTTTGATTTTTCAGCGTCATCATTAGCTGTTGCAATGCCTGCTTATGCCCTTGATTACCAATATTCTGTGCATTTTGGCCCATGCCTTGCATTCCCGCTCTCATGTTCATCATTTGTGGCGTTTGCTGTTGCGGTTGTTGTTGCATTTGTGGATTTTGTTGCATCATTTGAGGGTTCGGTGGACGGAGACCTTGATTGGCGTTGTTGGGGAATCGTGAATTCCAATCGTTCATTTGCATCATATTGCCACTTGGTCCAGCATTTCCAACATTTCCAACGTTTCCAACGTTTCCGACGTTGCCAACGTTTCCAACGTTTCCAACATTCATTGGGCTTTGCTGTTGATTTGCATTCACCATCGCTTGTTGGCCCTGTTGCGGCGACTGTTGTGGATTTGACTGTTCATTCATTATACACAATATTGTTAGATTTTTTAAAGCCGAACTCAATGAATTCAAATAAAAACTTCAAGATAAATCAAGGTGAAACTATTGATGTGTAACACGTTGTTAAGAATGAATCTTATTTATGATATTCCCTAGACCCTATTTTTCGAACAAAAGAGAGCCATAATTACCTGTTGTGTTTGTTGTTGTTGCTGCTGCTGCTGCTGTGGAATCATGGTGTTTTGCTGTTGCATTCCCATGTTCAGGCCGCGTTGCATGGCGGGTGGCGGTGGCATGGATCCAGCAACAGGTAGGTTCTTGCCAAAGCTTCCACATCCCTGTCTCGCCGCTTCCTCTTGCACTTCTTTCACCACTTGCAGGACATTGGCCGGAGGTGTCTGCGCGCCCGGTTTCATCGCCATTCCAGGCGGGCTGCCCAAGTTATTCATATTGCCCATATGAGGTAATGGTGATGAGACAGCCGACGCTGGACTAGCTAGGGATGTGTTACTTCCCATTGGATTGGCCGACATTTGTCCTGTATTCATGGTCGACATATTCGGTGTCGATACATTTCCTCCCATCGGATTATTCCCTGGCATTTGCATGCCGCTAGACATTTGATTGTTCATATTCATTGAACCAGCGTTCGTCATCATGTTTCCGGTATTCATCTGTAATAGACGTATTGCATTAGATAATGTGTTAGATACGAGTGTTGTGAGTGCAATTTGTGCAGCTTAACACTGGTATTACACTGATACTGTGCTGAAATGTCAGAAGAGAAAGTGAGTAGCTTACCTGTTGCGCCTGTTGTTGCATTTGGTTTCCGGCATTCATGTTGTTCATGGCACCGCCCATTTGATTATTTACATTCATCATATTGCCTGGATTCATTGGATTATTTCCACCCATCGGATTATTCATTCCGGTGCTCATCATATTGCCCGGGTTCATTTGTTGCTGATGCATTTGGTTTGCGTTGCCCATCATTGGATTCGATCCGATCATTCCGCTGTTATTCATGGTATTCATCGAAGCCATTGTGTTTGGATTACCCATCATTTGATTACCCATTTGATTGCCTTGCATCGGTGAAACGCTTAGCTTGCCCGCCTGTGATGCCATGGCATTACTCTGCATTTGCGACATCAAAGTGTTTGCTGTATTTTGACCACCACAAATGGCAGCTTGCGGCGGAATCATCGGAGCTGTTCGGGTGTTCATGAACGCAACACGACGACGAAGCAATTCGGCTTGTTGTACTCTGTTTTCGGATGAAATAGAAAATGGAAAATGGCATTTAGAAATAGTGTGTTCATAAAGGTTTTCAATTTGAAGAAACCACAAAATTCTAACGAAATGAATAAAAGCGTCGTTTTTCCATACCTTTGAGCCAGCTGCTGTTGTTTGAGCTTGTGCTTGATATTCGGACAGAACGGAACCAAACACTTGACTTCGTTGCAGTGTTTTGCGTGGTAGCAACACAAAGCGATAAGCTGTTTGCAGATCGGGCAACCGCCGTTGGTTTTCCGTTTGCAAATTTTTGTGTGTGCCACAACCTTTTTCATTTTCATGCACGAAGGTTGACGACACTGTTGCTCTTGACAGCGACAAGCATGAACCAACGACTGAATGCACCGTTGAATCGATTGCTTGCGTGCCTCTTGCGGATTGATTTGTTTCAAATCGTTTGGTGATTCTTCGTCCAAATCCAAGCCCAATTTCTCCATCTTATGGTCGTGACCGACTTTGTCTTTGCACACCGTACACAAATCGAAATCCTGAAATCGAATCCAATACGTTTCATTGTTGTTGAAAATGTTCAAAACATAATAACTTAGCTATAAATAGCAGGTTGAAAATTGGTGAAATACTCACGTCACAAACGGTACAATGGAAACGAGTTTCAACGTGGTTCTTGCAATGATTACACGTGTAAACGAATTTATCTTGACCTTGATTATGCAGCTCGTAAAGCATACACAATGTACTGTACTGAGCTCGACGTAATGAAGAAAATTCATAATGTTTATCTCTGGCAAGTGTGAGGAATGAATCTCGCCCATCCATCAGATCACAATTGATAGGTGGGTCTGGATCTTGTATTGGCTGTCAAAGCAATGGAAATCATTAGTGAAATAAATCTCTCGCACGGAATTCCCTTCGTTTCTTTCCAATTCATATTCAACTTACCGCTAAACTAGCAGCTGATTGTGCTGAGTGTAAACGGATCACAAAGAAGACTTCTTTATGTTTTTCCATGGTCGCGAATATTTTTGCGCTCAAATCGTTTCCACTCTGTTGCTCGTGTGATTTTTTATTGTTTTTCCGTTGATTTGCTTTCGATTTGTTTGATTTCTTTGCTTTCTTCTGGCCTTTCTTTTTATCTTCTTGAGGTGGATCATGATCTTCATTCAGGGAAAATATCTGCAAATGGAAAATCCATTTTTTGTTTGAATTTATAGATCGTTCGAAATATTTGCAAACTATCTATCTTTGTATGAACTTACCGCATTGGCAGCAGCCTCTTCTTCGGCTTGTTTTTTCTTCTCCTCTTCGGCTTGTTCCAATTCTTTAATGCTTTCCTCAAGGACATTCGGCCAAAAATCACCTTCGAAATACGGCAAGTCTGCGGCTGATGTGAGCTTGTCTTCCATGGCTTGCTTCAGAATGTCTTTGTAATCTTGAATGGTTCGCTCTATCATGCCCTTGTCCAGCATCTTTTTGTACCAATCCTGCAGTCGTTTTGGCTTTGGAATCTTCTGATCCGGTGGATGACAATGGAAGATATAGTCATCACCTTCAGACGGTGGACAAGCCCAAATGTGCGCCATCGTGTAACCTAATTGCTTCGCATAATCCATGTAACCAAGTAGGATCTCATGGTAAACGGCCGTACGATATTGCCTGGGCTTGAAGAAATGCACTGAATCTAAATATGCAATATAAACGCGCCTCGTGTTTGGATGCGAACATTCGGAACCGTACTCTTGTACATGCATTCCAAAGAAGCACACGTCGATGCCGTCAATCTCTTCGAATGCGAACAATGCTTTGGCACGATATGGGAATTCGGCCTTTAAGTCACCCGATTCGACGAAACGGCTGCGCATACCTGGTTTCACTTCAACAATTTTATCCGAACTGGACACGACTCGAATGTGTACTTCGCCTGCACCAGCTTCTTTCTTCTTTAAGAAATTATTTACACGCGTCTCTATGTACACACTCAATTTAGTCTGTGCCAAACGTTTCGCATTGAATTTATTCTCTTTCCTTCGTTCACCTTTCTTTCGAAGGCAATTGTCACACACAAATCCACCTGGCCAAATTGTATCCAAATGCAGCACACAGATTTGATGCTGTTTTCGGCCACACTCAAGGCAATCAACGAACGGCTCCAATTCCAAGTGGTCGTTCTTCATTTCTGTGAATTCGGACTTTTTAATTTGGCTCGACTGCATGGGATCATCGCCTAGTGTGACCATATCGCCTGGTATATCATTGAAGCACTTTTGGCAGAAGGTGTAACGATTCGTGAGCGCCATATACGAGTTACTCGTCGAGTAGCTGTAATATTTTGCGTCACGTGGAATTGTACACAGTTGCTTGCCGTAGCAACACAGTACTTGTGGATTGAACGTATATTTTCGGCCACAGCAGTAGCCAAGCTGTTGCATCACTGGATCAATGGCTTGTTCGAAAATTTCCGCAAGCTGAAATTATTGAAAGGTTCGAAAATTTTGGATTTAAAAATGTGCAAATCGTTTTATTTTTTAAATGTGGCGCCAATGGAAATTGCATTGTGTTTTCGGCGAACACATGGCAAATGGACATGAATTGAACAATTGAATGGAGACTATGTTGGCATACGTTTGATCAATGAATTAGTTCACTTACCTTTGTACAATATTTGTAAACGCGTGATGTTTTACGATTGTAAAGCCATGCATTGTCGAACATCAGCCAAACATCGTCGACATACTCCCAAGGATCGGAATATTGTCCGCTGGTCAGTTTAGTGTGGATCGTACTCAAATCCATTGGTTTGCGTACGATATCGAAATAGTCTGGTATTCCCAGTTGATTCGGATCGACCGGCTGTCTGAAGGGCATCGATTCTTCTGGCACGTAAATCTTCTCCCATGTTGGCATCAGTGCTTTCTGCAACTCTTCGGGATTGAATACTGCAAATGAGAACATTGTGTTAAAATACATTTCATTGCTTTTTTTTTTTTAAATCAAACAAAAACCAATTGATTTTTCATAAAATCGATTTAAAAAGGGAAGGGAAACAAAAAAACGAATACGTACAGCATTTCTTCTTCTTATCCTTCTCGGTCATATCTTGTTCGATTGGTTCTGGAATGGTTGATTTCTTTTCAACTTTAGGTTTTATATCAGCCGGTGACATCGGTTCGTCTTTGATTTCATCTTTGACGTCGTTCATGTCGTCGTTTTCACTATCGGCTGAATTATTGTCGCCTTGGTCCATTGCTTCCGTTTTCAATTCAGTTTTAATGTTTGACATGTCATTGTTGATATTTTTGCCGCCACAATTGCTGTTGCTATTGTTACTGTTCGTATCCATTAGATTGGCTTCTTCATCCATTTCGGATTTGATATCGTGTTCTTGTTTAATGTCACATTTTCCTTTGACGCTACTATTATCACTTGGCGATTGGGAATCTTCGTCGCGCTCTTGCGCTGCTGATTCTAAGGCAGACATTTGCGAGGGCATGCTCAGTGTACGAATTGGTGTTGCTCGATCATTTTGGTTTGGACCACCACCCAAATTCGTTTTACCCATTGACGATGTGCTATTCTGCATCGACATCACATTCGACGTGGGCGTACTGGCCGGTGTGTTCATTAAAGGCGTATTCGTGTGCGCTGGCGATGCCAATGGCGACGGGCTACTCATTTGCGGTGCATTCGGCTGTGGCGTATTCACCGGAATCGGCCCGTTTGACATATTACTCGATGGACCACGATTTGGTGATGGGCTCTGTAATATCAAATATTTCACACGTTTTTTTCGTTAGCATTCCACATTTAACGTTCAAAAGGTAGAACGAAAGACGAATAACCAAAAACAAAAAATTGAATGATTCGAAAATTCATGTGGTTCAAAAGATCATACCTGTTGTGGCAATGAAGGTGGCTGCGGCGTTGGGATCATTTGATTTTGTTGGTTTGGTGTGTGCTGTGGAGTGACAGCTTGCGGAGTGTTTTGTGATTGATTCTGCGAGTTCGGAGTCGGTGGCTGCTGCTGCATACTATTTGGTTGATTCGAATTCACTTGCTGATTGGGCGGCATTTGTGTTTGCTGAATCATTTGCTGATTTTGATCCTGGCGATAAATCAACATTGACATTTAATATGTTAGAGCCCCATTTATTATCAAACACAAAGAAAGATGATCTTTGTTTCAAAATTTTCAGATCCTTTCAAATGATAAACCAAATATCTGAATTCTTACCTGCTGCTGCTGCTGTTGCTGTTGCTGTTGCTGTTGTTGCTGCTGCTGCTGCTGCTGTTGTTGTTGTTGTTGTTGTTGGTTCTGCTGCGATAGCATGTTGGCCATTTGCTGTTGCATCTGTTGAGGGTTTCCTCTTTGCAGTGCGTTGACCATGCCTGCATTTTGAACGGGCACATTGGATTGATTGACATTGCCAGCGTTTTGCTGAATATTCGAATCGATCTGCATTTGATTTTGGAGTGTTGTCTGTTGTGACATCATTGGTGATGGTTGCATAGGCATGTTTGATCGTTGGTGCATCTGTTGTTGCAATTGCATTAAATTGTTCACATTGTTCACGCCTCCGCGCTGCAGTGCACTCACAATGCCGGAGTTCGGAACATTTGGTTGATTGATATTGGCGGTGCTCTGTTGCATGCTCGAGTCAAGGCTCGGCATTTGACTCTGCGACGTTGGCTGTGGCGGCATTATCGGTGATTGTTGCATTGGCATGCTTCGTTGCAGCGCACTCACGATGCCCGATACATTTTGCATCTGACTCATTCCACCTTGACTATTTGGCCGAATTTGCTGTTGTTGCTGGTTCGCTTGGATGCCCGTCTGCAGTGGATTGGATTGTTGCGGCGCGGTGGCCGTAGCGGAAGTGGTACCAGCTTGACTTTGTGCCATTTGTTGAGCCTGTTGCATTTGTTGTTCCTTTCGCTTCTGTCGCTTCTCCTCCAATTCTTTTTGAATTTTATAAATTTTCTCCGCCAACAGGTGATAGTATTCAGATCTCGAATTTGCCATTTCGTACATATCACCTTCGACTTTCTTGGCGTACGCAACCAAATTATGCATTCGCTTGTCGAGCATTGCTGCCGGATCAGGCGTCGGGAATATTGCTTGCACTAACTTATGAACTAAATGATTTCGAAGATCGGACGTGATTGAATTGTGCCAGTCTTTCGTGCCCGGCACATTCGATGCTTGCACTTGTGAATTCATTGGCAACGGCCCTAGAGCGCTTAACGATGCACCCGGACCGTTTGGATTATCCGTATTTCCGAACAGCACTTGAATGTTTTGCATACTCACCTGTGGAATGTTCGATATTTGTGACTGATTTTGTGACTGACCAGCTTGTTGCTGTTGCTGCTGTTGATTTTGCTGTGAATTCGCCAATTGCTGCTGCTATAAATTTGAATTTGAATCGAAAGAAAAAGGGGGACAAATCAATTTTCTAGCTCTAGAACATGTAAGTCTATCTGTTGATGTCACTCCGTGTAGAACTGTGATTCGATGACATCTTATTCATCTAAACTCATTTTGACAAATGGCGTTGAGAGTAAAATGTTTCGTACTTACCATTGGGACATTTGAATTGACTCCGGGTGAGTTTAAACCCAGCGTATTTGCCAATTGACTGACTTGACTGTTTTGTGTATTGGTGTTTCCGCTGCCGCTCACCCCACTCATATCGGGACTCATAAGCATCTGATTTGGCATGATTTGATTTGAGTTCTGTGGCTGTTGCTGTTGCTGTTGTTGATTTGGTGGCACCAGCACACGCACAACTTGGTTCATATTCGGATTATTCATGTTGGCATTGTTCATGTTCATGTTTGCGTTGCCAATGTTTGCGCTATTCATATTTGCACTGTTCATACTATTGCCGGCATTCAAATTACCTTGTACGGGCATACGGAGTTGATTATTTGGATTTCGCATGCCGGGCATTATGTTTTGATTTGTTGGCATTTGTGTGCCGCCCATTTGTGGCATTCCTTGTGCATTCGTTGACATTGTGTTTGGTGCCGCTCCCGATTGATTCATATTCAACGAATCGTAGTTGCGTCGCGCATCATTTACAGTCAATGGAATATTCAGCCCATCACCTTGCTGATTGCCCGGATTTGGCTGATTTGGAGTATTTAGATTCGGAATACTAGTTGGTGCATTTGACGTTGTGTTAACATTGGATTGTACGTTCATTGTTGGTGCATTTGTGGTACCGACATTCCCTTGAGCATTACTATTATTTCCTTTGTTCGCCTGTTTCAACGGCAAACACACCGGACAATCCGATCGATTGCAATTCTTCCAATGGCTGATAATTTGACGCGACGACGAACAATGCGGCACCGTACAATCTTTATTCGTTTTACAATTTGTCATGTGATTTAGAACTTCTTTCATGGTTTTGCAGTGCGGCAACGTACACTTGTTCGCATCCTGACCGTTTGGATTATCATTTTCGCGCTTTTGACACTTGTGCGCATGCAACAATAACACCAATTGCTGTTGGATGAGCTTCCGCTTCTCCGGATCCGTTTGCAATTGGCCGGGCATACTTTGATTCGGTTGCTGCTGAATTGTTGTTAAAGATCAAAATGTTATGTTTTAGTAATTGAAAATTGTGTGAAATGTCGAAAAACATTTCATGAATCAAACATGGGAAGTCAACTGTTTTGCTTCAATCACATTCAACTGCAAATTATGAATTAGATGTTTTCAACTTACCGGTTGTGGCCTTTGCTGTGGACCACTTGGTACACCTGCACCTTGGGACTGTTGTTGCTGATTGCCCTGTTGTGCATTCACCATCATTTGCTGGTCGTCATTCATCATGACTTGTTGATTTTGTTGCTGTGGCTGTTGGAGTGTTTGCTGTTTCAAATGGTGACAAATTCATTCAGTTAGACTTTTTCACAGTAATTTAGTTAACATAAGTTTGATTGATGTATCTCGAACAATGAATCAATGTTCATTCAATGGGATTTTCTTCCAATTTCAAATTTACTTACTGGCTGTTGGGGTGGTTGCGGCTGCATGCCAGAATTCATCATCCCTGGCTGCGAAACAGCCATCCGATTGCCTTGCAACGTCAATCTCTGTGGTCCCATTGTGTTCATCATTGGCTGATTGTTCTGCAATTGCTGCTGTGCTTGTTGCGGTCCATACATTTGCTGCTTTTGAAAATGAAAATAAATTGTTGAATGAATTTTGAAATGTACACATAGAATAGGTTATCGCTCTCGGTTCAATACTTACTTGCATATTCATTTGCGCTACATTCATCATATTACCGCCAGGACCAGCACCACCAACGTTCATTGGCGTTGGCTGTTGCTGCTGTGGAAGAGAAAAAAAAAACAAAAGATTAACGTTTCACTTCAAATACCTATGGAAATGGCCTAAAAACAAACTCAAATCCAATGCAAAATAGAAAGAAAAATCTAAATGACCATTGACTCATACCTGTTGTGATTGATTGAGAACCATTCGTTGACTGTTCATCATGAGTTGGTTAGGCATACGTGGCATACCGGGAGGCATGTGCTGTTGCTGCAAATTCATGCGAATGCCAGCCGCCATTGGGCCGTTCTGCATGGAATTCTGATGCATCGGATGATGCATACCTTGTTGGTTATTTGGTTGCATTTGATTTGGGTTCATCATCATACTGCCGCCCGAAGCCATTGATTGCTGCTTTAGACTATTAACAACGCCACCCATGCCAACATTGCCCATCGATCCCATATTACTATTGGTCATAATCATACCGCCGCCAACGCCAACACCTTGGCCACGCATTGCTTGCATCGAGCCCATCGGTTGAGTTCCATTATTTGCTATCGACATTGGCATTGCGTTCATGCCAATTGTATTTGGTAAACTCGATTGTGGTGGCGACTGTAAATTTGGGCTTTTGTTGCCTAATGGTCCCATGCCAAGCTGATTCACATTGCCATGAAGTTGATTTTTATTGCCCTGCTGTTGCTGTTGCATTATATGGTGCAACTGTTGCTGTGGATGGCCTGCAATTGAACAATTTTTGTTAAAGACACTTCTCTTTTTTCGTTGATTTCGAAGGAAATTCGAGAGAAAAGAAAGAAAAATTGTACCTGGCCGCTGGTGTTGATTCCACGTAACATTTGGAACACCCGTCGGATCATCGCCATTCATTTGCTGTTGATTGTTTCCTGGCGGTCCAGTCGATTTGTTGGCGCCAAGATTGTCAGCCCAATTGTTCCCACTGGACACGAGTTCATCTGGTAAGTTATCCTCCAGATTGAACACAAGACTTGACACATCTACATGAAACGAAAACGAAACAACAACACGAAAATTACATCTTTCACAAATGAGCGCGCCATTTTTCTACACAAATTATTACAAAGCAACGAACGGAGAGAGAGTGAGTGAGAGAGAGAGATAGCAAAGGAAAAAAAAACCAAACGAATACTGATTTGAATGTTTTGTATTGCTCATGCTTCTGAATGCACACTTGAGCAATTTGATTTTTTTTTTCGCAGACAGAAAATGGAGCCGCCATTACAATAAGCCATGTTCAGTTCATCATGTCGTCTTATTTTTGTCTGAATGTAGCGCACATATACACCGATACGGTGCCTTACGATCGATCATTTTCAGTGAATACACTAACATTAATCAATTTTATTTTCTTCTTTTTTTCGTGTTGATTAAAGCCAAAAAAATCGCACAATTTTCGTTTGCCTCTGATATTTGCGTGAAGCGCAATTTTATTTTCTTGCTATCAAATACAATTCAATTATCCAAAACAGATTCATTGAAAAAGGTCAATTTGCGTGTAAACGCAATTCAAATCTACTTTGATTCCGACGGGAAAATTTTTTCATTCAAGCAAAAAGCAGAGAGAAGCAAAAAAAAAAACTTTCTCAAAAATGAACAATAAATTTGTGGTGAAGAAAAAGAAGAAGAAGAAGCAGTCGGAGCGAAGAGAGGAATGAGAGTTGCGAAGAGAAAAAAAGTATAGAATGAACGAACTGAAAATTGACTGGTACGCAGACATCGGAAACAAGTAGCACATACATATACATGCATGTGTGCACAGACATAGCGAGACGTGTATACGCATTGAGACAGTCTTCTCGTTGTTCACCTTGTCAGTGTATTGTTTGCATTCGCATGTAGTGTGGCATTGTACACTTTCCCGTCTGTGTTGACGACGACGACCACCACCACCACCACGACATCGACTACGACATCGGATGGTGAGCGTAATGGAGACGCCTTGCTCAACTGGTTTCGAGTAAAACGTAAGATATGCACAATCTTCTCGCTCGTGTGTGTGTGCTCTTTATGGAGCAAGAGAACTACACTCACTCGCTCAGCAGTGACATGACACTCGCTCAATGAACCATCATTATTCGGATTGTGTGTTCTATTTATTTGATTTGGTTAGATGTCGAACCGAAACCAAACACACAGTTGAATCAAATCAACAGCGAGATGCGAGTATTGAATCGTAAAAAAAGCATAACAATACACCACACACATTTATTTGATGTGTGACAAGAGAGACAGAGAGAAGGCGAACGAACAGAGAAAAAAAACGACACAGTGAATACATCACAGGCCAGTGCATGAGGACGACTCTATCTCTCGTTTTGCTTTTTAGCGTGATATTTATTCTTTTTTTACACTGTTTGTGTCTACAAAAATATAGAAATGAAAGAGAGAGACACACAGAGAGAAATATGAATGTTGCGAATACAAGTATGCGAATGTTACAATGTGTGTGGATGTTGTTGTTTGTACTTTTCGTGCGTTCACCAAAATAATAAAATAAACGTCTGCTATCGTTCGACTTGTCGGGCCTTTCGGTACAGTGCCACAGTGAAAACACAAAACCGTACATATTTTACTATTTCACACCGTACAAACACGTATGTTTAGATGCAATAGATTTAATTCTTCTCCGAGTATGAATATTGCGTATGCGCATTTGCGATACGAGATTTGAGAATTTGTGTACACGGACAATGTCTATTGAGCAACTTGTCGAAAAATGTTCATTAATTCATTCGCGTTGACTTTTCTTCGTTGTTTAAATTTTCTTTTCGTCTCAATTTTTATTTTTCTGAATGCTTCGCTCTTGTTTCGATGATTCTACTTTTTTGAACAAACACTATGAGAGGGAATTTAAATGTTGATTTCACTGCACTCAATGGGTAACGAAAGAGTTACGGATTATCGAGTTTTTTTTTTGTTTTGATTCCGATGAAAAATATTGTCTAAGCACAGCTATTTCGTCCTCTCACTTTATTACAGACAATTCTCTATTCTGCGGTCGTAAGCACCATATTCCTTGCAAAGTGTCACTGATATATTTTTTTTTCCAACTTCAGAACAAAAATAAACCTTCTCTCGATGAAATGAACTGTTTGGCTTTTTTTATACACTTTTTTACAACGAATTTTTTTTCTTCTGAACTTTGTTTTTGGATTTTCTCGAACTTTTTAAAACTTTTTTTTTGATTTTTTTCGGATTTTTTTCAAAAAAGAAAAACTTTCGGTCATTTTTGAACCAATTTATTTTATTGAACTGTTTGGTTTTTTTTTTTTTATTTGAAACAAAATGTTTGCTGTGGACATTTTTCTTTTGTGTACTTACCGGAATCTTGTGCGTCCAGTGGTTCATTTCGAAGTTTAACTCGTTTCGGTGGAGGTTGATCATCCATTGTCACAATTAATTAAGGATGCGATTTTGAAGGATTAACTTTAAAACGGGACCGGAACAAAATTAAATTTTATTCTATGGTCAATTTAAACATAAACTTTACTTTAAATTAGTGTTTTAAAACTATAAGTTGATAGTTTTTGCTTTGTTTTTTCTCTTCTCTTTCGACGATGATAACTTTTGGGGCACTTTTTGTTACTTGTAATTTTGTGTTTTTAAAAAAATGTTCTTTTTTCTCTTTTTAATAAGTCTTTTTTTTTTTTTTTTTTTTAATTTATGCATAAAATTGCAACGAAATCACTTATTTTCATTTATTTATTTGATTCGAAGACAAAATGCAAACGATTTTTTTAAATTTTATTTTGTTGCGCTCTATAAAAATAAACACCATCTAGATAGGTTGCGCTGTGTATTTGATCATTTTTATGTGAATGTCTCATATCGTTGATGCTAACATGTTGTGCAAAATAATTGTATTGTTGACGTGCGATAGATTCGATTTTGCGATTTTTATGTGTATTGCATTTTGCTTGTAATGAATAAAATTCAACTGATTTGTTTTGTAGGTAGACAATATTTAGAATGGGTTTTGAAGACTTGTGTTGTTTCAATCTTGAACTTTGTTTTCATTAAACCGCTTATTTTGGTTTTTTTGTTCTCTTGTGTTTGTTGATGAGTGTGCGCGCCTTTCGGGAAATCTCTTTGACTTGGTGTGACGCTCAAAGCAGTTCTCTTCTTGTGTATATTTTCTGTTCCACTCTCGTTCAGTGGTTCTTTTTAGTGAAAGGCTTCGGATAAATGGAAGGATCAGTTCTTCTCTCAACACACACACAGAAAAAAAAAACACTAGAAAACCTGCACAGCATTCAATGAGACTCGACAGCGTGTGGTGGATTGATGCGTGATAAAGATTTGAGATGATAATATTTTTGTGGTTGATACTGATGTTGTTCGAGCCGATAGATTCTGCTTTGTCGTCCAGTCAACGATGTCGAAAAGGCAAACTGATTGCGATTGGTTTGTTCCTCTTTTCCGTCGTTTCCTATGAATCGTTGTTGTACAGTCCATTGCACCAACAGCTGGACCAAAATACATGACACATTCTCGACTATTTTTAATTCAATGCTAGCAAAAACGTGAAGTGCTTCGTTTGGTTCGGTCCCTTTGTTTTTATCTCTCAATATTGAAAATTAGTTTGATATTTTTTTCAGCACTTTGTTTTATGATTCAAACAATTTCTCTTTCGTTTTAAGTCTTTTTTTTTGTCTGTACACGGAAGGCGATTTTTTTTCATTAATAAACTCAAAAAAAAAAAAAAATTCACTCGCGATATTTTCGCCGTAATTTTGCCCGAATTTAACCACAGTCACTGTCGTTGGCCATATTTATCACAATGGATTTATTGGTCGGGATAAATAATTTGCCAAAAAATGAATGTATTGCATTGGCGACATTTTCTCGTGTTTGCGATCCACTTAGCGATTCTGATCAGTGTCGGTATTTTTCATAGCATGTAAATTTGGCCAAATCTCATTGGAATCGGTGTCGTCGAATTCATGGACGATTTTCTTGATTTTCTTAGCACCGCGTCCAGAATACAAATCACGAACAAATAAATTCACATACCAAATTCGTTTCGCTTTTCTCTTCATTCAAGCCAACAAACAATGTTCCCTTTTTCACGCTTTGCTCAATTTTTCCTTCGGGTCCTCAGTCTTTTCACGAACGAAAAAAAAAAATAACAAACTCTTTTTCTCTTCAAAGTGTTATCGCCCGCTGTTGAATTTTTTTCGCTGTAAATAATTTCATTTATCGCTGATGTTGCATGTTTCGGCCAAAAGACACTCTGAATTTTTTGTTGTTCTGGTGTATGTTTATTAAATCATGGAAACGCGAGAGAGAATAAAATTCATTTTCTACTTTAATTTAGCGTTTTAGTTTGGGTGATAGCCGTCGACCATTAAAATAAGAAAAAAAGTCTCTCACTTGCACATAATACAATGGATAACAAGCGCTACGGAACTGCCGATGAATTTATTTTATGATGTATAAAATTATCAAATAATTTCTTTTTCGTTCGCAGTGTTTTACTTTTCTTTTTCGCTTCGAAAAAGAAAAACTTCAGTATGTGTAGTCCCAAATATTGCTGCGGTACATTCATACACACTTTTGACGAGAATTGCTGCTTGCTTCGAATGTACACATATGTATAATGAACGAAGGAAAAAAAATTTTTTATTGTGAGATATATGTATGCTACATGTACGCGAAAGACGAGAGAAAAAACACTTTGCATTAATCCGCACTTAATTCATTCAAATCACAAAAATTCTCAATTTATTTATTTTTCAATCACTTTAATTTCACCATTCGCATAAGTTTTTCACAGTTTTGGATAATTATTTAGATAAATTTACCTAAGAAATATCCTCGAATTTTTACTTAAGTCGCGAATTAGTAAAATGGCGGCTGTTGATGTGAAGTGAAAAGTAAAAACTTTTCTATGCTTGTCAATGGCAAAATCTTAAATGATCGCCTCTGTTTCTTTTTCTGTATACTTTGCTGTGTTGATTGGTCGGTCGGTGTTCATGTGACCCGAAATGCTCGACGCTCATTGGCTGCGTCCATATTTAGCCGTGAGATGGCGTGAGTGGTGAGTGAATGGCACTCAAACTACACGATAAACTTGCATGTGTGTGCGTGCGTGTGCATTTTGGCCATACGAAACGACCGAAAGACGACTGATGATGTCGCTTGTGGCGTATGTGTGAAAACATTTCTATCGAAAAACTCCGTTCCGAAACCTAATCAATGGGCAACCCAGCGCACACACAATGTACATATGCACTCTGTGTGCCAATCGTGCTGACAAACGACACAGCGAAGTAGGAACAGAAAAAAAAATAAGCGAAACAAATCAAATGAAAATATAGCAAACGTGCGGCAAACGCGAACGCACACCGATTTTGCCAGCTTATGTAAATATTTTATTCAACAGATCCAAACTCTCGAGAGCATGTAGCAGAAACGATGAACGCTGAGTGTACGGTTTTTTTTTTCTTCTCTTTTTCTTCTTTTCATTACGTGTAGTTTGGTCGCAACAAAGGAAAATGCTACGGAATGACATTCGAAAATATCCTACGAATCAATTCTATTTGCTTGTATTGAAACTATTTGCAAACTTTCATTCATGAATTACCTTAAATTTGCTTTTAATTTTTCTCATTTTTCAGCGATTCAGGATTTTCATTGTTCGCTATTATTAAAATTAGTCATTGATTGTTATCAGCATGAAAATTAATTTTTTTTTCTACGAAATAGAACTGAACAAAAACTTTCACAATAACTTTCGTGTGACCGAATGCAGAATAAAATGAAGAAAAAAAAAATTGTCGACGATGAATGAAATTCTTTGGTGTACTCTCACTCGAGTGTCATTAAAACAAATCGATTCCATTCCACCTGAGAGCAGAATTGAAGTTTATTTTTTTCGGTCGTTTCTTCTCTGTGTAAGGTTCGCCGGCGAATTGACATGAGTCGCACAAGTTCATGCTTCAAGGCTGCATCCAAATTCAACACGATCTACTTTTATTTTCCTTTTGTTCTGCTCTGTTCACCGATTCATACATAGAATTTTCTCTCTGTGTGCTCTCGTTGCGTTCATGTTTTCGGTGAATCAGTCTCGATATCGAACGATAATACGGACAACACCGTAAATACGAATGGAGAATGTACGTAACAAATCGATGCGACATCTGTCGCCGAATTTCGCATATTCGGCTGCTCGGTTTCAGACGTGCGAGTAAATGAGACACTATTGAATCGAAAAAGGGGAACAACATACCAAAACAATGAAGAAAAAAGGCTACGCATGCAACAATACCACCACGAAATAAACAGACAGAGAGAAAAACCTGTTTCTTTTGCTTTGAAGTTGATTAAATGTGTGTTACATTGCTATGCTTTCGAAAAATTCTCTTCGACCCCACGACACACACACTCTCTCACTCGCTCACACTCGGACGAGACGGATTCAAGACGGTCGATAAAATATTGAATTTTTGTTTTGCTGTTTCGGTTGCCGAGAACTAGAGCTCATACACAAAATCCATTGCAATGGACAAATACAGCTAGTGTAGATAAAAGATTATAATTTTTTTCCCTTGCACATCGTACTCTTACCGAAAACCAACCAGCCAACGAGAAGAGAGAAGAAAAAAAAACGAGCAACGAATACAAATCGAAGTAACAGAGTTTTAATGATTAAATTGTTTACATTGACAACGAACCAATTTCAATGCATTTTTCATTGTGCTGATATCAAGTGGCTCCAAATGGATTTCGCTTCTTTCATTGTTTATTCGATTTAAATGCGATAATTCCAATTGAATTTCACTTATGGAATCACTTTATGTTTATATGTCTGCTTCAGACTGAATTGTGCGACTGTGTGTGTACGGGTTTCGAAGTGACACTTTTCCGAATCGATGGCCGAGAGATAATTGAATTTTACTATGAATATATTGACGTGAATGACATTTAATGTGATGCTATTTATTAAATAAAATGCAATGAAATTCACATTTTTGTTGTTTGCAATTATTATGTTGCTGTCATTTCTTTCTAATTGATTAAAATCTATTCATTTATCATACAGACAAATAAAACCAATTTATGCTTCCAAATAGACTGATTTTCAAACAAAAATATTCACAATTGGCACGATGGGAATTCGGATTTTTAATCCCTTTGAATTCTATTATCCATATTGATAACCTTTTCTTTTGCTACAAACTTAATCGTGCTGTTGATACGATTGATAGACAGAATGGAGTTTGTTTTCATACAAACGATTCGGTGATAAGAACGTTCTTATTCCATACAATGGCAGGCATTGACCAACGACTCAACACACCGAATCAATTGATTTTCTCCAATTTTCGTCAGTATTATGACTGTAACGTATATCGACGAATTGAGCATATCATAAGCGTTTCTACACTTTGGATGGCACATCCATGTCGATTGGATTGAGATCAATTCGTTCCAACCTTTGACAGTTTCTACTTCAGTCTTTTTCAGAACGGTTAAACTGCATAGTTCACATCATAAGAGGTGTCTGTCATTTGCAACATGGTAACACTACCTAATGCAATTTTATCATTTGGACCATGTTCCATGGTCCATGGTTCATTCATCAGTAATGACAAAATTGAAGTTAACACTTGCCTGAAACAAATTTCTTTATTTTGACTAACAACACATTGGAATCAAATTCCCTCAATTGGTTTGGTTGGCTTAGATAAATAATTATTGGTTTTATTTTTCAGTTGATTATAATAAATTCGATTCTTTGACAGATGAAGTCGATTCGTTGTCGATTAGGATACATTTATTTAAATTATTTGAACGATTGGCACAATGGTAAATGATAATATTTGTGTTTTGATTTTTGCTATCGATCTATAGTTTTTTCAAGCATTGACTCGATTCGTTGATAAAATGCAGTCTTTTTCCGTACAAACAATGGTGTGGTTAAGGCAAAATGTTGCAATATCTTGGCAAACCATTGATTGGGCCATCTTCCCCTGGCACATATTCGTATGGGTGAGAACACGTTTCATTTTGATGCACATTGGAATTTTACACGTTCGATCCTGAAATAATAAAAAAAAAGTAACATAATTTCGTTGAATTTCGAAATCATTGAAACAAACCTGAGGAATCAATAAAAAATGCTGTTATCTGCGATAATGAATTCTATTTTTCAACAATGTTGTTACGTTATAGTGGGCTCTGACGATCACGAACAAAAACAAACCAAACAGTTGAAATGCGCACACGAACGGAAAAGAAATGATATCAAAAATGTCATATGATTTTCCATTTGTTTTGTATTCGCTCAAAATGGAAATGCGCGTATCTGTCGTCGCTTTTGTTTGCGATCGCCATTGGATTGCCGGTTTTTTCAGCATCGCATTCATGTAGCCAAAACAATGATGACGGCAATTTGGATACAAACATATCGCCACTTGAAGTGAAAACATAAATCAACACACTCTGAATAGGGCGAATATGAATGCAAAAAAAAAACTAGCAACAGCAGTAGCAGTAACAATACCTGGCACCGGCAGGAATGCTTCAATAGGGCTGAATGGCAAATGCGTCGCTTCACCAAACCACGTGACCCGTACACTTTTCGTCTTAAATCCTTAACATTACCACAACGCTCACATTCCATCGAAGTGCACTCTTTGTAATGATCAATGGTGGCTCGCGCTGCAAGACAATCCGGCACTTCAAAACGTTTTGGTTTACGAAATTTTACCACTTTTAGCGGTGTACACACTTTACAATAGAGCTGATTCTTTGAGCACAATTCCCAGTGAGCGAGTATTTGACGGCTGGTTTTACATCGAGCATCGGCACATTCCTCCTCCAATTTACAATTGCTAATGTGTCTCCAAACATCACGGCCGGTTTGACAGAATGGCACCGTGCATCGGACATGTGTACTGTCATCGACTAGTTGATACTTTTGTGCGTGCAACAAAACAACTAATTGCATTCGAACTTTAGTCGCTTTGTCTGCATTTAGGATATGCTGTAGTCTGTGTATTCCTCTTGGGTCGTCTCTCATTTCGATTCGTTCGCCTTTTTCAAATGAAAAACAAATACAGTCAAATTGGTTGCCTGTGAAACATGTGCACTCAGCCAATGCCGCCCATTGATAAATAAATGTGAAAAATAGAATTTTATTTGATTTATTTTCGTATCACTGAACATTGCACTTACGTAAAAAGGGTTGAATGTGTTATGTTGGATGCCGATGATGGAGATAATGATGTTTGATCTGCCAAAAATACCGAATCATTGACTGATGGTACGCCAATGAACAAAGCACCCAAGAGTCAAATCGGTTAATTGACGATGACAATAAACATTTGAACATATGTTTTGACTTATAGCGCCACATCCAAATGACGTTTACATTTTTTCACAATCCGAGATGTCGCTGCTGTACGACAATACATTAACTGAAATGGCAACACTGTCACCGAGTCTATTGAATGTAAATACGGAATATCATTCAACTTGTCAACACAGCATGAAGTGATTTCTTGAATTGTCTATCCATTTTTATTTCTATTGAAAGCTAAATTGCGTTTATTTACGTATTGTAAAAAATGTATTAAAATATCCAAATATATTAGGCAATGAAAAAAAAAAAAAAAAATTTATCTTGAAATAACTTTTTGGCGTTACTTTGACAGGAAGTCCATATTAACCGTTATCTCGCTAATCAGTCGACCTTGAAATGAATTTATTTTGTTTGTATTGACAATTCGTTATTGAAAAATGCATAGAACTATTTTCAATCACCGACGTGTGGATATCTGAATATAGAACACATTCTGAGTCTTTCTTATTGATAGGCAAGTGTAGCATTTCATGGAAAAAACAGACAGTTAATCATGAAAGAAACGAAAATATTCATCCGAAAAGTACAAATAAACAAATATCAAGCGACATTAAACTTTTGACCCTGCATGTTGTTTGTTTAAATGTAGGCAAATTGGTCTCATTAATTCCGAATTTTTGTTGATTTTCATTCGTTGCCATGAACATATTTTGCATGGATTGCATTCACGGTGCCATTGGGCACCTGGCATCAGTTGTTGCTGCTGTTGTGTCGGCTGCTGGGAAAAATTGAATAAAGTCACTGATGATTTACTAATGGTTTTTTTTTTATTGTAGATATTCAGCTGTACAAGTTCCAAAAACAATATGTAAGACTATGAAATATAAAAAAAACAACAACAAAGATAAGAGCTATAACAAAATCCAAATATTCTAGGCAATAAAATAACTTTCTTTCTTTATTTTGATTTTTTCTGGCGTTACTTTGACGGAAAATTCACATTGACCGTTATCTCGCTGATCAGTCGACATTGAAATGATTTGAGATTTTTGATTTATTTATTTCGATATAGAAAAATGAGCAAAATGTTAGCCTTAACATTTCTTTTATCTCGTTAAAAAAAATGTAATTTTATAAATAATAGAGAAACACCGGACCTTCACTTTATTGAATGTTAATAAAACTACATAAAAAAAATTGAGATAGCACAACATAGAACTTATTCTGAGTCTTTCTTATTGATAAGCAAGTGTAGAAATTTCCGAGAAAAAGATAATTATGAAACATACGAAAATATTCATCGGAAAAGTACAATCAAACAAATTATCAAGCGGAATTAATCTCTTTACACTGAATGTTGTTTGTTTGAATGTACGCAAAGTGGCTTCCTTTGGTTTCCTTGTGCATCTGTGTTTTAGAAATTGCCTGAGCTATTAAATTATAGTATTCATTTTTGGTGTTTGCTTTTGCGTGAATATCATCTTCAAGTTTTCGTGCGTTCGCAATTTGAATCGATGTTTGTTTGTCTGGATTGGCTGTTGGGTTTATTGCTTGTGCTAACTTTCAATCCAAATAATTTCGAAGATCAGCTGTGATGGTGCTATGCTACTCTTTGATGTTCGGTACATTTGTTAGGCCACTGATGACCAAACTAAGGTGATTGACACCTAAACAACGATTGTTGCATTTGTTGTTCCTTTCGCTTCTGTCGCTTCTCCTCCAATTCGTTTTGAATTTTAAAAATTTTCTCCGCCAACAGGTGATAGTATTCAGATCTCGTATTCGCCATTTCGTACATATCACCCTCGATTTTCTTGGCGTACGCAACCAAATTGTGCATTCGCTGGTCGAGCATTGCCGCCGGATCGGGCATCGGGAATATTGCTTGCACTAACTTATGAACTAAATGATTTCGAAGATCGGACGTGATTGAATTGTGCCAGTCTTTCGTGCCCGGCACATTCGATGCTTGCACTTGTGAATTCATTGGCAACGGCCCTAAAGCGCTTAAAGATGCACCCGGACCGTTTGGATTATCCGTATTTCCGAACAGCACTTGAATGTTTTGCATACTCACCTGTGGAATATTCGATATTTGTGACTGATTTTGTGACTGACCAGCTTGTTGCTGTTGCTGCTGTTGATTTTGCTGTGAATTCGCCAATTGCTGCTGCTATAAATTTGAATTTGAATCGAAAGAAAAAGGGGGACAAATCAATTTTCTAGCTCTAAAACATGTAAGTCTATCTGTAGATGTCACTCTGTGTAGAACTATGATTCAATGACATCTTATTCATCTTAACTCATTTTGACAAATGGCGTTAAGAGTAAAATGTTTCGTACTTACCATTGGGACATTTCCTTTGTTCGCCTGTTTCAACGGCAAACACACTGGACAGTCCAATCCATTGCAATTCTTCCAATGGCTGATAATTTGACGCGACGACGAACAATGCGGCACCGTACAATCTTTATTCGTTTTACAATTTTTCATGTGATTTAGAACTTCTCTAATGGTTTGGCAATGCGGCAACGTACACTTGTTCGCATCCTGACCGTTTGGATTATCATTTTCGCGCTTTTGACACTTGTGCGCATGCAACAATAACACCAATTGTTGTTGGATGAGCTTCCGCTTCTCCGGATCCATTTGCAATTGACCGGGCATATTTTGATTCGGTTGCTGCTGAATTGTTGTTAAAGATCAAAATGTTATGTTTTAGTAATTGGAAATTGTGTGAAATGTCGAAAAACATTTCATGAATCAAACTGGGAAAGTCAACTGTTTTGCTTCAATCACATTCAACTGCAAATTAAGTTGAATTTGTTGCTGTGGCTGTTGGAGTGTTTGCTGTTTCAGTTCATTTAATGCACTGAATGTTGATAGCTTTTTTTCGATCAAAAAGAAACCAAGTATAAAATGAACAAATGATACAACTCTAAATGAAATAATTTCAAAGCTCTTGTCTTTGCGGCGTAATATAATATTGAATTGTTTGTTTACGTCTGCACCGATCGACAGATCACAAAGAAGTGAACGATTAAGTCATTGTGCATTGACTTTATGAAGCTAGAGGCCTCTGTGATTCGTTTGCGTGTAAATTTTGCTTGGCAACACTTTTTTTCAACTTGCATGCAATACTAAGAACTCAATGAACATATATTTCAATAGAATGAAATTTTTCTACTAGGTTTTTATTTCCCAAAAAAAAAAATTGTAGCCTCTTTGAATTTGTGACAGGTTTTTTATGGAAAACATTGGAATACTTGCCTCAAATACAAAGAGGCCACGAATTTCTCTTGGGAAATAAGTCAAAAATTCAAAAAAGCTGCAGGTGATCAGGAGATAACGCTTGGATAACAGATATTCTGTAAATACATACATTTGGTGAGAAATGTAATACGAATTGTGATAAAATGCTTCTTCTCTGTATCTTGAATAGATGAAAATTATGAATAATTTGTATCACAGAATATAAAGTATGTTTCCGATATGACTATGGATTGTGAACACTTGTTTATATTCTTATTTCCTTTGTTTTGATAAATACACATACAAACCGCACATTGCACGTATTCAGAGGCATTTGTGAGTTGTTGATTTCCAACACATTGTAGATGTCAACATTAACCAATGCAAATTCATGATTAATGATGAAATCATGCTCTCTAACGGTATTCTTTAGTGTTGCTGAGTCAAGTGATGAATGAATAAAATCACTTCGCCAAAAATGTTCAACCAACATTCAATTTTATTCAGAAAGAATGATGATTCATGGAATGGTTCAGTTCACTTATGTACTGTAATCAAAAATAATCTAAAGCCCATATTCTTCGAATAAAAATTGCACCGTTGCAATTTGTTAGTCGCATTTCTAGACTTTTTGTAAATATTGATTCAATGCTTATCTACATTTGCTATGGATTTGATATATCGCTCATTTGGAAGAAAAAAAGAAATGATTATTCTTGTAACAAGAGTCTTGTTGAATCTTTTCTCCTAAATTAATTTCATATTATTGAGTAACTTGCACATAATATCGATTTGAAACGGTATATATGAGTAATGGTGTATGGTCATATCAGATTTCACTACAACTATTCCTGAATCTAAATATTTTATTTTTTCGTTTTCCTTGAATTTCATTCATCTTGCTGACGTTTCTCTTCCATTTCCTTATACAATTTATAGATATTTTCGGCGATCAAACGATGATATTCAGCTTCTGAGTTCGCACGTTCGTATACGTCACTTTCAATTTTCCTTGCTTCCAAAGTGGAATCCTTGTACGTACGTTTCCTCCGATCGGGCGGTGGCATCATTGCTTGCACTAGCTCATTCCTTATGTGATTTCGGTAATCGGCTTTGATGGAATTGTGCCACTCTTTTGTGGGCGGTGAATTTCCAATAGAAGGTGTTGAAGATACGTCTTCTGAAGTCAAGTCAACGCTCGATTGTGTTGTCGTTGTTGGTGCATTTGTGGTATCGATAGATTTTTGAGCATTTCCTATGCCGATTTGCTGTTGAGAACTATTCGCCTGTAACACGACTTGTGAAAAAACAGATGCATTTGGATTTTGGCTTTGTGCTTGCTGAAAAGAGAGAATTATTCCATTTGATTATCATTATCAATATTTCCACGTTCGAAATTCAATGCAGTTCTATTGTTACAACACTAACCTGTCGCTGCTTGATGAAATCTGTCATGAGCTTGTGATTGGATTTTAGGATGTTTAGGATTTTTAGATGTTGGTCAGAGTTGTTTGTGCTTTGATTTTTTAGCTGCTGCAACGCCTGCTTAGGCCTAACCTGTCGTTGCTTAACAATTGCTGACATGCGCTGGTGATTGGATTTTAGGATGTTTAGGATTTTTAGCTGTTGGTCAGGGTTGTTTGTGCTTCGAATTTTTAGCTGCTGCAACGCCAGCTTAGGCCCTTGATTACCAATGTTCTGTGCACTGTGACCCAATTGCATCCCAGCAGTTATGTTCATCGTTTGTTGTTGCAATTGTAGATTCGGTGGACGAGGAATGCAATTGTTAGAAAATTCAACGTTTCCCTTATTCGTTGGGGCCTGCTGTTGATTTGCATTAGTTGCCGTGGGCATATTTGGTATGGATTGCAAAAGTTGAAGATTCTGCGACACATTTCCTTGCAAAATTGCGCCAGGTGCACTTTGACTTTGATTTTGAGCCTGTCGAGAAGAGGAAATTATCATTCCAATATTGCGACGTTCGAAATTCAATGAAGAATTCCAAAATAGATATTGTTACAACACTAACCTGTCGTTGCTTAACAAATGCTGACATGAGCTGCGTATTGGATTTTAGGATTTTTAGGATTTTTAGCTGTTGGTCAGGGTTGTTTGTGCTTTGATTTTTTTGCGTCATCATAAGCGTTTGTTGTTGCAATTGTAGATTCGGTGGACGAAGAATGGCATTATTAGAAAACCTAGTATTTCCCACATTTCCAACGTTTCCAAAATTCGTTGCGATTCGCTGTTGGCTTGCATTCGTCGTCGTGTACATACTTTGCATGGGTTGCATCCATGATCCACCCATTTGGACTGATAATCGAGGCTGCTGCTGCGAATGCTGTTGAAGATTCATCACCTGTGAAATATTATTCCCTTGAACATATCCACTAGGTGCATTCGGATTTAGCGTTTGCTGAAAAGAGAGAATTATTATACTTCATGTTCGAAATTCAATTGTTTGCAAAACACCAACCTGTTGCTGATGAAATGCTTGCGGTTGCGCTTGAATACCACTTGGACCAGCAACGTTTCCAACATTCATTGAAGTCTGCTGTTGATTTGCATTCACCGTTGTTTGTTGTTGTGGATTTGACTTTTTTTTTATAGGCAATATGGTTAGAATGGTGCGTGAAAATGGGAAATTTTCGTAATTCAATTATCGGCCGCCACACATTTTTCAAGCATAAATCATATGATTGAACAGATCTTTAGTGTCAGTTATCGTTTCTTTTTATCGAACAATAAATTCGTGTATAACTAATACTCAAAAATTCAAAAATAAGACAGAAAAGAAATTCGACTTACTGCTGCATCGAAATCAGACATCTTAGCACGTGTCAGCTGTGTTGACTATTAATGTCCCGACAGTTCCTTAACAATCAGTTCAACAGATGAAGGAGGTTCAATTATTCTTTTTTTCAAGCTTTGAAATTTTTCAAATGTCACACATGGCTTTTCCCAATCGAAAAATCAAATTTATTAACAAATCAATCACCGGAGAAAAATATTTGAATGAGTCCTAAATCCAAATTTGAAGAATTGCGTGCGGTTGTGAAATTATTTTATATCTCACGCCAAGGAAAACCAACAGTTAACTACGATCTGTCATCGAGTAAGTAATCGTTGGACTCATACTTCGATTCTACTATGGAAAACATACACAAACACACACTAAAGTTTACATCAGAGGTTTCAGCGTACACTTCCAATTTGGCAACACCAATGCAAGTTTGAATATTTTTGAATCAATATTCTCAAGTGTTTCGTCTTTACTTCGTCTGTTTACTGTACTTGAATGTTTCAATAAATTACGAAATGTTGTAGAGAATAAGTATGGGAAGTAGACTGAAAACGGAGACTAAAACGTTCAATAAAACCGAAAATTTATTGCTTTTTTTCATTCATATTCTGTAAAATTCGTCGAGCACTTTGACTTGGACACACAGCGTATCCGATATGGTTGTAGGCTAAAAAAAACGAGATTTTATGCTACTTATACAATAGTTACGTTGACATTTGATTTGTGTTTTCCTACGAAATGTCCAAACACTTCTTACGAATTGCCCGAAAGCTTTGCAAAGCAAAAAACAAACTGTTTCGTACCATTTAAAACAAATATTTATGCCATCAGAATTTTTCAAGTGGCAAATATTCCATGAAAATCATGATTTGCTGATGAATTTCGAATCCGAGTATAAATTTTAATTGTGATAAATGTCGAAAAGCACATACGGAATTCACATAATCTCATATTCTTTCAAATTTAATTATCTCTTACTGAATAAAAGGAAATAAAACACTGCACAGTTGAGACACGTTAGCTATTTATTTTTATTCAAAATGAGATGGGCATAATATTATCTAGGGTGAGGAAAAAAAAATCTAATCATAATTTTTGATGATTGGTGCTTATTAATGTAAGACGAATAATAATATGAGGTGGATTCTTTGAGATACTGTCACTTAATTGCTAGAAATTGAAAAGAGCTGCTTAGAATGTAACTGCGAATTTTCCTTTCGATTTTTCTTTTCCGATAAATGTTCTGAATTCGTTGAAAATGGTTTTTAGCTGCGAGTTCCGTCACTACTCAATCAAAGCCTGGTGTCTCAAATGAATGGCATCATTACAACTTGGATACGAGGCGATCATACGGTTTGGCGGGTGCATTTTTGCGGTTTGCTTTCTGTTTTTGACGTTTCTCCTCCAATTCGCCTTGAATTTTGTAGATTTTCACGGCCAACAGGTGATAGTATTCCGATCTCGAATTTGCCATTTCGTACATATCATTTTCGAATTTCTTGGCGTACGCAACCAAATTGGGCATTTGTGGTTTGAGCAATGCTGCTGGAGTGGACTTCGGTAATATTGCTTGTAGCACCTTATCTACCAAATGATTTCGAAGACCGGGCGTGATGGATTTGTGCCACTCTTTGCTGGCGAGTTCATTTGTTTTCGGAGATGCACTTTGCTTCTCAGGATCGTTGACAATGTATGGCTTTGGTTGCTGCTGAACAAATTGATCAAAACTCGAAATCACGCTGTATGAATTCGGACCGTGAAAGACGGTTGGTGGTGGTCTGCGAATCACCGGTGGAATGTTGAGTGCAAACGGATATTGGGTTGGTGCAATTTGGACAGGACGACCGAAATATGTTGCCAATGGTGATCTGTATACGAAATAAAGATAGAATAAATCAAATTTGGCGTGAAAACTGTTTGATTGCGATCGATTCGAGTGAATTTAAACTTACGTTTGGTTGAACATCCGTGGCAAAAGCATCTGCGTTGGAAATGATCCCAGGTTGTTCGGATTTGAGCCAAGAACACGACTACGAGCGAATCCCTTGTTGATTCTGTCAAAGTGCATAATGAAATATATCAAAATAGAGACACAGATTGAAGCTGAGACAATATGCGTATACATACTTCTGATTGGATTTAACTTTCGTACAAAATGGAACGACGCACTTGTCAACGTTGCAGTCTTTGGCATGATAGCAGCACAATGCATAGAATTGTTTGCAAATTTGGCATTCACCGTTGACGTTTCGAACGCAAATCATCTTATGTGCCAAAATACGTTTCATTTTGCCACATGATGACTGAGCACATTCTTGGTTTTCACAACGAATTGCGTGAATCAATGATTCGATGCACCGTTTAATCTGCAGCTCTCGCGCTTCCTGGCCGTCATTTGGTTTCAAATTGTTTGATGATGCATCGGCCGTGTGTAGACCAAGATTTTTCATAGCCAGATGAGTCGTGTCAGTATCTATCGAAGTGATGCGCAACTGTTGGTGTAAAATTAGTTTCATCAGAATTAAAAAGCAATCCACATCCCCAACAAATGAGCACGCATAAATATTATGAATGTAAATTTCATGAAATAGCAAGTATGCATGCGTAATTATTTGTATTAACACAAAAAATGGAATATTTTCATCCTGAAAACGAATACTTTTTTTACTTAATTGTTGAATAACTTACTGGTTGAAATGATGATGGATTTCCACTTAGCTTGGGCACTTTTTGTACAGCTCCGACTTGATTTGCCATTGTTTTTGTATCCAAAATAACGCACGAAAATGATTAATTTTGAAAATGAGCCAAATTCTTCACAAAAATTTGCGTGAATATGAACAACGATTGGAAAAACTCAAATTGCACACAGTTATGAAATTCTTCCAGCGGCGACACAGAGAAACAACACTTCACCAATGGATTGTCTGCTAACGAATGAACTGAGTGTCGCTCGTTCGTTGTATCTTATACACCCTTACCAATATACATACAAGCAAACGCAGCGGTCGCGACGAAAGCATTTTTCTGATTAGCTTGCATGAATGTGCACGCATCAACAGAGACCCGACTTGTTGAAATTTCGTCTGTGTATGGACTGTTTTTTTTACTCTTCAAAAGAAAATGAGCAAATACGAACGCAATAAAATTTAGTTTTGGTTTACATTTATTTTACGCTTATTAAAAAAAAAGTATTGCATGAAAAATATCGAAATGACGTAATCCGTTGAAAATGTTCGGATGAAATGCTCTTAACCGACATGACTGAATTCTTTTTTCTTCTGAATACTCTTACTCTTTTACGAGGCATGAATTATGACCTCTTGAGTGTGTCGTCGATCATAATTTATATTCCAAAGAAAGTGAATGACGGGCGATACTTATCAAAATTTGCTTCTGAAGAAACTATATCTTCTGGGGGCTTAACTAACAAAATTGAACTATTCTACGTTACGAAACGGTTTATTCTTTTTGGACAATGATTGTTTTTCGAATATCCATTGGTATTACTTAGTTTTCTATTTGGCATCTTTATAAATTCCGTTAAAATAGATTTTAAGGGCCAATGCGTCGTTTATCTAACTTATTCGTTAAGTATAGAATGCTAAACGGTTTTTTGCCACACATTAAAAAGTAGAAAAACTGTTTTTTTTTCATCAAACAAACGATACATTTCTTGGCATCGCTGCGTTCTGTTACCAAAATAGCTATGGTATTGTCAATATGCCGTGCCGTTTTTAATTGTCAATTGGCCAAAAGGCATAATTCGATTCTCTGTGTATTTATTTAGTGTATTTAGAGAAAATCTTAAGATAAAATTGAATATTACAAAACATGAAAAACGAAAAAAGTCGATGAAATAGTATATTGGATTAAAAATATGAAGAAATGATTATGAGTTTTACGTCTACTAATCATAAATTTCGTTGGAAAATTTCCGTTTGCAGTAAATGCCTATTTACTGGCTGATGATCCAGATTCATCAGTATTCTTCTTGCTTTTGTCCAACTGTTCCAATGCTTGATTCAAGAGCATACACGTTTGACAATCGGCATCTTTACAATTTTCGCGGTGATCGATGATGCGATGTGTCGAGATGACATTATCAACACTCTTACCAATTTGTCCAATGTTTGCCTTCCGCTGTTGGGCTCTGAGGTTGCGTGATAAAAACATGATTCTATTTGGGATTCCCACATTTCTCGGAGCATTACTATTATTTCCTTTGTTCGCTTGTTTCAACGGCAAACACACCGGACAATCCGACCGATTGCAGTTCTTCCAATGGCTCATAATTTGACGCGACGACGAACAATGCGGCACCGTGCAATCTTTATCCGTTTCACAGTTTTTCATGTGATTTAAAACGTCTTTCATGGGTTTGCAATGCGACAACGTGCACTTGTTCGCATCCTGACCGTTTGGATTATCATTTTCGCGCTTTTGACACTTGTGCGCATGCAACAATAACACCAATTGCTGTTGGATGAGCTTCCGCTTCTTCGGATCTGATTGCGATTCGCCGGGCATGTTTTGATTCGGTTGCTGTAGTTGGACACTTTGTTTGGAAGCTGAAGCCACCTCATCGAAAACACGTCTGTCAATCATAGCAGTCACCAATAGTGTGTAAAAAGAGGATTTTTTGTACGAAAAAGAAGTGTTACAAAGTTACAATTCATCGGAAAATGCATTCTTAAAACGATTGTAGAACGTACCTTAATGATACTGGCTCAGCAACATTTTCAGTGTACAAACTTCCTGCCAACTGTTCACATCTGTTGATTTCAAAATGAAAAATCATTAAAAGAAAAACATGAATCACATTACAAAGTTATACCTTTGAGCAAGTTGCTGTTGTTTGAGCTTGTGCTTGATATTCAGACAGAACAGAACCAAACACTTGACTTCGTTGCAGCGTTTTGCGTGGTAGCAACACAAAGCGATAAGCTGTTTGCAGATCGGGCAACCGCCCTTGGTTCTCCGTTTGCAAATCTTTGTGTGCGCCACAACCTGTTTCATTTTCAGGCACGAAGGTTGACGACACTGTTGCTCTTGACAGCGACAAGCATGAACCAACAACTGAATGCACCGTTCAATCGGCTGTCTTCGCGCTTCACCAACATCTACTTGTTGCGAAACCGATGGCTCGTCATTGACATCCAAACCGAGATTTTGCAGGGCAAGTGCAACTTCATCAATTTCCGATTGATCCGAAGAATGTTCGTTCGACTGTTGGAGAAACAGTTCATCATTACAATTTGAAATTTATCTCAAGTTCAACCACAATATTGATCAGATTTTTTTTTTATTCAATTTACGAATAACCCACCAATTTTGATCGTAATTGCAGTTCAATTGCTCCATCACACTCGTACGTTTCTTCGAATTGATCACTATCTGATGTGACGTCCATTTCGTTGTAATCGGAAGCGTTCATAATGAATGTGTTGATTTTTTTTTATATTTCTGACAATCTGACGTACCTAAATTGTTTAACAAAAATACTAAATTATTCAAAGATGAAACTGAACTAAACACAATTTGCAAAACAAATTCTCAATTTCATCAAGTTATGAAATTATTTCGAGATATCCAATATGAACTGTTCTGTGTTAGGCAGGAAATTGTAAGAGAGTGAATTCGTGTTGGTCTGTTATGTTATATGAAACCTCGTACGCATATAAATTCACACGTACACATATAAACGCAAAAGTCAACAGTTTATATGATTGTGCATTTTATACAAACTCTTCTCGCTGCATACTCTTCTCTCTTCATTTTCGTAGAAATGTACGCATGATGTTTACTTGAAATGTTCGTGTATTGGTATCAGTTCATATGGAATATGTGAAAGGATAGACAGAGATAGGATGCAAAAACAATGAAACGAATATCACACACAATAAAATTTTATTGCTTTTTTCATCGTGTGTGAACAAACAGAAACAAATATAATGGCTAGTTGGATATTTTCTACCCCTCATATTACTATACATCGTATTCTACCCCACAGAGGGAAAAAGTCAGATGCAACAGTTATTCGTTTTTTCCTCGCACCAATTCGCCACTATACTATGAAGTAAGTAGCTTAAGTTGCGTATTCACCAACATTTTTCAAATTATTCGTCTCCTGTAGGATAGTCTGAAACTGGTGTATGAAGAACTGAATAAAATCCAAAATTGATTGGCATTTTCTGTTTATATTCTGTACGTTCCGATGCGTTTGAAACATAAGCAGAAAAATAACAGATTTTTCATAAACAATCAAATGCATCGGTCGTGACAAAAATATTTTGTGATTCGCTTGCATGAATGTGACCGCATAAAACGGAGACTCAACTTGATGGAACTACGTCTATGTTACTCTTTTTTGAGTCTTCAGAAGAAAATGAACAAGTACAGAACGCAAGACATTCGGTTTTTTGTTTATATTTATTTTACGCTTGTTAAAATATTGATGACAAATATAGAAATGAGTTAATCTTTTGAAAATGTAAAGATAAAATGATCTTAGCTGACGCTATTTCTTCGTTATATTTTTTGAATCAGTGAAGTAGTTGCTCTTGTTTTGAAATTATGACTACTAACTTACATTAGCAAAATTCAACTATTCTAAATTATGGCAAATGATGGGTTCGCTCTGTGGAAAAGGATCTTATTCGAAAATCAACCGATATTTATTAGTTTTCTATTTGAAATCTTGATAGATTCCGTTAAAATAGCTTCAAAGGATAAATAAATGAAAAATACCCTATTCATTTTAATTCGTTATAGATATATTGTTAAATAGTTTGTTCTGGTATAAAAACGATGAAAAAACATAGTATAAATGGTGAAAAAAAAGTCGCTGTTTGAGGCTTTAAGTGACAGGAAATAATCCGAATTGAAATGACCGCTATCCTACTCAGCATCCTCGTGTTCCAACTCCAACATGGCAATGATATTATCGATGTTTTGTTTTGATGCCTTCAATTCTCTAAGGGCCAAATTCAACGTCAAACATGCTGGGCAGTTGAAGTCCTTGCAATTCTTTCGATGGGCAATAATTTGATCAGTTGATATGGCATCAGGTGCTGCTTCTTTCTTCACAATGGCCGGAATGTCTTGTTGACGGATTTCATTCGATTGATTGTTGGTAACCAAATTTCCATTCTTTGAAGCTGTATCCAAAGTTGCGTTTACATCAGAAAGCATGGTTGTTGCCTGTGCATTTGTGGTGCCGTCATTTCCTTTATTCGCTAATATTTGTTTCAACGGAAAACACACCCGACAATCGGATCGTTGACAGCTCTTCAAATGGCTAATAATTTGACGAGATGACGAACAATGCGGCACCGTGCAATCTTTATTACATTTAGAATTTTTCATGTGAATCAGAACGTCTTTAATGGTTTTGTAATGCGGCATCGTGCAATCTTGATCCGTTTCACAGTTTTTCAGCTGATTTAAAACGTCTTTCATGGTTTTGCAATGCGGCAACGTGCACTTGTTTGCATCCTGACCGTTTGGATTATCATTTTCGCGCTTTTGACACTTGTACGCATGCAACAATAACACCAATTGCTGTTGGATGAGCGTTGGCTTCTCCAGATCCGCTTGCAATTCGCTGGACATATTCAATTCGGTAGGTGCGCTTTCGTTTGTTAGTTGGAAAATTCGTTTTGAGCGGCTTTAGTGGGCGTTGACTCTTTTATAAAAACACGCTTCGTCCGTTGTTGATTAATAAATGGTTTTGACTTTTTCACAAACTTATCACGCCAAAATCTTTGAAATATGGCAGATTTGGTATTGAACTGAGACGTAGAACTGAATTCAAAGAATTGCGTGAAGTTGTGAAATTATTTTGTATCACAGCAAAGGAAAACCGTGTTCACCAGTTGACAGATTGTAAACAAGTGAGCAATGGTTTGACAAATAGCAGCTCATTGTGCGAATTTCAGCGCAGAATTTGGAGTAGGCAATACTGTACAAGTTTAAATTCATTACCATTTGCATACAACTTGCTATAGATGCATGTTGTGATGAAACAAACGACATTTCTATAAAACTTTATAAAACGGAATTTAATTGAATGAAATAGGACGAAAAATTGTAAAAAATGAACTTTTTATCTGTGTTTTGTAAATATCCAACAAACATTCATTGACATTGACAGTTTCCGATTGCCTTTAGATGTCTCTGTGATTCGCTTACGTCTGTATTCAAATTGGCAACACTACTGCATTTCTATTGCAAAAATGCATACAAAACCAACCGGCTTACCCTAGTCACTTTTGCATTTCTATTAGTTGGATAATGAATACAACAAATGGTCAGACTTCTTACAATTCATATATTTTCTCAATAAAATTGGAGATAAATGAATGTTTTTTTGTAAAACCTCGGAAAAATTGAATGAAGTCACTGATCTTTTTCTAATGTATTTTTGTTTATTGCCCAAGTTCTTGAAACAACATAATCTTACTTCTAGAGATATAAAAAACACAAAAATAATAGCAAAAAAAGTTTTTTGTTTGGAACAGAATATTTTCTTTAGAATTCGATGGTTTCAAAATAAATTCCTTTTTTTTTCATAATTTGTTTACGCTATCTTTGGTTGATTTCATAATTGCAACTGATTGGCTTAATTGCTTCAACATTTGCCATATTTGATGAATGTTCTCATTCTAACGATAACTTTTCAATAATTTCGTTCAAATGTTGCAAAGTCTCGGAACTCCTATTATCTGGTTCATTCCCATTCAATTGTGTACTGTTAGTCTGCTGCATCTGCTGTTGTTCCCTTCGCTTCTGGCGCTTTTCTTCCAATTGTTTTTGAATTTTATAAATTTTCTCCGCCAACAGGTGATAGTATTCAGATCTCGAATTTGCCATTTCGTACATATCACCTTCAATTTTCTTGGCACATGCAACCAACTTGTGCATTCGCGGTTCGAGCACTGGACAGAACGCCGGGAATATTGTTTGCACCAATTTATAGATTAAATCATTGCGAATTTCAGTCGTAACTGAATTGTGCCAATGCAAATTGTTCATGGTGTTTGAGGTAGGATTCATTTTGAATTATCCAATTTTCTTTGAAAAGATTACACTTTGGACCTGAAATAATGGTACAATTGAATGCATTTAAAAAAAAACTTGGTGATTTCGTTTAATTACTGGAATTGAAAATGTATTATCCGTTATTTCACTTCAAGAAAAAAAGCTCAACAAAACTATCAATCAAATACCCAAAATCTTTGTATCAAAACATATTCTAAAGAAGACACGCAAAACACTAGCTTATCTATTTCCAAGTGACATACATGTTTTGATTTTTTTTTGTTCGAATGTAATCATATGTGATGTTAGCAGCCTCTGACATTTTCAGAGGTCTCTGTTGTACGTCCGAAGCAACTTGGCAACACTGTCACAATGCAAATGAAATGCAATCATGTAATTCAATACATGGACAAATGTCTCTGTCCATACCACCACATACGAAACCATTGATGGAAAAAAAGATTTGGTTTTCATGTTAAAAATTTTATTTCACGTAAATCTACGTACAAATTTGAGCTAATGATCCAAAGAAAATGAATATGTCTATCTTTGGTAAACTAAAAAATCGAAATAAATGAATTTGCTTAGTTGCCCGGCTGAGATATGATGTCAATCGTGGACGACGTGATGCCGGAACTTTGCCTTCCTCTCACATGCTGCATCAAACTATCGATTCTCGATTTGATTTCGCCAATTTTTTTGCCCAACACATTATAGTATTCAGCTCTGGAAGTGGCTATCCCATATGCGACCACCTCTGAGCGTGAGGCGAGCATCAGTAGTCGTTGTTCCGATTCGTCCAACAATGACGAGCGTTCACTGGTCGGAATTATCTCTTCGACAAATGTTGAAATGATGGTTTTTCGCAGATCAGTTGAAAAGGATTCGTGCCAAGGCTTTGTCTTTGGGTGTTCAATCAAATATAAATTACGTCTTCGTTCTTCTTTGTATTGCTCATAGTTTTCTTTCAATTCGGGTTGTGTTTTGCCCAAGTACATATCCAGCAAACGATAATAGTTTCCCCTTGATATAGCCGTAATGAATGATTGGCATTCAATCCATTTTGCCAGCTCGGTGAGCTCGGAAAAATCTTGCTGTGATAAATCATCAATCGTTGCAATGTTCCGCAGCAATGTGGTGAAGACTCGTTCCAGTATGTATTCACGTAATTCCGTTGAAATCAAGTTATGCCAATCACACGGATCCGACCAAAATGCCTGCTGTGTGGATATATTCGATATTTCTGGCATTTTTCCTCCGGTTTCTAATGAAAAAGAAAAAAATCAAGAAAATTATTTTGAATTGAAAATACGAATTATATTCTCCTTGCAATACCTACCAATGGATATAAACACAATACAAACTATTGGCGTAAGCAGATTGGTTTCACTTTCATTCAACTTGATGTTAAAAATCAATGCAATGATAAGTATGTCAAATAGCTATGTTATAAATACAACCGTAAACAAAAAAATCGGCTTGTTTTGGTTGGTCGATGACATATTACTAGTTTGGCAGAAATGAGAGCGCCACCGAACACAAAGGTGATTCTGCGTTCTAAATGACATTATCGGCAACACTTTGGATTTGAAAAATTGATTTGGCGGGACTTTTGAATATGAATTAAACCAATATATTGAGAAAATGTTGAGCAAGAATGGGAAGTAAAAGACGTTTATGAAAAAAAAAATTATTTTAATTTTAATAAATTGACCATTTGTACAATTTTTTTCTTCTTCATAAGTTGGAAAATGAATAAAATGATGTTTTAGATGAAAATATATTCATTTGGTGTATATCAAAATCCTGGTGTTACCATAACTAAGCTGATCGTACATGTACTGCATCTCTATGCTAATCTAGTCGTCTCCTTTAAAATATGCATTTAACTCCGTTATAATTTCAGCCTTTTTTCTCTCCAGTATCTTGAAGTAATCCACCTTAGTTGCAGCTGCTTTGAATGAAAAATTTTCGATTTGTTCGACGCCAATTCTCAGCCCAAATGCATATCTAGCTGGCACTTCGAGTTTTCTCTTTATATCTTCAATGAATGCGTTTACGACGGCGCGACGAAGTGCAGGCGAAAAAAAGAAACGCCATCCTTGCGAATCTCGATAAAATGCTGCCCGTGATTCCACTTTGTCTTTCATTTCTTGGCTTTTTTCCTTCAATTTGCTCTGAATGTCTTCAATCTTTTCAGCTATCAAACGGGAATATTCGATTTCTGACTCTGCCATTTCGTATAAATTGATTTCGATCCGTTTTGCATTCTGAACCAAATTGTACCGAAGCGTTTCACATTCATTTACACTCTGAAATGACTCGGAAAAGGCTTTGATTATGTTATCAACAGATCGACTCCTTTCATCACTTTGGTTCAGACTTGTGCTGCTACTGATATTAACTGGCATTTTTCAATTGAATTTTTATGATATCTGTTTACAAAATTAAAGAAAAACCTTTTAGAATACAGTTTTTGCTTAAAAAACCATTTATTGATATCGTCATCGTTTCAAAACAATTCTTACCATCGGAATGAATTGTTAACATCTTTCAACTATTTTGAAAATGATGAAATAAATCAATGTGTTCTTCCAACAAATAAAATTCGAAAATCTTTTTACTTACACAACGGATAACCAGTCAGCTAAATTGTCGAAATGAAACTGTGTGCGTTTTAAAAATGATCAATCACAAGTAAATGGAAGCAAAGCAATTAGTGTACACGTAATTCGGCTATTAGGATCAAATTAGAGGCAGCGCTTAGTGATGGCAACACTTTTAGCACACTTTTTGATTCTTGTTTAGATTAAACCTTTTGTGTCTCAATTTCATAGTCTTAAAAGACAAAAAAACAGAATGAATAGATGAAAACCGCCGACAAAATACAATAAACATAGACAGAGTCATGATAAGGTTGAAACTATGAATCCATTTCTATCACTATATGTAACAGTTCCATGTTAAAGTTTAAATAATAAGCTGATTTAATTTTTACACTTATTTTATTCTATTCTTTGTTATTCATTTTGTATATATTCAAGATGGTCCGAGTGCTCGAGATGATCAAAAACTTCAGAAAAAACGAATGCGAAATATACGGTTATTCAATGTAAAAGCTGAGTTAATTATCGCTTTGTTCACAGATGGCATAGTTTGAACGAGAGCTTTGCCTTGAGTCAGAGTTTGAGTTCGAATGAAAGCATTTTCAAACATGAGCCGAGGAGGAAATTTGTGGTTTGAAACCACCGTTGCTCGATGCATAAAAACATTCTACTTCATAGTTCGCGAAAATGTGCTTCAACCACATTTGTTTCTATTTATAATAGGTACCCGATTTAATTTTATAATTAAAAAATGCATATCTGACCTAACCAAAAATTCTATTCCATTTCAGTTCTTATCCAAAGAGTTAATTTTTCAGGAATATGTATGTTACTAGTTTTTCACACTGTGACAGATCATAATCACAAATCGTCTTTTGTAGAATAATATTCGAAAAAGAAGGGTAACAAAAGCGAGGTCAAAACAAGTGAACTGCAAAGGAAAATCAACAATGTTCATAGCTGCAACTTTAATTCCGAATAGACGGAGTAATCCTATTTCATGACCTCGTTATCCTTTGACACATTGCACTTTTAAGTCATCCATGAAAAAGTCGTCTAAACGGGGAATTAATTTAGCCAAAGTTCGTCTAACCATCCTTTGAATGGTTGGAGTTCATTCTGAATTCCAAAATGCGTAAGAATGTGCAAAAGTCGTTAAATTTCCGCGCAGCAAATCCACGATTTTCGCATTAAATTCGGTCTGGTATTTGAAATTAGTCAAATGTAATTACTACGCGCTATCGTCACATATCATATTCTATCTGTTTGGGCATATGAGCAATTTCGCGTTGTGTATTGAAAAGCGTCTAGTGTTGAGTATGGAGAGAGAGAGAACATGTGTGTGAGTTACGGGCCGCTCTGCCGTACAGTTGTTCCTTGCTGTGCAATGAGATAGACACGATGTGTGTATGTTGATCGCATAATAAATAGTGTGTCTGTCTGGTCTTTGAGTTGAACGCTGTGCGCGACTCGCATGTGCCATGCCATGTTCAGTCTTAGCAAAGCCGTGCTCGAGAGCAGTGCATATCAACTGGCTGCCGACCGTTTTCGTTAATTCGTTTGACAACGATTTAGCGAGCGTAACGAAAAAAAAATTACAACAATTTTTGTTCCATACAAATTCAATCGTCTAAAAATCGATCTTGTTTGCATCGACATTCGACTGCTTTTGTGAGTTTTTTTTTTTTCAAGTGTATGATATCATCGATTTTGATTTATTCATATTTCTATTGTACGTCGTACTCAAGGAATTTTCGTCGAGTTGAAGTTGGTTTTCTGTTCAATTTTTGTGTTTGCCGTTATGTTCAATATTTATTTAGCTGGAAAGCTGTGGAACCCACACACACATTTTTTTTTCTCTTTATTTTTGCTTGAAATTAAATTTTGGCAAGTGCTTTTTATGGCTTGCATGTACAAAATGTTGTAAAGTGTGGAACGAAATGATATTTTTTTGTCAGCAGCGCGGAATTGAGTTCAAAGTTAATGAAAATAAGTGAGCATATCAGCAGAATGTCAACTGATTTGACTCAAGCCAAGGATAAATGAGTATAACGAAAGGAAATTTCGCGGTGAAAACGCGTGAAACGGAGTGATTCCTTTGCAGAATAAACATCGAATTTATTTTTAGATGTGACGAGCGCAATTATGTAATCTGGCATTCGGTTCGCCGTAGTGTAAAACATCTTTTTCGTGTATGAGATTTCGTCAATTCGGGAAAACAAGAGAAAAGAACGATAATAAAGGAGACAGTGTGAACAATAAAATTTGCATCATTTCGTATCGTCGCCGAAAAAAGTGTTATTTTTTTTTGTTATTGAATTTGATAACGTGTGACTTGTTGTGACCGCTGCACGCACAATCATTAAAAATGTTAACCGTTTAATCGTCACCTCACAAAATTGATGTGTATTCATGATGGATTTCAGCTCTTTACTTCTCGAACCATTAACTGAGTGGATTATAGTCATATTGGATTTAATAAAGTGCTGTAATAATAATTAGCCAACAAATTAAATCTTTTACTCAGCGAGATCAAATTTCAAGTGTTGGTGCATAACACGGCAAAATGACAACAGAACACCGCTTCATTTGCACATTCAACTGGATTTTATTCTGTTTGCTTCATTCACTTGTTTATTACGTTCTTTTCTAAATATACCGCACGGTTATTACAACAAACAAAGTGATTCAACCGATTATTCATAGCATTTTCTGAAATCTGAATCGTTATTTTTTTTTTTCATCGTTGTTTTGCGAAAAAAAATTCATTCACATTAAAATTGTGCCCCCAAGAAATCGGCTATGACTCTCCAACACGCGTATGCCGCTATTAATCGAGCTCTGCTCTACTCTGCTCCGTTTTTATCTAGTATAATTTGATTTTTATTTGCTTCATTCAAAATTCGATTCCAAGTGGGACGTTCAAGAGAGTCGTGGGTGCGTTTTCGTTTGGTGTTGTTGTTGTCTCTTCTCTCGCGTATGGAGCTGGTATTTTCTTCTTCTTTCAATGATCGATGAAGTTTCGAGCTGAAATCTATTAATTTTTGTGGTCGTTATATGAACGGTTTGAGGCGAAACCATTTTAGAAATTGAATGACAATTCGCCAAATCAATGACAAATGAACTCATCCAATTTCAGATCAAGCAACCAACGAATGACTCAACTATGTGTTAATGAACATTTTAAAAGGAGAAACCAACGATAAAATCCATCGTTTCGATTCTTTGTATCGAGAATCAAGCAAACAATTCACGCATGACAGAAAAAATTTGCTGGTGCGTGCGTGTGTGTTAGAGTGAGTGGTGCAACCGCAAAGTTGCTCGTGTTTTGTTCTAAAGACGAGAGAGAAAAGAAAAAAAAAGTACAAATATAAACGTTAAGTGCCGAGAAGAGAAAGAAAAAAAAATAGTCGCAAAAACAACGGAGCAAATAAATCCAATCAAATCATGCGTAATTTGCTGAGAACTGATTGTGCACTGTTGCACACAGTGTCGATTGTTAGTATTTTAATCGTAAGTCTTATTGTGCCATCGACAAACACATTCAATTTGGATACCGTCGATTACATTCGACATGAAGGTGAACCAGAGTCAATGTTCGGTTTCAGCGTTGCATTGCACAAAGAAAACAAACGAAGCTGGTAAGTAAAGGCAAACACATATTGCCAATGAACAAAGTTCACATTGAAATATTTCGGTGTGAATTCTAGCAGCAATAAATGTCAAAGTGATTCGGTTATTATCCAAAACAATTTTATAATTGTGAGAATTTTGCATGACAAAACCAAAGAAGAATTCGAGATAAGAGAGAAGAAAAATAGGGATAATTGCAGGGCTTATATTTTCTTTGAATAAATCAAAACTGCGTCGGAATGCTTATCTCAACGTTGAAAAATGTGTGCACGTGCGCAGCTTCTGTCTCATTTTGAACGAAAAAAAAAGAAGTGAATATCCGTGATTTTGTCTTGTTTTATGTTTCGTCAACGATTGAATCTTAGTGTGTCTTTCGTTTGGTTCCGGTTTAAAAGAAAACATATGCAGAAAACTCGCCGACCGAGCGGGGAAATTTCTTTCTCAGTTTTTCTCTTTCACAAGTGATGAAAACGGAGGGAAAGAAGTCCGATCATAAAAATGGTGCATTTTTTTGGCAACTTTGCTACACATGGTCATGGAAGCGCCTGTATTTTTTTCTCTTTCTGTCTCTTTCTACGCTGAATAACTGCTTTCCGTTTTCATTTCATTTTCTTCTCCGACCCTTCGGCGATTTTATACACACTTTGTGCATATGTTTTGGTGTGTGCATTTGTTTATTACAATCTTTCCGCTCACTTAGCATCAATGAACTCCATATCGGCTACAATTCGACTCGAAATATTCGACTTGTGGTAGGTCAAAACCAAAGTGCAGAAGCCGAAAAGCGCATTAAAAAGATAACAGATTTATGAGCCGACAAACGAAATACGATTTGAAAACGAAGGAAAAAAAAGAAACGCTTCTGAGAATTTGTATTTCGGTTTTGTGAATGGGTTTTCGAAAAAAATGTGTCAATGGCTTGCGATTTGCAATCGGTCTGACATGTGAGCATGATGACATTTTGAGGACAGAAATACGCAAAAAAATCCGTAAAAATCATCGAAAACTCAGATGAAACCCGTTGAATAATGTGTTTAAGCACAATTCAAAGCGAACAATGTGCAATTGCAATAGAATCGTTCGTTGCATTTTCATATAAATAGAAAAATATGCACCATGTGTTTGCAATTTAAGTGATTTCATGTTGATCCGCACACTGATTTTCATGCATACAAATGTATTTACATTTCTTGCCTTGTTGTCGCTTTTTTCGTCTCTCTCTCTCTCTCTCTCTCTCTCTCTCTCGCTTGTTTTTTTTTTCAACGTTGTTCGTATATTGGTTTGTTCCCACACGAAAACAGCAATAACAACATCACTTTTACGATACATCCACATTGGCTGTCGCTCAATACAATCATAAAGCATATTGCTGTTTTTGATCGGTTTGTCGCCGACCAACTTTGTTGGTCCATAGCACACATCTGTGCGACTGACACCGAAAAAAGAATCCATACAATTCGAACACATTTAATAATAAACCGCGCAAATTGATTCGATGTGTTTGCTGAATATACACACATATCGCTCTCTCTCTGTGTGTCCGTGTCCGAAACATGCGTATGCGCAAGCGCTAAGCGCAATCGCGTAAAGTAAAAATAAAAGAAACAAAATGTTATAAGGCGCGATGCGATGTTAAGGTTTCCTCTCTAGCTGGTCTGGTTTGTTTTTCGTTTGTTCATTAAAATGCGATATTGGTTGTTTGTTCGAAATGAGAATAAAGAAGAAGACAGAAGAAAATACGTCATCGCTTGAGCGCAACTCTGCCTACACATCAAACGAGATCTGTCTCTTTCTTCTCTATCTCTCTAAATGTCTTAATGATGCGAAGCGTCTAATTCAAATCGAAATAGAAAACTGTTCTATTGAGAAATTTGTGTGTTCTATTTCGTGAGCAGCATTTGCATTTGTAGATTATTATTGAACGGTCGGTTTGATGTGCACAAAATTGACTCTCTTTTTTGTTCTCGTTGATATGTGATATGGTATTTGGTGCGGTTTTACGACGGCGCCTAGTGTTTCACATGTCCGACAGTTCAATAAAATTCATTTTGATGATTCGTTTGCCTATTTAGTTGTTCAACCGAAGTTTAAATGCCATGCACCCGTTTAATCTAATAATTATGTAAATTCGGCCGTGCATTTCGTTTGAATGAATTACCCTATTGTATACGTATACAAATGCAGATATCTCTAAATGGCCGTATCCATTCAAACGAATGATCGAGCGACCGACCGACTGAACAAAGTTCGATTTACCATATGCATGGATGTATCAATTTTCTTGGTATTTAGGCCTGACGATGCATACGGTGCCCAGTGCATATGGTTCAATTCCATTCGCATAGACATTGTTTACTCTTTTTTTTCGTTCATTTTCAAATTATAAATACGCCACCATCTGTTGAACTGTGCAAAATATTCGATGGCAAATGACATGCATACATGTTGGTGGTGTTGGTTGCCGACAAATTTCGTGTGCGGAGGTGTAAAGAGATAAAAAAAAACTCAATTTCGAAACACAAGAAGCGACAACATATTTTCTGCTGTGACGGCGATCGTATCGGGGAACAAAGTGACCATATGATTGAATTTTGACGAGTGAATCATTGTTGCGGTCGATGGTAAAGTGTGAAAAATTAACCACAAGCCGATGAAAAAAATCAATCCGAATTTTTGAAAACAAACACTTCGTCCTATTTCACGCCATATGGAAACCATAAAAAAGGAACCCGTGTACACCGCGTGTATCCCATTTTCTATAATTATTCATCAGTTTGGATGACTGAGTGATGATGCTACGGAACACCGCTGCTGACGGATTTAGAGAATGAATTTATGCTTTTACCAAGAATACACTCGGAATGACGGAGTGCGAGCGCAAAACTTAACGATGACCTACATAATTTTCCTTTCGTTCGCGGCTCGCGCGTCGGTTGACTTAGTTTTTAGTTGCGTTGTGGTTTGTTCGGTGCGATGTCAGAGAGTTTCTTCTCATCGTGCGCACATTTGCAATGAGTAAGAAAATAATCCAGTCACAAAAAACAGACTACAACCGAGTGGAAAATGCGAGCAATCATTGTGCAATGCAACAGCAGCAGCAGCAGCCGCAGCAAAGGAAAAAAATAAGCGATTGATCAAACTTGAATTTCACAAATCTGAGCATTAAGCGGCATGTGTGTAATTGCTCGCGATGCCGAATCAATGATTATTATTAGCATAGTTGTGCGCACGCTCATGTTTGCCTACACATTCATTCATGAAAAATTAAAATATCACATTTAAATAATGCTCCATGGAGTGTGCTCGTCGTCGACGACGACAATTCAACGTATGCGGTTTTTTGATGTGTACATTCATGTGTTTTTAATTTATTCCATGTACCCACAACGTGGTGTATTTTTACACGGGCAGAAAATCGTATCGCAACGACATGACAAACCGTATTTCTCGTTCAGCAAATGGGCAATTTATCATCGACGCTGGTGCTCGCCAAAAACCGATCCGCAAAGAAATGGAAAGTAATTATGGAAAAGTGGTTTGCATTCGTTTCGCCATATTCGGAGTAGACATTAAGATCTGGCAGGATCTCCTTTCACTCGACTCACATTTTCTCAATTGTTCGCTAATTGAGTTGTTAGCACATAAATCTTTTGTTATTGTTTTTCGATTAGTTTTGCAGCACAAGAAAGAAAACACAATTCACTAGAATATTGCATGGTTTCGCGGTGGGCTTTTCAAATTCACCATTAAATCAATCGCGTTGGAAATCGGCTTGTGTGTGTTTATTCACATATAAATTGACGCCTAATGGAAAATCAGGGATTGGAGCAATAACAATTTCTTGATTTCACAATGGAAATCAATCGAAGTCGTAAAAAGGTGCGTCTTCCATTGCTATCAGTTTAACTGTTCTGAACACGCATTCACATGCAGCTCGCATATCATTTTGATTAAACAAACAAAAGAAACTCTCGGCATTGCCGAGTCGGCAACATAATCTTGATGGAAAAGCGTCTTTGAATTTCGATCAAAGCTATTAAGGCCATTACAACGGTCTTCGAAATTCGGTTTATTTTTGGTTCGCCCAATCGCATCCACTGTTTACATATCATTCCATGAGCTTTATCAAGGCCAGGCATTTCAATCTGGTGTGTGCATAGCTATTTGGACAAGGAAGCCAAAGACAAAAAAAAACACACACACACAACAAATTGACTGCTGTAATGCAATCGGCCACACACGCTCCTCACACATTCCTCGTGGTAAAAAGTCAAAATGCTCACATTTGGGCACGTATGTTTATTTGTTTTCTGCTGTGTCATTTATCTGATTTGGGTGCTGATTAGAGTGCAACATGAGTAAATCAGTAGTTGTACATCAATGTGGTGTGTCACAATATGTCTATATTCAATCAAAATATTTATCGTTTTTCCTCAACACATAAATTCGAACCGTCGATTTTAATCGACGCTCCATCCAAATCAGCTCAAATTGTCAGAATAACAACAACAACACAACGACAATGGCAAATGAAGCAGAAATCTAGAAATATGGAAATTGTAATTCCACAATCGACCTCAATCGAAAAGAACGTTGCTAATGCTTTGATCCGACAATTGTTTCATTTGATGCGTAAAATTTGCTGCAGCCACAATCATTCGTTAGCATTTGTCGTTACATTTATTGCGGCTGTACAACGCAAATCCCATAAACAATAACCATATGCTTTGCGGCGCAAGAGTGCGCGTTCGCTAAGCACAGCACTTAAACATGACTCCAAATCCCATGTATGGTGAATGCTGCCATAGAAGAAACGATCAAAATTGGTTTCCAACGAAACGAAACGAAAAAAAAATGCTCATTTTTGTCATTGAAATGGTGTGTTCCATATAAGGTGTTACGATTACGTGAACCAACTTGAAAATTTTAATGCAAGTATGTGGGTTACAGAGCTCAGAAAGAAAAATAAGATGAGAAACGGCATACCGAATGAAATAATCCGTTAAATTGTTATTTTTTCTTTCTCTTTCGCGGTGGATTGTTATATGACCAATGCATATGTGCACCGAGCGCGCATGCATCGCAAACGATTGAGTTTTGGGAACGGCGAAAATGCATCAACACCCGACACATTTCAATACAAGCGATGTACGATACAATCTTCGCTTTCTTGAACGACACATTCGCTTCTCGCGAGCATTTTTCTTTATGTCAGCGATAAATAAATCTAGATCAGATATAAAACGAAATTAATCTTCGTGTGTAACGAAGTGATCGAATTGCGAGTGGCAAGCGGTTTTACATACATCTGGGTGTGTTCCGTTCCGCCGACACAATCAGGTGCGAAGAGAATAAGTGAGAAAATAAATTGAATGATAATCCAAAGGAGGTTCCTAAGGAATTATACTCATTAAAATGGCCATTAATTTCCGCATTTTTTTTTTGTTGCTGTTCAAATCGGCTGACACAATCGATGACACAACGTTGACTCCTTTCAGCACGAATATTTATTTTTGTTTGCGACAAAATGCACTTGGCTAATGCTAAGTTCGATGATGGGTATAAAAATAATAGCATCATTTCCATAAAACTGAATAAGATATTGAAAAAAAAAATTCGTACCTATAGTTTATCTTGATGTTAAAGCCACCATATGCTTCATGGATGCACTCGTGCCACGGTGTTACTCATTCTCATCGTATGCCTCACCGCTTTGTTTGTCTCACTTCGGATTACATCATTCGGCATTTAAGTTTTATGGAAGAACGAATGCCGAGTGCCGGCTTCGTCATTCGTATGTAAATACGAGTTGAAAAAAAAATTAAGTTATAGCCTGCGGTCGGTTAGCATTTCATGCGACACAAATGAATACATTCGATTCCAATCGATTTTGTCATCACTCACACTCCAAATTGCTCGATCAGGCGCTGTCTTAATCAGAATTTATTGGATTCACTTTGAAATGCTATCCGAATGACCTGAGAGTTCAATGAAGCTATTGTTGATGAAAACGATACGATTTTGTTTCACTTTGCACTACACCTAATCTCGTTTTGTATTAACAGAGTCCGCCTTCGGTATGAGTCAGTCGAACAACGCCAAATTTAATTTTAAACTCGATCACATCAAAAACGTTCTCAATTCTATTTTCGTTTCGGAAAAAAATCACCGAAAATTCGTCACTCGCTTTGACAGACATTATTTTACATCTCAAAAATATCTATCTATCGCATTTGGACACGGTGCGCCACTTCTTAATTTCAACCTCAAACGAACACGAAAATAACGCCACAGATTCGAGAATTATGAGGAAAAAAACACAGTTTCGATGAAAACGACACAGATTTGACACCATTTCAAGATTAATCACAACTTTCTTCCATTTTTTTAGTGGAAAATTTTTCGATGAAAAGATTAACCGATAAACTACTGTGCTGATAGACACCAGCAAGTCAATTTCGTGGAGTTATAAAAAAAGTCTTGATGAGAAAAAGGGTTAAGTGCATAATGTCATGGCACGAGCGACCAGAAGAATTGACTCGGATAAATACATTTTACTTGACAAATGATTTTGGCTTTTCTGCTTCTTTTGAGAAGCAAGAACAACAAAAAAATGAAAAGATTTGTTGCGCGGTCAAAAATCAGGAGCTATTTGAAACAGCCTGTTTTCTACTGAAACCAAAGACTGTATTCTTTATTCCCTTTTGTAACGGTGGCATGCTTGAGATCTATTGTTATAAATTTGTCGATTTTTTCTATGCCAGTTGCAACATTGTTAGTCGAAAAGGTGCTTCTTGAAAAAAAAACACTTTGTTTGTCGAGTTTACCTGAACGGTAGTTGTGAAGACACTATCGAACCGTTTGTATATACATATATTACAAAAATAGACACTTAACGGTGATGCGTAATGCATATTTTTTCTACTCTTCCTCGAAAAGTATATGTTTATTGGTCTCAATTATAGCCGACTGTTCATTTTCGTTTTGTATACACAGTACACACTCCCGACATTTGCATCGTTTTAATATGAGTAATTTACGTTATTTTTTTTTTATAATTCGCAAACAAAACTCGGAACACAGCATGATGGCGCAATGTTATGTTATTCCCTAAAGTAGGCCAAAATGAAGCGCTGAAAAGTGAAAATATTTGCTTTAATATTACGACTGTTTATTCTGTTTACATGCGGTTTTTTTTTCATACGTGAATGAACTTTTTGTAAGAAAATTGGCAGGAAGTTTAATTGGATAACAACTTAAAAAGAAATATTTACCAAAAGGTTTAACGAAATAAATGATTCACTGTTAATATAGGTAGTTATTATTGAATATTATGTGCGTACTTAAGATAAACAAAGAAGAAAGAAGTTTAATAAAAAAAAAGCAATACAATATTGAATCTAATAATTGGCCGAGAATAATTGAACAATTTTCAGTCATTTTGATTAACTGTCGATATCAACACACCTTAAAATTAACTGCAATTTGCTTTCGCCGTGGAAATCATCACATGTGAAATCAGTTTATCTTCGACACACACATAATCCTACCATACACACGATTTCTATCGTTCCACCAAGAATATCACAACATAATTGATTTGACCGATTCACAGAGACTTACTAAATAATTTTTTTATTTCGTATTATACCTCAAGAATCCTGTTACGATTTATTTTGTTGTTGTCTTTTATGCTTTAAAAACTGATCGACTAATTGTTGTTGTTCGATTTACAGGGTAATCATTGGTGCGCCAAGAGCTGATACATCGAGAATTCAGCCACGAGTGTTTCGAGGTGGTGCTGTCTATCGCTGTGATATTTTATATGACAATCGATGCCATCTTATACCATTCGATACGGCAGGTAAGTTCAGTGAATGATCCAGATTCATTCGAAACTGAAAAAAAATTTGCAACAATTATTCATAGGACGGGGATTCAATACGTTGTTTCTTCATCTTATTCTAACCAATCAGCCAATTTGGCAGAAAGGAATGATTTGCATCATTGAAACTGCTAAAAATTCCATTAACCGCTAGTAACTAACCAAAGTATTCATCAAAAGCTATTGACTTTTTGCTAGATTTAACTGATTTCATTGAGAGAGAAAAAAAAAAAACGTTTGTTAAATATTCGCTAAAAATTGATATTCACCGCGAATATGTTAGGTGTCATGTTTGCCTATCACATTATTCCCGAATTGGTTTTTAAATGGACGCACGTTTCATCGATTTGCATGATGAGATTCATGGAAAAATGTGCAATTGTTCCGTATACTTTTCGATTTGACACACAAACAAAAAAAATGTGTTTGAATGTTTATATTGAACGGCGAACAATGGCCCTTCCTGTGAGCATGTATGGTACCGCGTTATTGATGCAATAAAAGGCGTGCAATTAGTGGAAATAAATCAAAACGTTTTTGTTTGTTTTATTCTGACGAAAGAGAGAGAGAGAGAGAGGGAGAGAGAGAGGGAGAGAGAGAGAGAGAGAGAGAGAGAGAGAGAGAGGGAGAGAAAGAAAGAAAGGCAGAAAAAAACAACTCAACAAGATGAAAGCAGTAAAGAGATTTATTCGAGTGGCAATAGAAATTCAATTCGATGAAAGCACGCACAATTGAAGTACATGCCGGATATTGGTTTGTGTCAAAGGTTATCGAATGATGATATGTAATACCATGTTTTATTGGTTGAAGCCAATATCCAAACGTTGTTTATGACAGATAATAAAATGTTATTTTTTTTTATTACGACTGTGTGACCATGATTAAGCGATCGCATGCAATAGTTGCACTCGTCGACTTCGCTTCAAGCGCTAATTTATTCGTAATCCAAGAAAACAGACGATGAAGTCTGATTGCACACACTTGATGGCGATAATGTCATTGGAATAAAAAGAGGCTCCATTCATTCACATAAAATAGGCATCTATTCGTACCACTACTTCGTCCATGATTAACGGCTTAGCGCACATTTTCGAATTTATTCGAATATTTTCAAACCAAAAGCAACTTGAAAGTCAAGATGACGAGCTAATCTCGTCGTAATGATGATAAGAACTTTTGACTCATTTCCATACACAATTTCACTTCCCGACATCCTACATGAGACGCTTCGACTGTTCATCTTCACTTGCTTAAAAATTTATTACTTTTTTTTTCCAACACTTGGCTATCACCAGTTGATAATTTCCGACGAAAAAAAATTTCAATAATGGTAATGCCATAAAAATTAACGTTGAATAAGTTTTTAATTGCGCGAATCGCATAAAAAAGCAGCGTCAATTTGGATGAGTGAACGACCAGTTAGCCAATGGAATCTATAATCTTTAATCTAACCGAATCGTGTGCAGCATATAAATATCCAGTTTTTGAACACTTTGAACACGGGAAGATTCATTCTTTAATCCAATCGCCGTCGATAATCGTATTCAGCGATTTATGTAAGCATATGTAAGAAATAAATGAATGTGCGGCTGTGATAATATTTCATTTCGAAACATATCGCAGTCTAGCAGCAGCAGCAGCAGCTACAGCAGATACGCCAAACGGAACAAAGGTGTGCGAATGCTATTGGCATCGCATAATAGTTCACCTTGAGCATACAAGTGAAACGGACTGGTTTCGCCTATTTCTAATTTGGTGATAAAACTGATATCAAAAAGGAGCCAAACGACCGTTTCTCTGGTGTAAAAATGGAAATAAACGGAACAAACGACTTCAATCCCATGCGACGTACACACACGGAACTCACAGCAGATTGAGCGCACAAGATACCATAAAGTTGTAACTGGTTTTGTTTACCTATTCATTTTGGCTAGTTGCTAGTTTTGCCACCACAACACATGCATTATACTCGTACACACACACACGCTGCACCACAACACCAATTGATCTTAACGCTGTTCTAATAAACTGCCATTCGGTTACTGTTTACGAGTTCGCAATGATTGTGTTTTTATTGTGATTCTTTAACGAGTATGCAGTTAGTACATATTTTATGCGACTCAAGCCATAAACATAAACCACGGACATGAAATTGATCATGTATTGAATTCATTAAATCCGCGATTTCATCGTGTCGACATTTTCTTTGGCTCGGCAGAAATTTTCTTTTTTTTCCACTGCATGCATCATCATCACTTGCGCCAATTAATAGTTTGCTCGGGTTGGCCCACAAGAGAGAGATTTGTTCGTCAAATGAGGTGTATGTTTTACTGGCGGCGTGATTCAATGGATCGTGGGTGACTGTTTCATATTAACAAAACAAAAAAACTGATGCGGTGAATAGGCGAACCTGTTTTCATTCAAATTCTTGCTGGGCTTTTGTTTATGATCTTTTTTCTCCGCTCTCGCTCTGTGTTGACAAATCTCAACTATTTTTTTTTAGCTCATAAATTGAAACCGCGTCATTTTTGGTTGTAAAAGTCTGGTGTGTTTATTTCAATAAATCTGAAAGCCAGGTGAATAAAAACTGTGAATTTATGATCGAAACGAACGGCCGGTAAAATTTCGAAGCGAAAGACCTGCTGGGGCGTTAGCTGTTTTTTCAGTGAATAGTTTGTGTCAGCCGCAACTGATTTTGAAAGAATGCACACACGAGCATTTAGGCACATTTAAACTTAGTTAAAAGTTTAATTCAGATCACCTACACAATGAATGCCGACACTGTGTAGCAGCGAAGAGAAAAAATGGTACAACACATTCATCGGCGTTTCCTCGATCAAGCGGCCAACAAGTGATGTGCAGTGGAATCGACACGGCAAAACGAAAAGACGACGAAATGAATGGGCGCACACGTAATACTATCCGACACAAAACGCACAAATAACATATTTTCAATTTCGATAATCCTTTCCTTACGACTGACGCGACTACGTGCGCTCATTCACTGCATCATCCGGTTATCAATTTTCGTTTCGGATTTTTTTTTCCCCTCTGTTGATGTTATGAGTGCGCCGATTCATTCTGCCGATTCCATTCAACAACAATCGACAAAGAACACAGACAAATCAGAGTTCGGTGTGTTTCGTGTGCAACGCAAACCATCTATTAGCATTGCAATGGCGTTTATCCCCTTATTAAAAATTCCATTCACGATATTATTCATTTGGACAAAAGGAAAAAAACGATGACGACGATGACGACGACGACGACAACAACAACAACAGCAACAACGAAGAATAATATTCAAATGTGCGAATAGACCGAAAAAGGAGCCGGCGCTTTGTAATCAACATTTTCAATTCAATAACATCGAAATGATCGAATGTCCAAAACAATAAACGGCACAGAGAACAGAAATATATTCCAATGGCAGGCAATTATGATAATAATGTACTTGCGTTTCAACAGCAATTGTGTTTTTTTTTCTCGTCTCGATTGATTCGAGTACAACATTGAACCACTAGAACATTTATTGATAAAATAAAAATCAGAACGACACAAAGAAAGAAGTAACAACCAATTATCACTTAAAATGTGAGCAAACATTTGAAGTAAACAAGCACTTTCGTTCATTTTTTTTTTGTGTTTGTTCGATCACCAATTAAACATTCAAACACTTGAATGATTTGAACCGTTTGGCTCGTGCGCTCCCAATCTAACGCACTTCCATTGAGTGTAATAGAGTCCAATTGTGCGACTTCATTAATGAACAATCCGTTTAAATAACCATAATCGAACAGAAGAATCACAGTTTTGTGATCACTATTTATATTGCCACACTTTGATTGTGTGCGGATGTTTAGCAACGACTCAATCAAATTCCTCGTTTGCCTATCAAAATCAGTCGAATGGATCTGAATGGAATGGGCACGTGATCGTTTAATTGTTATGTTTGCCATTCATTCTTTTATATTGTAATTCATTGGAATCGCCAGGCTTGATGGTTCCCAATGATATTTTATGTCAATAACCGACACCAATCATGAAATCAGTCGCGAGCTCTTTTTCACATTCGTCTTTTTTTTCTTGTTCAATTCAAATTCGTTGGTTTTGACTCGTAATGTGATGTTTCAGTCACGATATTGACTACTGTTTCACGATTCGTTTCTTTTCGGCGTCTAGAAGCTAACGAATTCGAAGACAGGCAGCTGTGCCAACATAGTGAATGTCAATTTGTTGATTATTTTTTTACATGCGAAATTGATTTCAAGACTCTCAGCAATCATTAAAAATGACATCACTGTTGACTGTTCAACGGCAATATTATAATACCTAATGAAGTGGACGTCAACATGTTTTTCCACAAGCAAATCAAATGCTTCTGGCCAATAATTGCACTTTCAAGTGCTTTAATTAATGGATTTTATTTTTATTTTCGTAAAGAAAATTCTGTTATGAAATCAAAACGATTTCAATGATTCCAAAGTTTAATGGGACTAATCTCGATGTGAATCACAAATGCTTTTTTTTCTCGCTGCTTCTCACACAAACACACTTCCTTTTGACTGCAATCAAGCTGGTGGCAACCGTGTTTAAATTTAGTGCACTCGTAAAATTTTACGGTCGCATTGCGATAATCTTTTTTAATTATCGCCACATTTTGATCTTTCACTCACTGGCCTGAATCGAGTGAAACGAAACACACACACACACACACACAAACACATCGTTTTGATTGGACGCGAAGGCGACAAGGAAACTCGAATGCACTTAGACACTGAGTCTACACATTTTGCGAAACACTTCAAGTGAACGGAATCCTATAAAGTACGGTATTTATTGCGACGTTTATTTGCGATTAGCCACGGATTCATGCTTTCTTAACGGTTCACTACACTTAATCGAGAAAAAAATGGTTTTCTTTTTGCCAATGCAAAATCAACAGATTTCATTTTGACGACAGATTTTTCTTTTGAATTTGTCCGCACTTTGAAAACTCTAATCTAATTCGTGTCCAGAGAATCCGAAACGATAACCATTAAACCACATTCGACGGTATGTGTTCGTAAACCGCCTTGCATCCGTGTCGTAATGGAAAGGCGCGCTCGCGCATCAGCCATTTACATATTTCACTCAACAACTTTCAAATGGAACAAGTTATGAGCCGAAAAATCAAAACCATCATAAATTCCAACATTTAAAACGTAGCAAAATTGTATGACAAAGCAAACAAATCTTGGGTCTCTTTTTCTTGAATTTTAGGTACTAACAAATGTATCATGCGATTGAAAGGTGGGTGTATTCAAATGTGCTTTATGTTGTTGTTTTGTGAACGTGTATTCTTTAGGTGTGCTGCTTAGAATTTGTGCCATTGCATCATTTGTAGCAACAATCGACACTCAAATGGAAAACATTACATTCATCTCGTCCACAACATCCGCATTTCATTTCTCAATCGCAATAGAATTCACGCATATTTTCATTCATTGATTAGCCTTTGTGAGTTTCGCTCTCATTATTCTTACATCAGAAAATAGCATCGCAATCCATTCCATTTTAAACAATAGAACCTCTAATCTTTTTTTTTTCTGCTTCCAAAAGACTCGAAATTTTGGAAAGTATCATTCGAATCGCACATACCATTGACGGGACAGTAAATAAACATATGAAGCACATTCATCATACACCTCTTCAGACACTCACAATTTTGTGCTCTTCATTTTGAACAAATTTCTTTTAATTTAAAAGCCATCATCGATTCATGACATGCATTTCATGGGGGAAGCCTTCTTTTTCCATTTTTCTTTTGATTTCGTCATTTTTGAGCGTTCGCTCATTTCAATGTAAAAACATACTTACTTTTGTTTTATCATCAGTTTCAAAACTGCAGTTTTTTTTACTTTAACTTCAGATTTTCACCAATTTCAAGTTTAACACATTTCATTGAAATAGAAATTTTTTTTTGTAATTTTCAGGCGTTTTTTTTTTCAACTTTTTCACTCACTCATTCAAAACTTCACACTAATTGAATCCTTCTGTTAATTTAGGTAATCAGATCAACGATCGAAATGAGCAAATCGATACAAAATCGGATCAATGGTTTGGAGCTACAGTGACAAGTGCCGGCGAAAATGGCCCTGTGGTGGTGAGTAATAAATATCAATTTCAACCAAAATTACCTATTAAAATGGAATGAATTTTATCATAAAAACAATGATTGCAATTTGCAAGGTCATACCAAGCGAAGCACTTGAGTTGAAGGAAATTCAGTACAACAGTGTCTCATTCGGTTTATTCACACATCAATTATCTGATATTTGATATGTTGTGTTTGCACAGCACAAATGTCATCCAAATCATTTTGTGCACTCATTCGTCAAATTCGGTTGGTCTGTTTTGGTTGGTGGTTTTTGGTGATGTACCGCCGAAAATAGCCTGCCATATTTGGTTTGCTGTGGAATTTTTATTGATGTTATGTGCCGCACATAATTGCCGTCGAACGAAAGACGACCGATCACAATTATTCAATCGAATTTAATTTGGTTGCCATTGTTGGGCATCAGCATTTTAAACTGTAGCATTTTTCTGTATTCGTCTTCGGTTGTCTCCGTTGTCGCGCGGCAGCGATGCATTTCTTTAATGTCAAACATCACGCAATTTCGTCTTGGAATCATTCTTTGGCCTCACATTCCGTGCAAAAGAAATACCAAACGAAGAAAAAAAAACTGTGCACAGTGATTTGAATTCGCAGAAACTGAACTGTAATTAACACAATGATGATAAAAATTGTTAATGACCGCTTAAAATCGTTCCATCGCAATTCTGGCGAAACGGCGTTAAAAATAGCAACAACAGCAACAACAACAACAAAAAAGAGCGACTCACATGTTGATCGCATGATATAAACACTTAACGATGAGTTCAACTTATTGAATGGCCACGGCCTGAACGAATTACAACGGACCAACTTAACGGAATGCATGAAAAATAGCGACGATAAAGAAATGTATAAAAATCGGGCTTGGCCATCCGAAACGATTAGGTTTGATGTGACTGCTGCTGCTGCTGCTTTCTCCCCCTTTGTCGGATGGTTGTTTGACCTCGACGTCATGCGAAAATTGCTAGTCTAAGAGCATTAAAATGATATGGCTTTGCGTTTGCAACGTATCGCTTTTGCACCGTTTATCGTTTATTGGTTTTCCATTAGCGTAAGGTTTTTAATTTGCACACGAAGCGCAGACCGCTCGAAGGTGTTCAAATCGTAACACATCCAAATCCATGCTTTGAATTTTTAGTAGTGTAGTAAAATCATTTAATAAATTTCCAAGCCATTTATTTCGAAGAATAGAGTAGGCAATATCAATTGCTCTACAGAACTAGTTTCGGCCATTTTACACACAAACAAATGGCACATTTGACCCAAATAGATAGACACTTCCTCGCGGTCACAATCGTTCGATGAGCACCCGCACGAGATATCGATTGAGCATTAATCGGGAGTGCATTTTGAAGGACAAAAATGAAATTTGATGCCCCGTCAACATATCGATGATAGGCGGTGTCGTCCATGAAAATCCGTTTCGCTCTGATTGATAGAATCCATAACGAAGAGAAAAAAGAAGAAAAATTATGACATTAATGTGTGTGTGTGTGTGTGCCCGCAATCGATGAGCCGTTTTCCTGTTCATCCATATGCGTGAACATTGTTCAACCATTTTTGGCCCGAACTTGTTCTTTCTTAACAATTATTCTCTTGTAGCTGTTAGCAGTATCTAGTTACTGTTTATTTTTGCCGTGTGCGATATCACAAAACGTTGAAAATGTGCACGCGACGCGGCAACCAATGCGAAAACTATCGATATCAAGTTGCGGAGTTCATCAATAAAGTGGAAATATTCTCCACTGGTTCGTCGATCTAAGAGGGAAATGCACGCAATGGAATTATTAGATGGCCTAGAAAACCCATCGATATATGTCTTTGTTTCGTCTATGCAATCGCACGTTCAGTATTGTGCTCACTTCGATCGACTCTGGCGGCAAGGTGTTGAAAAATCATCGACACAACCGCGATTGCATTTTGTAATCGAAGTGGCAAACGAACTCGAAAATGTTATGTGTGTGCTTTTGCGTAAAAGGGAATGCGATTCAGGTTCCACATTTCCAATGCCCACATCGAGATCGAGACAACAAACTTGTGTCTAATTCCAAATAAAATCTAAGTGGCGCAAATATTTATTAAATCGCACACTCGTCAATTCAAAGTTCACTTCAATGTGCAATTATGCTGTGTGAGGAATTTTCTTGAAAAGAGTCGAAATCAATGCACAGATTGGGCAAAATCAATGTTTGCATTGCGAAAGACTTGGCTTCCTCTGCGATCGATTGAAAAAAACACAATGGAATACTTTTTCTCATCGCAAAAGAGCGTTTTTTGCGTCAGAAGAATGCGCGGTGCATTATCGAATTACACATGATAAGACAAAAACTGCATTTAAAATCGCATTGGCTATCAATCAATGCCAGTGAAGGCTAACCCGTGTATTACAATCGATGCGACATGGTATTGATGTCAGTTTCAGTTCTCATGCATCACACGAAAAATACAAGAGAGTCATTTAAAATGTTGGCAATGTGTTTTTTATCGGTTTCTGCATAAATTTGCAGATACAGAAAATAAAATTTATCGATGTGATTTTGCCGGCGATGCACACAGAAGAATCAACAGCAAATAAAAAATCGTCGTTGCCAAGAGACACGAACGTGGGTCGGGTACATCATACATCCGGCAAGCTACTCAATCTGCTTTAAATGTAGAAATATTATTGATATCGATACGATGGAACGGGGCGTGATCACCGTGCGCAATGGTCTTCGATCTTCCAAATCGATTTGATGCCACAAAGGATATACACAAACACAATCCGAATGACCACTAGACATTACAGATCGTTTACTGTTTTCCAATGGCATTTTCATCGCGTTTTTGCGTGTGCATTATCTCTCTATTTCATGAATGTTGATGAATAATTTCAATGGCCACTTAACCATTCATTTACATACAAATGTACGATCGATTTTATTGTACTCGATCTTATTCGCTCGGTTTTACCAAGAGCATCTATCTCACAGTGTCTATATGTCCGTTTCATTTAATCTTGTGCCAAGCATCTCCGTCTCTCGTCGTGTTGAGCCAAAATGCGGAATCCGATGACAAACAATAAAAGCTATTTTTATGGCAAAAACTCACTTATTCGGAATGAAATGATTAGCATAAAAATGTTTTACTACTTGTTGCGATTCAATTGTGTTTGGCCGGAGCGCGCACAAGACAGGCCAAACCGAAATAAATACCATACGCATGCCAAAAATGCACAGCATACCATTTTTCGATGCTGTGACCATTTCAAGAAGGGAAAAAAGCGCAAGTCTCCATCGAAGTTACGACATACGGAAAGACAAAGCCACACAAAATGCGCTTATGATCACAGAAAAGACGAAAAAAAGAAGAACATTACACATTCATTTGATTGTTCTCTCAGCGAATTCAAATATCCGAATATGGTCAAAACACATTATGGGTGCAATTGCACGCATAAATATCGAATTTATGTGGATTTTTTTTGTTCTTCATTCGTTTTGAAACCAACAGAAAAATTCAATGGTTTTATTGTGTTTTTTCTTTCTTCGTGGTTGTTGCAAAATAACCGATATTTATTGGTTAGTGAAAATCACTTTGGATAATTTGATGGGCATATTTATTTCACCGCTACCAACTATTTATCTCTGTTGACTTTTTCATTCGGCAAGAGCAAGCCGAGCTGAATAATTGTCGCTATCACAAGTTTTGCATAAAATGAATGAAATTCTAATGGTTCGAACAGGTTGATGTACGTACATTTGCCGAGTAAGCTCGTTTTTTTTTCTTCTTTTCCACGGCAAAATATTCGTTTTAATCAACTGCACTTAGAGGGATATTGCATTTATCACGAGCCAATGTATAACATTGCAAGCGAACAAATCATACGCGACCACATTCTGTGACAGAATAATCGTGCTTCTGGTGCTTGTTGCATTTGCCTGTTCAACTTGATCAACTACTGCGACTGGGAATGTGCCTTCAAACGAACAACAGCTACAAAAAAAAAAAACAAACAGAACAGACACGAGGGCAAAAAACAAACCAAAACGAAACATTCAATTGACTACCCAAACTAATAGCGGCGATAAGTTATTTCACTTTGACTTGTTATATTGAATCGTTTAGTTGTACGGGCAATTTGTTTCGTTTGCGGACAACATGAGCGAGATATGACAAAAATGGAAGAAACAACCGAAAGCAAATTGCCATCATGCAAGAACGAGAGAAAGATGGGATTTGCCATTTTGCTGCGGAAATTTTTTTTTGCCGCGCACGAACAACGCAAACACACCAAACACCGACTGCTCCTTTACCGAACACAGTGCACACAGAAGCGAAAAAGATCACAGCCGATATCAACGCTATCAAGATACATACAGGAAAAACGTTTGCATCTCAACAAATTGCCATTCCATTAAAAAATGCTTTCGAATCCCGAGTTAATTGAAGATCACTTCGTTCCTTTGGACTCATCGAGAGAGAGAGAGAGACGAGAGAGAGACGATCGAGAGCAAAAAAAAAAATAGAATTGCTTTTTAGAATATTAGACATTTTGTAAAGAATGATAGGAGCGACTCGGAGCTAGCTAATATATAGGAGCTACCGCATTACATATTTTAGGGACTGAGTTTCGGTTACTTTGCATGCGACGATATACAACGCTCGAAAGCAAAACAATAAATCTTCCGGCTAATGCACATCAATTCCGAAGTCATTTTCCATCGAGAAAACAACTTCAACTAGAATACTGGTAGCTCACTTTTTATGTTGCCGACGTTTCTTTTTTGCTATCTGCACAGCCAAGACAAAATCACCAACGACGATCCATCGTCTTACCTTTGACTTTTAAACTATGCATAAGAAAGATGCGAACACTATTCAAATGCGATGGCTCAAGATTGATTCAAGACAGTGGAGAACATCGTTCGTCTACATTTTGTTCATGATCAGAACTGGCCCCATTGGGCTGTCGCCATTCAATACGCTTTATTATGACCTGCTGTCCACTGTTTGGATCTCTTGACATATCGATCGACCGTGCCTATACATCGATATATATTCTGTCCAGAAAAGGAAATTGCACCAATGGCATTTCCCATGACAAGAAGCCATTTCAGTGAAGATGCGACAAAAATGCATTTAGTCACGGGCGAATTTACGCCAGTTTCGTAAGGAATTTGCGTAAATTGATGTGGTCGTTTGGTTTTGTTTGTGCACAAAATTATCGATGGTTAACCATAAGAAACATTTAAACGAAAAAAAAAGGTAAGGATTTATGAACGACCGAAGAAGGCGGCTTAATAATGCAAATGTTAAATAATGCTAAATGAAACATTACCACTGAAATTGAATGCCACAATGACACTATTGAATTTCAGATAATGCGCCTGAGAAATGCGTCGGACCCGGTTCGATACCGTACTCACTCTTTCTCATCGCTTGGGTGGTTTGTGTTTGTGCGAAATGATGCGATTCGTTGACATGTGTCGCGTCTATTCATTGAGCCGTTGTCCGTATTTCAGGTGCAAACGACCATAAATCAATGCACGAGACAACCAAACCGTTTTGTGCTATTCAAATCGTTCGTAGCAACTTGCTACGGATCACGTTCGTACATTTTCATAAGAAGGACCCAACGCAAGTTGGTCTGTTATTTTCGAACCAAAAAGAAATATGCATTCCAACCAAATGGCAAAGAAAAGTCTAAATACGTTAAATTATCGTTCAACCAAAAACAAATGAGCGACATAAAGTGTGAAGCTTATTTATGAGTGTCGAACTATTCAGACGGTTTGCTAGTTTTATGCAACTTTTTTACATAACAAATTGGGCCGAAACGAGAAAAATTCAACGTCGATTTGGGAAATATTTATTTGATGTTTTGTTTGAAAATCGGCAACAGCAGCAGCACAAGTACAACATTGTAGCAAAATGAAGTGTGTACAACCGAAGTGAATGTATAAGTTAGTAGAAGAAGAAAATGTTAATTTAAAAAAGGTTGTAAGTGTTTTTATCTAATTTTGGAATGTGTTGTTGTCTTTTGCAGGCATGTGCACCGCGATATGTGTTCCATACGATGCAGCCGAGGAAAGTAGTGCGCGTTGAGCCGGTCGGTACGTGTTATATGGTCAAGAAAGATTTCAAGGAATACACCGAATACTCACCATGTCGAACAAGTAAGTGAAATTCGTTCTTCTTCTTTTTTTTTAACTGTAGTGATTTGCATGCGGACTCGACATTTTGCTGTTTATGCATCAACGGGAATGTATTAATTGACGCCATTGCCACTAGTTTTATTTTTTTCTTCTTCTACTCTCCTCATTCTCCCATTTCCATTCCCATGCTCTTTTCTTCTCGACTATTTTTAACTAATGAAGATGAAAAGTAGCAAAAAAAAAACGAGAGAGAGAAAAATCGAAGCCGTAAATTGTGTGCTGTAAACACAAACGGTCCGATTTGAATGGTGCCGTACGTTATTTGAAAGTCTAATGAATGATGCTGTGCTGCCGTCGTTGAGAAAACTGTTTAGCAACGCCAAGATGTCAAAATGAGGAAAACTAATAAGCCCAGCGATCACATGTGTGTGTGTGTGTGTGTGTGTGAGTGAATATGTGCAAAGCTGTATGTATCGAGTGTCGAAGCTGCTCGAGCGACCGAGCAAAATTCGAAAATAATTTCAAAATTTACAAAATCATTAACACGGCGACGAGATGCGTGCTGATTCTACATCAAGAATCCGAGCAAAAGGCAACCAAACACTAATGAATATTACCGTCTATTTTTAAATCGCAGACAAACCAATACACAGTGAATGAGCCTGCGCCTGTGCCGTTTCAAGCCACATTGAAACTAATTCAACGCGCATTAAAATTGTGTGTCATTTTGAATGTAATGTGTGTGTGTGTGTGTGTGTGTGTATGCGTGGTTGTACATGTAGTCACATATTCGTGGCACGTACCATTCGCTCTTGCTCCCGATCATCGCTCTTTGTTTCGTGTATGTCCTATGTGCCTTATGTACACGTTTTTTTTTTCTCTTCTCTTCAAATACACATTACAAGATCACATCGTTTTGTGCGCGTAGTCTTAGAAGTTCCAAAAATGAACACAGCAACATTTTCGATGTACGACACGACTTACATTCGCCAGATGAACGGAAGGAACATGTGTGCTCCCTCTTGTTACCTATGTTTCTCTCGTGCATTTTTTTCTCATCCTTTTTTTTTCTCGTTTGGTTCGTAACCAATATTTTGTGTCTGCTCAAAAAACCAAACGGCAACACAAAAAATTGTTGATACAATCATTCGCTTGAATCGCAACGAATAGCTGTTCTTCGTTGCACGATTGAAAAAAACGCAACCAATAAATTTATTTGTGCATTCTTTTTTGACAAATTAAATGGGAATGTATTGTGCAGCGTGCAAATTGTCGAAAACAAAACCAAACCGAACGAAACAGAAAAAAAAACTTGACGTTGAACTTCATTTGATCGAGTGTCACACATGAATAAGTACGGAACATATGAATTTTTGCGATGTATTGGCCCGATAAAGACGTGATGATTTGTGCCCATATTTATTCGAAGGCTTCCGGTTAGTTGACGAATTGTTTGCGTTATTGGCATATAAATTGGTTTTTAATTTTTGACGTCGTTGCTTCGGTGTTGGCTTTTTCTGCGGTTTTATTTGGATCGAAGAATTTATTCCCCTTTGGCTTATATGGCGATATTCAATTCGTATGCACATGGGAAAAGGGAATTCGAAATTGTTTACTGCGTGTAAAGGTTTGTCCTTAGTTTTTGTTCGTTTTTTTTTTTGTTCTTCAGTGGAATTTCCATGGAAAAGTGTGTTTTTTTTCTTTTCGATGTGATTCATGTTTATTTAATTCGATCTGAGCTCAAAATGTCAGCAAGTCGTTGATTGGATAGCATCAGGCGCTTTGCGTTTTCTAAACATTTCAGCTGCACCAAGACATCTAATTCAATTAATTTCGACCAATACAAAAATAGACGTGTTAACCTGCAATAAATCCATCGTGAAGATGTGATGTGTGCCGTTTTTTTCTCCCGTCTATTTTGTCGGTGGAAAGATCCGTGAACTCAGATAACCGCATTACAATCCAATATTGCCGCGTTGATTTCGGGAAATTGTCAGTTTGATGTGTTGCTTTTTAAACTGATGCATAAGCCACGATTTAACACACATGCCAAAGATCTGTATCTATTTCGAGGTCTAATTTTTGTTTTCAAATGCGTGCATGTTCTCGCTTCGCCTTGCACTTGCCCATGAACGAATGCCGGCGCATTTCACAAATTACAGAAAAAAAAAAACAAAGTAGTAGTAAAATACCACGAATGATTGGTGTGATTTTCGTTGTGTTGAAAATACGCGGAGAAATATTTGACCGCTAAATTGGCTGTTATTAAACGTAATCAGTGATCACGTGTAGAGGCGAGTGTTTCTATTTCATCATTTGATCTCATTCATTCGCTTGGCAGAGCAAAGTCTCGGGTGAATTTACATGTCCGAGCTGTCGAGAACTACAATGTAAAATCGGTCGAACCACAGCAACTCTAGCACTTGTTTTTTTTTCACAAAAGAATATCTCTAGGATTTTTTTTCGTATGAGACGGCATAGCTTATGTTCACAATAATATTTATTTTGCGATGCATCGAGGCTATTCTCGGTGGGTTGTTCAAATATCATGCGGTGCTTCATTCATTTCCACCACAGATTACTATTATCTTTCACTGGCTTTCGTCGTTCACCATTTGCACGCAGCCAAACACTAAATTTTGTCTCAATACCAAATTACGCGACCACATTACTTATTGTGATATGTGTATAGTTATTTGTTATTCGAGCCATTCGATGCGAATCACAAAACCGATAAACTCGAATGTTGCCTCGATTGTTGTGCCGGTTTTGTTCTCTAGCTCAATCTCAGTGCCGGAGAGTGTGGATCGTAGAATCAAATCATCTAACAAATTGCATTCACCGGTGCGCTAGAAGTGGCTAGGCGCAGCTTTCGGTTTACTCAGTAAACATGGTGAAGTGTTGCTTGCATTCAAAACCATTGAAAATAGAATGATCTCGGCGAAACAGCCAATTGAATATTCGCCATTCTATGGTGCGCAATTGAATGGTGCATCTTCAAAAGAAAGAAAGCAGGCAAACACAACAATATATATTCTTTAGATTCGATTACAAAAGCCATACATCATGCACTAACACCGCGCGTCATGTCTATTTGCCATCATAAATCCTAAACGATTCAGTTGAATGTAGATAACCGTGTGCAAAATACCAAATGTCTTAAATAAATAATCATGGGAATGATTTTTCGCTTTGGTAAAAAAAAAGTCTTTTTATTTCTTTCTTCTTTGAATTTATTGGAATTGCTGGTTGAAATCTGTGCAAACGCACAGAAATGAGATGCTCAATTGTATGTCATAAAAATGGTAAATTTCTTCGTCTCGAATGGCATCGTCGTTTTTGATTCGTTCGTTCATGCCATTCAATTGAAATAGAAATTTTTTTATATTTGCGTTTGTACTACACGAACTGACAGAATTGGCGACAATGTCTTTTTAATAGATTTCCCATTGAATGAGTCCAACAATACGCTTACATATGCATCATTAAAAGCGACAACACATGCATGTTCAAACATATGAAATGCTCACGCTGCCTTGTTGCGTTGCCTTGTTCCGTGCAAATTGCGTACGTTTATTTCATAAAATTGGTTTGATGCAATTTCTTGCTCTTCTTCAATTGCGATACACAATCGCTTGAGCCATAAATTCATAATTTGTTGCAGTGGCACATGAGAGGCTCTCGAATGAAGATATTAAATGGATTTTTATCGCTTTATTGAATTGTTTACGACATTGTCATTTGTGCTGCATATATCGCCTCATGAAGTTTCATTACGGAAATCGACTCTAGCAACGAATGATTTATGCAGAAGAGTATGAAAAAACCGTTGTTCGAACGATTTGTTTCTGCCTTAAATCAAGATGCACTCCGTACGAGCGAACGAACTGTCTCTCTCTCTCTCTCTCTCTCTCTCGGCTGCAATAAATTGAAACATTCAAATGAACTTTTGGTCAAGTCTTTGCCGTGTTTAAATTTTATCTAATTACGTATTCAAAACACGATGCAACGAAAATGTTTGAACGAAGGAAAAGCCGAACGTGAATATTTGAATATTTATCACTGTTGATGTGTTTATATAGTGTGGAGCACTTCTTCAATGCCACAACGATGCGCGCACCGATGAAGACAAATCGATCAATGCACGGCAATCACGTTTTTTTGAAGTGTTCTCGGATGCAACCAAAGGGTTGCTGCTGCTATGCTGCTGTCGTGTATACTTGTTATTTCTGGAAATCATTAAACACAACACATGTCTAACACACAAGAGATATAAACAGTGGAACCGTTAACGTCAACAATGTGTTGTTTGTCTTCCGCGATACCAATTGCACACGTTCACACTGTAATCACCACTGTGCCCTCCAGCCATATACTGTCAAATATTCATATTTACATTCATAAATTTTTCGGTTTTCGTCTTTTACTCTGAAATTAGGATGTTGAGTTAATTAAATTTTGACGTTCACTCACTGTGTACACTCACTCCCGAATAAAACTTCGTTATTTGTTTGTTCCGCTTGCAACTTGCAGGCGACTGTGAAGTGCATCAATAGCTGTTATGAAATGTAACAAAAATGTCTGATGGATTTATAACATAAACAAATAGAAACAAATCCAGACATCGATTTCACTCCCTTAAACCGATTTCATTGTTATGGTATGCAAGTCACACAGTGCGTCTAATACCAAGGATATCTAAATGACTGGGATAATTCTTTTTGATTTTTTTTTGTATCGGATAAGATTCTAAAAAAGAATGCAATATACAAATATGGATGCAACAAATTTTTTTTCTTTCAAAAGCAATGAAATCCAATCACTCTCGTCAAAAATGATCGAGACAGTTCAGAGCTGAACTGTCACACTTCAGTGTTTTTTTTTTCTTTCTTCGTTGCCTCTTCCCTTCCTTTCTCTTCGTTCGTTCGCCTTGTCTCTGCTATTAACGCGCGTATCTTATCATTTTTCTCACAGTTTATTATTCTGTTGCTGATCTTCACGTCACTTAGAAGTCGTGCACAGCCTCATCGATTAAAAACCATTTGGTGTGTTTTGAATTTTGATGAAAGACGCTAACCATTTTCAGATCGTTTACAACACGAATCGTTGCACCCAGTTTCCGATTTCGACAAGACGTTGAAAAAGGAAGAGAATCATTGAATTGAATCAAGTAGTAGTTGGGTCGGATGTGTGTGTGTGTGTGTGTGTGTGTAACAGGTCTTGTATGCAAAGTGTTTATTACGAGCAATCAATGTATCGCAGTGTTGTCTTTATGCACTTCTTGTAAAATTCAAATTCCTCAGAAACAATTGAATGTAAAATGAATTTCTTCTGCTCTTGTTATTGCAACTTGGAGATAAAGAGAAAAAATAAAATGGTCATTCATCGATTGTGTGGCAACGTCTGCTAAATACTGACTTGACTGAAGCAAAAAAAGAATCGACGGCACAAATTTTGCATCCAAATTTATGCACAAAAGGTAGAACATTGTCAATACTGTTGTTTCCATTGTTTTCGATTTGTGTGTATGTTACATTGTTCCGCGCCGAATTGAAGTCGTAATTTGATATTCATGACGGTAATTCAATTTTACCATACCATAAAAAATGTTTTACATTTGAAAACAATCTTGAGAATGTTTGCCGACAAAAGATCGTTTATCTGCGAGTTTGATTCGTGTTCGGTTTGACTTCGGCTTGACCGTAACAACGACTGGGCCGACATGCATTTTTTTCTCCTTTTGTCTCTTCATCGATCGATTTCGTACATTTTTGCGATAGAGGCCGATCTGATTTTGAACCATTTCGAACGTTATGTTGTGCAAGAGTGCACCTTTTGCTTCGTATTTAATACTCATATAAATTTCATTGCCGTTATTTCAATAAAGCAAAAAAAGGGGGAACGAAAAATGGCATATGGCAACAGCAAATGTGCGTCCTTTCGGTGCATTTGTATCATTCGTTTCATTTGAACGTCTCTCAAGCGAAACGCACGCAAATGAGAGCTGCTGCGCTGAAGTACAAACATGCGCCAAAAATGAGAGAGAGAGAGAGAGAAAGATCCGCCGCGCGTCGTCTATTTTCAGCCGTTTTGCCAGTTACATAGTCAACATTGTAATAAATTCGCATATTTTAGTTTTGTTTATTCAGAGTATTTTTATTTATCAGTCGAGAGTCATAAAGTTGTTCGTCAGACGGAATGGTTTTCATATGGATGACACAAAGCGCACTGTGAAGAAATGAAAGAAAATAAACTCTGCAAGAATGAGAAATCAGAGAAAAAAAACTCTGAGTATATCATGTGCATGTCTTCTGTTCACGTGAATAAGAACGCTTGGCTTCCTTTTTTCGATGGCTATGCTTTTGTTTACTTTAATACTCGTCAAAAGTCGTCTCGAGAAGATGAACATATCACATATTCGTATCGTATGTTGTATGCGGAACGATGTTATTATACGAGCACAGGAAATTCATAATAATCTTGATGATTTTCGGATCTTTTTTTCTCTTCGGTTCCATCGGATTCATGGTTATTCCCCTTTTCTTTGTCGAACCGAAATTCGCTCAACTGACGCTTTTGCCAACACGTGATTTTCATTAGGTGTTCAACGACAAACGCTACATTTAATCGACTGAATTTGTCATTTCCGAAACGGAAAACGGCGCTATTTTGTCGAACGTTCTATTGCACAAGACTAATGACATAAGTAAACGCCAAATGATTCTTTCGAACAAAACTTTTAGAGCGTCAAACGCAATTCGATTACATTTAGATTCCGTTCCACGGAATGGCTAAGCATGACTTTTGATTTCCATAGTGGAATTGCAAAAGGCACTTTCTAGTTTTAATGAGTTATCAACTTTCATTGGTGGTAATGTTCCGATGGCACTTTTGTTACGCATTTTCCATTCGGGTCGGGTGTCATTTTTCATAACCGTAATGGATTATGATTTTTCATTCACGTGACAACTAGAGCGCATTGCATCACTTTTACGATGCGACGCAACAATGGCCCCCTCCTTCGCACGCTCATTCTTTCGATTCATCTTTATGGTAGAGAAGACGAATTGGAATAATTTCCCTTTTTATGATCAATTATCTAATAGCGTCACTGCTGCGATGCATTTCGAATAAAGAAAAATCGTTTTACGGCAATTCAAATTGTGATGGATTTTGTTTTGCATTTCATGCTGATCATCAGCCATTAACAACCCAAACACTTCCACAACGCATAAAACTAAACGAAACGGTGAAATGCATGAAAGCCCATAAAATGGCGATGCACAGAAGGTTTGCTTTTGTTTTAAAAACTTCATTAAAACGTTACGATTAAAATGCGACTGGTTTTGTGTGACAAATCGTTTGACGGCGTTGCGATAGAAATGATGAAGAGGAGCGTTAAAAAAAATCATTGTCATTGGCTGGAAATCAGTATTGTTTGATGTTCTATTTGCATGTGATAAACATGATTACTAACCATAATCGTTTCCTTTTCTCTGTCTATTTTCAGTGTTCTGGGGATACCACAAACAAGGCTCATGTCAAGCCGGATTGAGTGCAGCTATCACAAAGGTAAATATTATTCCGAGCGCTGATAATTTGTGAACCGTTGAAGTTTTCCCTTCTCTTCCGCTCAATTAAAAGCACATATGTATATGAAAATGTAAAAGGCGGCAATCAGATAGGAAATTGATATTTGTTCGCAAGCCCACGCATTTGCAACACACTCACCGTGATTCGATTCAACGTATTTCTTCGTCTGCCACATTCGATTTGCGCAATTTGGACAGGTGTAGAATGGATTGCCGCGATCTGCGTGTCCGTAAGCATTACCCAACACCGAGCAGCAAATTTAAATGCATGGTTGAAATGTGTGCCGTCATCATTATCGCCCGAGCATCAAATGCACACTACTTATTCGATCCTCGGGAATTCAAGAGCGTATGTGTCTCTGTGTATGAATCTTTCAAATGCTTGTTTTTTCGCCTATTTTTCACATTGCGGGAAATACGATCGAATGCGAATCGCTTGAAAATAGAAGAAGAACCGAACGAAAAATTCAAATGAGACGGCGCAAATGGTTGTGCATGTAGTCAAATCTTGGCAAAATTTTTGCGGCGGTTGCATTTCTTACGAGAGTTATTCGACTGTAGCCCATGGTGTTTGTTTATTTAATATCGCTTTGATTACTCGCCTGCAAAATGAAGTGTACTCACACACCAATCGAATGTAATGCCGTGGCATTTCATTTCCATCGAGAATTTGAATTTAGCACGATTTTCGTCGTGGCACATTAAAACACGGTTGGAAAAAATAAACAAAATTCGAAAAATGATACAAACTGCAAGCAAGCGTTTACCTCTCTTTCACCCATCGCACTGAACAAACAGCGCAAATGTGCGCGACAATACGAAATCAGAATAATAAATAAGCATAACTCGAGAGATAGCTAGAGCACTGCATTTAAGTCTAAACGACTTAAATTGTCTTCGTTTGGTGAATTCAAGCGAGAGAGAGAGAGAGAGAGAGAGAGAGAGAGAGAGAGAGAGAGAGAATAAACAGAAGAGAGTGGATGAAAAATGAACCACGAACAAATGCTGCTCCGGCAGGAAAACCGTAAAAACAGCGAAAACAGAACAACATTTCGAAAGAATGAAGAAAAAAAAGCCACACGTTGTGTACGATGCAAACAAATTAAAAATGCCATGCGCATGAATCAAGCCGGTGCATTCTAAAAAAGATTTGTGCGAAAGCAGCGAATAATAAATTATTGTTTTCAATTTGTTGCATTATTTCTGCATACCGATCGCGCATATTGTACACCAGATCGCCGTCTCGCTCACTCGCGCCCAACGTTACGGTAGAACCAGAAATTAGTATTAGTGCGCTATCGGACATTTTCCACATGTACTGCAGTTCTATCTATGCTATGCAATCAGAAGGTGAGATGCCGTCGTCGTGGTAATAAGTCTCAGTTGTTCTGCGTTAGAACCGTCGAAACCGTGTGTGCTGGTGTGCTCACAGTGCATCCATTGAGAGTGGCCAAAACAATTCTCCAATGGAATCGATAAATTCTGCAAGTATCTCAAAGTCAAGTTTATGAGGTTGTGCAGCGCTCTGACCTCAAGCCAACCGCAAATGAAAAAACAAAAATCCAACGAAAAATTTCCATTCACATTCGATAACGGCACACGTCTTTTCATTCTTGTTTCACACTCGATAGCATCGCGCCAAGATTATGAACGGATTTGAATATGCGCCCCAAAATAAAGCAACGTAAACATTAATCTCCGGTAAAATCATAACCAAAAAATGCGCATCTATTTTGAATACGACATGTCTCACGATTGTATTCATGTGATCGTACTTTTTTTTTCCGGAGCCAGTCATTGTTTGCGAAAGCATTCCTGTGCAGGAGAAGCGAATCGTGCAGATTTTTTTCGGTCATTTCGGCGAAAAGCGAAGCAAAATCAAACGCAAATAAATTTATTCAACTGTCATCGCGCACGTTGTCACCATTCTTTTATCTCTTCGTTCAATGTTTTATGATTATGTGGTTGGTTCGCAGTCAAGGCATTATCATTTTTTTTTTGGAATATACGCAATAATTCAGTGGCCGAAAAAGGGAACTTCATTCCATGACAAAACTCCTGTCGATTTTTATCGATTTCTTTGGCCTTCCGAATCACAAAGCGATGGGCTTCAAGTGCGGCTGTCAATACGTGTTACGTGCCTTTTGCACGAGTTTTTATTTGTCTCCTCTTGCTGACTTTCTTCTTCTTCAGTACCGAATTCAATTGACTTCGCATCAAGAGCATGCGAACCAAGTCAAATACTTGTAAATAAAATTATTTTATTGCAAAATGTGCAGCGAACAAACAGCAAAAAAGGAACACAATGTGCAGAAAAAAACAACAACGCACATTAAATAACGTTAAATTTTATTGCTCTCTCAACATAAATGGGCTGAAACAAAGACGCAACGTCAAAAACTAATTTTTCAATGTGCGAGTCCAACACAAAAAAAGCGAACGAACGAAGTTAACAGCAACACAAAAAAAAACCGATAAGTTATGCCTCATATTTGATTCACTTTTGTGCATCTTTCGATGCAGTCCAAGGTAGACGCAGTGCGTATGTGCCCTTCATGAAACATCATTTACGGCATTTAGTCATATATCAGATGTGTACCTTTTGTATGGCATTCTTTTTATTTCGTTCGTTTTTATTCTTCTCCAGCGAATCCATATGTGGAAATGTCTGACAACAAGCCGAAAAAAAAAACTCCATGCAATAAATATAATATGATGGCATTGAATTATACAGAAGCCGATTCGCCAACAACGAATTTGACCATAAATAATGTGAGCGCGTGAGAGACATAGAGAGAGTTTGAATGCGAGAGTGTGTTTGGAATAAGAATTGCCATCATAATATCATGATGCGTCGAAATCATGGCAAACGATAATAACAATAAAAAAAAAAAGCGGCAACATTTATCCAGGCCAATTGAAATTGGTGCAAACGTTGAGCCATATTACAAATGACAAACGAATTATTTCACAGTTGATTTGGCCGTAAATCGTTTTTTTATGCGCGCGGGAACTTTAATTTTATGCGCATCGGATCCAGATACATTTCACGCGCATACGGCTACTGATTTCAATGCAATCCACACGGTCCGAAGAATAAAAGCCGATTGTGTGATGATAAATTTGGTATCCCGCGATGACAAAGTCTTTTTTGTTTGAGAAATGAAACGACCTAAATGAAATTGCCATGTTTTTTTTTCGTGAAACCAAAGAAATTCCGATATTATTTATTCTTCGGTTTATATCCACACGTATTGTGCGCACAATCGGATTAAATTCTTTTACTTGTACGCACACGCACTCGAAATTCCATTCGATGTGATTCCGAACCGACAAACATCGACTGAGATCAACGCAATTTGTACATGTCATCCAATTTCACAGAGATTTCGATAAAAAAAATTGCTCTCATTCGATTTATCCAAACTGGATACATAGACTTGATTAATTGCTGTTTTGTTAATTACAAGCAATGAAACGAAGAGATAACTACGTCTTAAGTGATTCATATCAAATTGAATGAAAGTCAAATGCACGAGAACAAAAAAGTGCCCAGCATTAAATTTGATACTTGTGTACATGTCAATAGAGAGTCAAATTCGAATGCCCATTGCTCACCGAACATGGAAAATCGATTTTCATACAAAGTTTGAGGTTCAATGCTTCATCACACAAAAGTAACATGATACTTAAAAACGGTCAAAAGGACTGACGCAAGCAAAATCCAACGTAAGAATGACTCTTGAAAACATAGTAACAAAATATGTTTTCGTTTCTTTTTTTGTGTTTGTATGTAACAAGTTCATTGGTCTGCATTTGTTTATGCCGATTCATGTGAGTGTTTGTTTTCGATATTTAGCATGACTTTTGGTTTTGCATATTGTGCATCGATGCACCCACCGAAATCCCGTTTCGAGCGTAATGTGCTTATTTGGTGGATAATTTTCTAATTAAGAGTCATTTTCTTGACTTGAAATGCGATTACCAGAAAGTGCACTCATGATGATGCAATTCATTGGAAATGCATGAATACAAATTGTGTGTTGGAAATGAGTGTGTTCAGAAGCGCGGGGCACACATCAAGCGAATAGAAAGTCAATACTCATGACGGCTAATGAGAATCAAATGAGAGGCAAATTGTGTAGGCTTGAAAATTATGCTCAGAAATGTGAAGGGAATGGTTTGACCTTTGAGCCTCAACCACATCGGCATGAACATAAAACGAACTTCAAAACCATTTCACCCGTTTAAATCGCCTCGGCAAACTGATCCACTCCAAAAAGACGACTACGAACCATATCGGTTGGCTGTGGAATGCAAAAGAAGCAACAAGAAAATCGAACATAACAATTACATTTCGGTCGATTGTTCTGTCTTGGCTGCTGAAAAGACGAAAGCAGAACAATCCTTCCGAATGGTGGATGGCGAGCGAACGAGAGTTGATAACGAAAATCTTGACAATATTGTTTTCGCGCTATTTAATCGCAAACACGAGATTGTGCTTTACCATTTGTCCGCGTAATGCTCATGCTGACAACCAGAAGAAGAAGAAGAAGATGAAAATTTTCGGTAACAGCATAACAATTCCCATGCAGCTTCTGTATCATAAACTTTTCCGAATGAGAGCGGACAAAAAAGTGCAGCATCGAATGTTTCAAAGCATCGAAGTTTATATTTTCAACATGCGAATAATATGTTTTCGATTAAAAGCACTTAAAATGAACACATGTAATCGTGGCAAAATATCCGGCCCGTACGCAATCCCATTTGAATGGCACAATGCAACGAACGAAGCCGGCAATCCTTTACACTGATTGAATTTATTTGCTGCCTGTAAGGAGATAACAAGATAATTAATTGTGGTTTTTGCATTTTTTTTTTCTCCGCTTGCGTTTTCCATTTCATTCATTCCATGCCTCTTTAAGCACAACATTCGCGTGCAGGTAATGGCATCGGCGATTGAATGACCAAAGCGAGAGGTGAAAAAAACGACGCACAAGGAGCTGATAATGTTATGTTTACACAATCTGCGTTGAAAATGGATTGGTCAATGTTTGCCGCTCCATTTGCTCTCCAATATGCATGTGATCACTCTTTTCGGTCGGTCGGTCGGTCTGCTATCAACCGAAAGTGTTTATTCTTCTTTCAATCAAAGCCATAAATTGTTGTTTGCATTTCGAAATTCCGGCTCTCAATTTAAAAGCAACGCACTTAAATTCTGACTTCAATATTTTCGGCTTTTACTCTTCGAGTACCCACTTTGATCATTCCTTTTTTTTCGCTCGATCTTTGTGGCTTGGATCCATTCCAACCGAAATTTTCTGGCCGTATTTCTTGATTAATTCGATTGATTTCCAAAGAAAAACGCGAAAAAAATCTTCGGCTTGAATGTGTTACAATTTCGAATGTGTTGGGATGTTATCGTTAATTTATTCATGAAACTTTTCGCTTGCACGAAACGCCACGAAACAAGTATCAATTTACGCAATTTGTATGTTGACGTTAATTTACACCTCGAGTGAATTGACTCACAATGCAATTTACATGCGAGATAATTGATTCTATCTACTGCTTGATAGAATTCTGCAATTGGCCAAAAGTCGCGAGCGATCGTTGATCAATTTGTACGATCGTCTTCAATTAGCGAAGCAGTTAAAAGAGCATCACAATAAACAATGCAAATGGATTTTGCCATCGGCCAAATTTATGAATAATATCATCGACGCAGTTGATTCATGTTTAAATCAATTTTGCATATTACATAATTAATGGACTCACTCTGCTGTTATCTAATCTCTGGAGAAGCGCGCGCAGGCCGCTTCAGCACAATCTCGTTCAAGAAAGAAAAAAAATTTCTTCTGCAAATGATCATCTGTAAAATGAATAATGTATCATTTGAATTGAGAGGCTTGAACAAACGAAACTGTGGCTTTGAGCGGTTCAAAGGCGTAAATTTGATTTATTGGTAAACTCTTCAAACGGAATGTAAATTTTGTTTGAAATCCTGAATTTAGATCAAAGCCTCGAGTTTCTCCATCATAGGGCGTTCATTACCATTTGCAAGATGTTTGATGTGATTGTTTAAGAAAAATGAATAGAGCAGCTAGACGGTTTATTTTTGAAGTACTTCCGTTTTTTTTACGCGGCTATAAATTCGTTTATGTTTGATTTTGCACCAATGGAATGGAAATTTACATTTACGAAATGGATTTATGCTTGAATGTGCAGAAAATAGATTGCATCTTGCCACAAAACTCAACGACTATGGCTGTATGTGTATCGTCTTCGGTGTGTTTCGATTTGGATGTTGTCATCGTTTGCAAATCGAATACATTTCCATGCGCATTGCTTCAACTCTTCGGTTATAAATTATGATTGTTTATGTGTCCAGTTCATTACGTCTGTTTTTATTTTTTTTCTCCTTCTTTAACATGCGCCTGTGTTGCATCGGTTCTCCGTTACATTGGCCGCTTGCGCATGGCCAAGTCCAAGCAAAAATGTGAAACGCATCGACATAGATTATATGTAATGTTTCACTGTGAGTTGAATCTATTCGCACATCAACATCAAACGTATAATCGATGTTGAGTACATTTTTAAGCTCAAACTTTCCATTTGCACTGTGGCAAACTGTGAATATCGAATATAAATTATGCATTTACATCGAGCACTGCACAGCAATGCTATTTTGGACATGTTAAACGATATGAAAACCTCCCGGCAGTTGCATTCGAGCCACTTGGAACGTCACAACCGTTCTAGCCCGTTTGTGCGTTCGAATGAATTGCTCAGTGAGCAAAAAAGCAAAGAAATTCAATGTCACAAAAGGTCAGAACGAAATAGCGAATGACCACTCACATGTTTTCTATTGCTTGCAAAAAAATTGAAACTAAATTGAAAAATTCAAACTAAATTGCCATTGACGTTTATCAATTAAAGTTTGTTTACATGAAAATTGACTTTTTTTACGCCGCATCGAGACCCAATTTGCTTTAAACTTAGAAACTGCCGCTTGAAATTAAAACCAAATGAACATAAACTCAATTGGAAACGGCAAGTCGAATTCTATAAAAGATACGCGTAGACTGTTTCAAAGAGAAGCGAGTAAACATTTAAAACGGTTGAACGAAAAAAGGCGGAAAAAAATGATTGTGTTGTCGAGTTTTAGTACTAACTGAAGCAAAAATTGTCAGAAATCATCTGAAAATCAATCAATACATATTAAGTCAGCCTTAGAACGCACAACGCGTCAAACAATGGAATCGAAATAATTGAATATGCTCTGGATAGCTTGCAAAGGCGGTGGGCTTGCAAAATCCCAGCACTTCAATACATTCCCAAGTGAGAGAACTAGGCGGAATGTGTGAGCGTTGATCTATTTCAATGGAAATTAATGAATAATTCGTTTTGAAATCATTGTTCATCAATCATCATCGATGTTCAGTGCTACGTACACAAAGAGACATAAAACGAAATCAATACTGTGCGTCTACTACAGATGCGAGCATACATGGCTCAAATTGCATTTTGTTCGCATGATTTCCCGACGAAACCATATAAATAAATAACTATTTTGACTGCTGGCTATCGTAAAAAGTGGCCCAAGACATAATGCTGCAGAGCCCACGTGCGTGCGTTGCATGTGCTATGACCATGAACAATAGAGACCATCCGATGAAGTGTAGTTCCTTATGTGCTACGGACAGTGTCTAACATTGAAAGAACAAATCGGTTTTAGAACCAACATACACATAAAATCGAATGCCTCGAGAGTAAATATGGTGCACCATTCAGAATACTCTCTCGGTCGATCGACCGACTCCTCGCTATTTCCATAATTGTTGAATTGCAAATTGAATCGTTGCAGGCACAATAACAACAATAAAAATCGTCTTATGTCTTCATAAAGCAATCGATTTCGAAACGATTAAGATGTAGCCAGCCCAGAGAACACGTTCAATGATCACCGCTTATATCGAGATTTATTTAATTCGATTTCAATTGATGAGCCCTAATGATTGCTTCTTATTCTGGTTCTAAGCATCCATTGTTCTTGAGCTTCGATTTTGTTCTTCTTTTTCTTTACTACACATTCCGAACCAGATGCAACCGAGATAAAACTGAAATGCTTTTGTCGGATTTCAAATCGTTCGTTCTTTTTATGGCTTAAAGATTTTCTGCTCTTAAGTTTATCTGTGATATGGCGAGAATCGAGAATGTTGGCGAGAAAAAATTTAATCGAGTGAAATTGTAGGCAAAACAATTCAAGTGGTCGATTGAAAAATTCGATTATTGTATCCATATGCCGGGTTTTTTTTTTCTTAAATTTCCTATCAAATTTTGTTTAGGTGTGGAATTAGTAACGGTAACATATTCATCACAAATTTCATTTTTTTTTCTTTTGCAGAATGGTGATCGTTTGTTCATCGGAGCACCGGGCAGCTGGTACTGGCAAGGTAAACCCACTTGAAAGCATTTTAAACGGAGCAAACAAGAAAAATCATATACAAAGAGATAGATATATCAATGAATGACCAACCGTTCAGGTCTTCCTTTGAATTGCCCGGAGTTAAGAGAAAATATGTTGTGCAATCCAAATGGATTCGGCAAATCCACTTGCAGTGTCTCATTCAATTTTTCAAAGTCAAACGAAATGAAAGTTTTTACAAATTAAAATATTTGCACTTGTGTGTATCATGATCAAAGTAAATTAAATGAAAAATGCCGCGTGGCCACGGCTATAAATATATATTCTAATTGGAAAGTGGCCGAAGTCGGTGTCGACGTTGTGTGGCTCGTGTTTATCTTTTCAATCTGATGTTGAATTGTCTTCTATTCATTCGGCGACGCAATGATTTCATGGCTACTGCACAAAGTGTCATCTTTTAATGCGAAAACATTTTGTTTTCTCAATGGAATTCTTTCCATTTAATGTTCACGCCAAATGCAATTTGTCAATTGAAGCCAATTTACATGTTGGTGGCATTCGTACTGTTATAAGATCTCATAAGCATCAGAATGATAACGAAAAATTTATGATGCGAACATGCCAAAGTGGCAGCCACATGATTTCAATTGCAATTACTGCAGATGCCATCGAAACCATGTGGTAGACACTCACATTTAATTGGCAATAACGTGTCGCCTTCGGTCAGTTATTCTCCGATTGCAACATATTTTCCACGACTCTGAGGCACAAATAGCAAATAAAAAGTATATTTAGACAACCAAGAAAAATTCCCTTTGCATGAATCAAACTTTTTATTATATATACATAGCGAAACCATTCCGGAAATTTCACTTTTTATGACCAAATCGAAAACACACAACTGTTCTTTTGCTTTCGTTGTTACAATTGTTTTTTGTTAGTTATTCAGGTCGATTTAATTTTGTGTTGTTAAATTTTTTCTATGGAGTTTCGTAAACGTACTGTCTTGTTTTGATTTTATGTTTTTACGTTTTTTTTTCAGTAGTCAATTTTTATAAGTTTTTATTTTAGTTTTATTTTTTTATTTTATTTTATTGAAATATCACTATATAAATATTGTATGCATTTTTTCCCTTCCTGTGCGTGTGTGACAATCCTCACAAATCAAACCAAATGTTCCGACTAAAAATCACCAAAACATTTACAATCCGAATGTGATGAATTATGCGACTGGTGCACTGCGAATGAATCTCAAACAAAAAATACACACACAAAACACCAAATCAATCTCTTACTGGAACAACATATAAATATGCAAAAAAAAATATAAAAACGCCATATACACTTACCAAAACAAAAATCCCAACAAATCAACACCCACCGACCAAACAAATAAAAACTAAAAAACAAATCAACTAAATTAAAATCAAATGAAAATTGCCAACCAATGGTAAAACACTTGATCCAACTACGATACCGATTCCGAAAATCCGACAATAGGACAAGAGTATTCAATCAATACCGATGCTTCGTATCCATACAAGCCTCCTCGTTACGGTGGCTACGGCGAAGGTAAAACACAACTAAAATAATCTCAATTAAAATCCAAAACAACAACAACAACAAAACAATCAACAAATAAACATTTTAAAACAATGCGCAAAGTTGTAAAGTACAACATATCTGTAACCAACTCATTAAAACCACAGTAATTGTCATCTAGAAACGGAATTGTTGAGCTTTAAATATCAAAACACATTAAACAACATGTAAAGAAGCAGCAATGTGTTAATCTGTTTTCCCGTTGCTAAATAACTTGTTATTTTGATTTCTAATCACTAAATCGTTTAGCGGCATTTACGTATACTGCGCATCTCCATTACGAATCACTCACCCAAAATGACATACATGCTTTTGATTCGTGGCGTGCCAAACAAAACCATTGTCAAAACTGTTTTAGCCCATCACTTTTTAATACCATTCACACGAGTAGACAGCAAATAATCCGAACGCATACCGAGACAAACGGATCCCACACGAATTTACATATGCAACATCCGTAGTTATTGTTGTAACTATTAATGCCATTCCTATGACAAGGTGTCTTAATTTTGTTTTTGCTTACCTTTGTGTGCGAGTGACTCCATTCAATGACGACATTATTAAACAACCCATTCACTGCTTACCATTAACGGGACTGAATGATTGAATGAATGTGTGTGTGGCTTCAGAACAAGCATTTTCAATTGAAATTCTGAGCGAAGTTAAAAGACTTTTTCAATTCGAAAAATTGTATTAAATGCAAGTAATTCAATTGAAAATCGCTTATTGAAGTGAAAGTTAATTTTAGCTTAAGTTGGTATAGAAGGTGGTATAGTTGTTTTTTAAACAAATGGGGCATATTCCATTCTGCTTCTAGTTGAAAAAGTGCTTTATTATTGGCTTTAGAATAAATGTAGTTGTTGTTCGTAGTTTGTATTTTACATTCAAAATTAGAACACGTAAAATGTTGCCACTAATCAACAATACCAGCGCAAAACACGCATACACAATACACAACACACATTACACAATTTTTTTTTCAGCCTTTTTTAATGATCAACATTGAAAAAATTTGGTTTTGGTGATGATTTAAAAAAAAATGTTTGAGTTTGGGTTTTTCCTGTTTTTTTTTTTGTATTCTATAAACTAAATCAGTATAAGAAACTAAGTTGAATTATTTACTTTGTTTTTGGCTTTTTGTTGGACTTTTTCCTCGGTAGATTCAATTCACGCTTTTTAAACACTTGAACTGTTGCTATTTCTGATTTTCATGTGAGAAATCGACTAAAATATTGATGCTTGCAATTTTAGGCCAAACATACTCGTTCAGTTTGAACAATCCAAAAGATAAAGTTTGGGCAACGCGTGAGAGTACAGCAGCTGAAGATGATTCGTATTTGGGCTATTCATCAGTTACTGGTGATTTTAATGGAGATGGTACAGAAGGAGTTGCTGTTGGTATGCCTCGTGGTGGTGGTCTTTTAGGCAAAGTGTTGATTTTCACATGGAATATGACCAATCAACAAAATATCACCGGTGAACAAATTGGTGCCTACTTCGGCTATTCGTTGGCCGTTGTTGATGTCGATGGCGATAAATTGGACGATTTGATTGTCGGCGCTCCAATGCACACCGAACCTAACAACGAAGGCAAATACGATATGGGACGCGTTTATATCATTTATCAAGATAAATTTGTACGTATTGCATAGAGTATAAACTGCAATGTCTTTTGTTCTTCAAACGTTTTTGTTCAATTTACTAAACATTTCTACCTCTAACCTCACAGAATAAATTCCAAACATTGGACACTCGCGATGGTTTGAATTCACGTGCCAGATTCGGTCTTTCGTTGACATCACTAGGCGATATCAATTTAGATGGATTTGGTGACTTTGCCGTCGGTGCTCCGTATGATGGTCCACACGGAAGAGGAGCAGTTTATATTTTCCATGGTTCGAAAGAAGGTCCGTTAGCTAAAGCTTCACAAGTCATCTTTGCCGAAGATGTTGCTGGATCTTCATATTTGAATACGTTTGGCTTTTCACTCTCCGGAGGCGTCGATCTCGATGGAAATATGTATCCAGATTTAGTCGTCGGAGCCTATGATGCTAACACCGCTCTTGTTTTCAAGTGAGTCATTTTCAAAGGAAATTAGAGTAAACTTTTTGTATATTTGAAACATATTGTTCAGAAAATGAAAATTAATCGATTAAAAAAATTGAATAATTGAATTTTTTTTTAACAAATTCAATTTTTAATTTCATATTTTCGATCAGATCACGACCAGTTGCTGTGGTTGAAGCCACTACAACATTTGATGTTGATTCGAAATTGGTGAGCCTCGATGACAAAAAATGTACAACAGTTCGAGATCGTAAACAAGTCACTTGCACAACGGTCAATTCATGTTTGAAATACAACGGAATCAATCTTCCACCACAAATCGGTTAGAACCAATTGAAAATTAGATTTTATTCTTCTTATTCTCTTCTCTTATCTTCTATGGATTTCATGTTCATCGAGAAATTCTCAACTTTATTCAAGAGAATCACCATTTCAATAGTTGAACTGAATGAATATAACATTATTTGTTCCAATATATTCTTTGCAGACATTGATGTATCCTGGGTTCTTGATTCAAAGAAGCCACGCAATCCACGTTTGTTCTTCTTGAATGAAGAAGGTAAAAACATTCGGAATTCGTCGATGCGATTAAGCCGTGGTAAAACTGAGTGTCGCACAGAGCGTGTATACATCGCTGTAAGTAGTCTGGAAAATACAGCATGGAAGAAATTCCAATTAAATAAAAAAAAGATCCATGCGTTCGTTGTCTAATTGATTTTCTTGATTTTAGGATAACATTCGTGACAAGTTGACGCCATTGGAAGTGGAAATGAGATTCAATATGCGTGAAAATAATCAACAAAGTCAACGAGCCGAACGTGTGCGTCGTACCACTCTTGAGCCAGTGATCGATCAAAATCGTGGAACAGTCGAACGTGACTCGATCAATATTCAGAAGAATTGTGGCCCAGACAATGTTTGTATTCCGGATCTTCGGTTGGAAGTGAAATCGGTCGACACATATCTGTTGGGCTCGAAAGATTTGCTTGTGTTCGATGTGAAAGTATCAAACTTTGGAGAAGATGCATTTGAAGCCGGTTTCTTTATGAGTGTTCCTGAGGGAATGAATTTCCGTAAAATCGAACGCACTGGTGACACTCGTGATACACCAATCACATGCACAGCACCATCGGCATCGACAAATCATACACTCAAGTGTGACATCGGAAATCCACTGTCAAGTGGTAAACATGCTAATTTCAAGGTAATTTTGTTGCCCGCAACCAAACAAGGAATTGCACCCAAATACGATTTCTTCATGGAAGCAAACTCAACGAATGCTGAAGTCGAAGGAACCGATTTCGATAACGTTTACAAGAAAACTGTTGGCATTTCCGTCGAAACGAACTTATCGGTGAAGGGTGTTTCGATTGATGAAGAGATTTTGTACAACACAACCGATTTCGTTGCCTTGGAGAATGCAACGCGTGAAAGTCAAATTGGTCCACAAGTCGTGCATATCTATGAAATTCGTAATGGTGGCCCATCAACGATTGAAGAAGCTGAAGTTTTCTTCTTGTGGCCATATGAAACACTCTCTGGCGATCAATTGTTGTACCTATTGAATCAGCCGGAAACTACCAAAAATGTTAAGTGTGAATTGAGTCAGTTCACAAATGTTCGTGGCGTGGAATTGGATCGATCGTTAGTTGCCAAGAGTTTCTTGGTGAGTCAAGGTGCTGTTGAAAAGTCCAGCTTGAGCTCAGGATCATCATTCCATAGCACTGGATATGCTGTTGGTGGCGGAAAAACACAAATCACTGAAGAGGAAAAGAGACGTTTCGATGAAGAAGAAACCCATGAATCAACCGGTGATGCTTCTTACATTCATCATCAGCGCGCGAACCAAGCAGCTCAAGAACAAGGTGGTGGTGGTGGTTATCAGACAGCTCAAGCCAGTTGGAGTTCATCAGGTCCGGCTGTTACTTACTCGACAAGACTAAATCAATCGAAATATAGCCCAGAAAGATACGATGGCTACAATTCGCAACAGCGATCACAAAGCCACCAATCATCGTCACAACAAAATGCGGGACCAAGTGTTTACAGAGCCGGTTTCGGAGCTGGTAGCGCCGGAGTGCGAAAGATTGATGATTTCTCAGCCGAAGGCAGTGTCAACCAGGATCTCTCTGGCAGTCGTTCACGCGGTCAAGTATACACTTCACAAAGTTCACAAAGCTCACAGAGTGCACAAAGTGCACAGAGTGCACAAGGTGGTGTGCAAGGCGCTGGTGCAACAGGCAGAAGACGTATGATGAGCCAACAAGACGGTGAACCATTCCAACCAGATTTGATCCGAGGAGTATCGCCATATGAGAGCAAAGACACCTTCCAAGCTGGCACTTTGGAATTGAACACACTCGGCCGCGATAATGTAGACGAAGAAATCCGACGCCATGGCAATGCAGCCCATTTTGCTACCGCCAATGAACGACAAGGCTCTGGCCAGTCAAGCCACACTGGATCGTCTGGCTCGTCTGGTTCGTCATCCGGTTCCTCGTCTTATCATCAAAGCAGCAGTAGTTTCAGTAGCGGTGGAGGAGCAGCAGCAGCAGCAGGAGCACGAGCTGGTAGTCAATCAGTCGGTCATAAATCTTCTTCAAGCAGCATCCAATGTAATAATACTGAATAAGATCAAAGAAATAATTTTGTTTCTAATTTTGAACATTTCTTCTCTCGAATTTTTCTATTAGCAACGGGTGGCAAACAAACTTCATCATACAGTGGAAATACGAATTTCTTAAAGGACGAACAATATGAGGACGAATATGAAGAAGGACCAGAAAATGAAGACGAATACTACGATGAACATGATAATCAAAATGCGCCAAATCACCATCATCAACAACACTTACAAAATCAACAGCAACTACATGGCCAACAACAGCAGCAGTACAGAGCACAGCCCAATGGAAACGGTGAAAGCCAAAGATTCCAGCATTATCAACGCCTGCGCCGTGATTTACCCAATCTTAGCGATTTGGAGCTCAAGAATCGATTGTCATGCAATCGCAGCCGTTGTGCATTGATTCGATGCACAACCAGTCAACTGGACACAGATAGCAGCGCTTGGATTGCTCTACGAATGCGTCTTGTCACACAAACACTCAATTTGGTAAGTGATGCTAGAAAATCGAATTGATTGGCATGAAAATGCTTTAATATCTAAATTTTCAATCGAACAGGTCGCTCCAAATGTGCCACTGAACTTATCAACAATGGTAATTTCCCGCGTTGCCCGTTTGCCATACATTGGTGAACCACATGAGAAACCGTTGAAATCATACGAAGTGAAAATCGCAGCCGTTCCAATACCCGAACCAAAACCAGACATTGTCCCACTATGGATTATCATCCTTTCCGCGTGCATTGGCGTTATCATTCTGCTTCTGCTGATCTATTTGCTCTACATGGTATGTTCTTTCATACTTTTCATTGTCAGCATATTTCTTCAATTCTTTTTTTACTTGAATTCGAGAATAATTTTCAAATTTTCCATATTCCTCTTCTACACAGTGTGGTTTCTTCAAACGTAATCGCCCGGATCATTCTCAAGAGCGGCAACCATTGAATCGAAATAATGGCTATCACGGTGACGAACGACTATAAAAGGAAATTCGTTTTTGTGAAGGATTTGAAACCAACGATCAATCGATTTACTTTTAAGATCTGAACTTATGTGAAAAGCAAACAGCAGTGGCAGAGCTTGAGAGTGAAACAAAACAAAAAATATCGAAAAATCTAACTAGTCATTTTTTTCATTCAAAACAGAGAAACAAACACAATCTCCTCGTATGCTGCGAATTTAAATCAAAAATTTTGTGTCAAAATCTACTGCCAAGTTGTAATTGAATCTTTTTCAAAACAGTGAATTTTATTGGTGACAAGAAGAAAAAGAAAGAATGCTTGATATTGCTTGTAAAAAAAAAATACCATCACAATTATAAGAGAAACTCTATTTTCACCAAAATTAACGATTGTATTCATGTAATTAAAAAAAAAACAGTAACTAATTTACACACTTAAATTAGGACATAAGATATATAAATGACACATTTTTTTTCTTTTAAATATTAGTTCACGCCACAATCGATCATCTCATTTATAATTCATTTTTTTCTGCGCTTTTAAAAACTCAAAATTGACAAAAGAAATCCACGTCGGTGAAATGTAAAACCGGTTGATTAGAAGATCGACAGCAATGGCCATAACATTATAATTCTAGTTGAGCGAATCTGGATTCTTGTTGGAAAATTTAATCAAGTGTGAATCGTTGATGAATGTAAAGAAGCTTAGTATGTTTCTGTATATATGAATAGATAAAATTAATACTGTTAATCTTATATATTTAATTGAAAATTACGAGTGTGTGAGTATTCTCATTCGCGCGTATTTTCGCAATTTGTTTTTTTTTTGTGTCATTCAAGACTAATAATTTTAAAAATTAATTTATTGTCGAATTACCGACAGTGTCGGTCCGACATGTTTCGCTGAAACAAATCGAACGACTTTTGTTCTTGGAAATTGAAATGAGCAGTTGAAGAGATGAAAGAGTAAACGAAAAATAAAAAAAAATATTAGCCAATTAACAATTCAATTAATTATGTGACTTATTAACAAGTGCCTAGTAACTGAAGCATATTGATGCGAAATGATTGCATTGTGAGCGTCACAATCATTTAATATTAGAATGTATAAATGAACGATATAACAACAAAATGTGCGCTAATTTAATAAATGTTGATATTCTCTAAGTTAGATTCGAATTTTTAATGCTGCAATTGAAATAATGCAACACAAAAATACACATAATCAAATAGTAGAAGGAATAAAAACAGAAACATATGCATTTCAACAGTGTAAATATTTGCATGAAGAGTTTATTAAAATAAAATCGATCAATACAAAAATAATTAATTGAGATTTGTCGTTTGATTTATGTACACTTCAATATGTGTCATGTTTTTCTTTGCTTTAATCTAAATAATGGTGTGACATGAATTCAAAATGGTCATCACATGTTCTTTTTTTTCATACAGTCAACTCCCAATCGAAAATGTATTTGGAAAATGATTCAAGTTTTCAGGAAATCTTAAGATTGCTGTCAGCGAACACTATAATTTGAATATAAACTTATGCTTTTAGCAAATGAAATGAAATTTAAATGAAAGAAAAAAAATGGCATTTATTGTCTTGAAAAAGCGTTGATCGCTTCTTTGACCCATTTGATTCCATCTTTATGCTGGCGCGATATAAGGTGAAGACGAATCTTGTCGATATCAACATTACAGATATGACATTTTGGGCTACGGTTGGTCGGATTATTATCATTGGTTCTGTTGAAATAAAGATTTCAATTATTAAATCACACTGTTCCGAAAGTGAAATTTTCAACAACAAAAAATGCGGTATTCTAAACAAACGTACGAGTATCGCATTCTTTCCAGCTCTTCATGATGTTTTTCCATTCGAAACAAATGGTCTAGTTCGGGATTGCTCAACCGGAGTAATTGATGCCTTGGCAAAATTCGCAGATGCTCGTAACGGCTTCGTTTATCGCGTGTTAATAGATCTTCGTTTTTATATGGTTCCCAGGAGATCTTCGTATATTCTTTACCAATCAACAATCTCTGGCAACTCAATAAGCTGTAAATCACACAAAAAAAATTGCGATCAATCAAATGTGAAAAACGTGTCTTTCAATAGGACTCTAATTTTATGAGCAACAAACCTGATGAGATCGTCTTGAAGGGTGCGCATTATTCTAAGCACTTTTTCCTTGGGATATTCGGAGAAACACTTCCGTGACATTAAACGATCGATCGATGCTCGAATATTGTTCACCTGTGCTCAAACCAAAAGAAATTATCAGCGCTTAGAGGGGTGAGATCAAGAATAAATGCATCAGTAGTATTCACAAAAGGTCAAACAATCTTACGGTTTCCAGATCGGTGTTTTTAAGTTCGGCCTCCAAATTGAATTTCATGTTCGAATTGGATGAAAGACACACTTGTCTGTCGTCACATCCCAAGCCCGTCATCATTCGTATATAGTGCGTTTTCAATTTGTTTCGTTCCAATTTCATTGCTGGCGCGAAAATAGCGGCCATCAATGGCGCAAACAGTCGGATATTTGGCATCATTGTGGTTTGTCGAACGGTTATGGCCGCATTTTCGTCGTGTTGATGCGATGTCACTGCAACCAGATACTTCTCCGACATATCGTTTGGCTCATTCTCCAACAGAACGTTATTAACCGATTGCTCTTCGATTTTCGGCACTCCCGACGAATTGTTTGTCAAACCGTATAAACTAATTTCGAGCGGGCTATACGGTCCCTTCAATATGACTGTATGCATTCGACCATCTTTGCGGGTTGGTGGCTCGATTGTGGGCACCTCTTCCTCTTGCAAGTGCCTAATGATGCCTTGAGTCAAATAGTTCTTCGATCTTTCTTCGTTTCGAGCGATTTCTCGTTCAATATACTCATACTAGAGAAGGCAGAGGTAAATCGTTCAGTTTGGTTTGTACCAGCAAATCAGTTAGAATCAAAGAAAAACATATAAATTTTGCACTTGAAACATCTCAATTTACCTTTGACATATAGCTCTCTTCGCAATGCTCCGCCACTTTGATATCAATCAAAAAGGCATTGATGTTCACATTGTTTGCTGTTATAAACACTCGAGCCATACCGTTGATAACTGAGTAAACCTGGTCAACATAAAATCAATGAAAACAATTCTTTTAGAAAATATTCGAAAATGGAAGATTTTTCTACAATAGCAGACTTACTTCAGCCTCGAGTTCGATGCCATCTGTCATTTCAACGAACTTTTGATTGGCTTCCTGTCTCCAAACTCCATCCGGAGCATTAACCTGAGACGGTTGAATGAATGCGAGAGAACATTGATAGCAATACGGTGGCAATGTGAGGAAATCTGTCGAAACACCACGAAAACGCTTCAAATCCTTCAATTCACACTTCCGTGTATTACCAAAGTCAATGAATCGAACCTACGAATATGAAGCATATTCAAGTGACATATATGAAATGCTGAAACGGTTGAATTTTTAAAATTACTTCGTAGGTGATTCGTCGAGTTTTTTTGTCTCTTTCGATGAAGATGACCTTTGCTCGGTAAAATTCTTCGCGATTGCTATCACTCGGGTACACAGCAGCTAAAACCTGTCCGATGACTACATCAGACTCACTGTCAAATGATTCCAAGTCACTGTTCGGATTATTTAATTCATCATAAATGTCGCGGATGTTCTTGAGATTTTTTTCAGGCTGGAACCAGAAACGACTGCAATTTTCTGTCTAAGATCGACAAATTTACAGCCAAAGAATGTGAGTCGATTAGTTATAAACACACGAATGAATGCAATTTCATACTTACATGTGAGATGAACCCTTTGACAATTCTATCGAGTTTTTTCGGATAGCAAACGTTATTGTACTCTTCTTCGGTTTTAGTATGAACCCTTCCTTCGGGCGTATAAATAAGTCCTTTACTTTGTGCGTAGCCTAAGGCTGTATTGCGGTCACTAGAATGGCGAAGTGAAAGTTAAAAATCAGCTACTTCATTCTGAAGTTAAAATTGTTCAAGTAAATAATAAAAATCTAGAACTTACGAAAGAACGTCGATGTGATGTTCCGGTTTCAAACTTCGTAATTTGACCGCCTTATAAACTTCCGTCAGAACGAATCCCGGATGGCATGCCACGCCATACTTTTTGATGTCGCCTTCTTTGCCAGTTTTCTTGAACGAAACAAAAACTCGTTCCGAGACGCCGTCATGTGAAACGGTAACACTGTGCGAATCTTTTTGGCTGATTACATTATTGTGCACCAAAATGTCTTTGATACGCTGGATGTAAATGTGTGGCATGTCGCAAAATTTAAAACCACTGAAGTAGACGGTGTCACTTAAATCTCGACCACCTATTTTTTTATCTATTTCAGCTTCTAATTCTGAGTCGCGTTTGTTATTCGTTGACCGAGAGAAGTAGTTTGGATAGAAAGCGCCGGAGATTACGACTTTCAGAACAATGTACTTTTCATTTCGATTCCATGTGACATCGGATTTGCTGCAATCTATCAAATTTATACGCTTGATACGAGTGCGCAGATCTCTGACATATTCATCACATTCACGCAACGACGAAATTTCCAAATAGTTTGCCTCTGCCCATTCCTTTTCGGCAGCTTTCACTTTTTTGCGATCGGTATAATTTTTGGCATTGGCGTTGCCAAATTCGCCTTGGCTACGCAATTGCTTCCATTTTCTATACGCGTTCAGTAAAGCAAACAAATCGGAACCACTTCCATCGGCGAATTCGAGTCGTTTAGTGTATGCATCGATTCCACCCACCGATCGATTGTATTTGAACATATTCTTTGAGTTCAAAGCGGCGGCTTAAACAAGATAAAAAAATGTTTGGTTATTGAATGGTTTCAACTATTGAATTTTCTACCGAAAATTAAATTGAAAATTTAAATGAAATTCAAGTGCAAATTAATCGTACCTATGATAATGCATTCTTCCAACACACCGAAGCAGTATCCAAGAGCAATCAATTTGGACAATTTCACATCGATCGGCAATTTCGACATAATTTCACCAATGTACGTAATATCGCCATCACGTACGATTGTTTTGCCTTTGGTTGTTTTCAACATGGCGCCCATTTCTTTCAACCGCAGCACGGCATTGTGAATGTCATCCAAATAGGGTTTATCAAGTGCCAATGAAAGCACTTCTTCGGGTGTACCCAAATTCAATTGTTTTGTCTTCAAAATGATATTTTCCAAAGGACTTGTGATCATTTCAGCTTTGGCCGATTGTCTCATTTCGTGATTGTAAAAGTGACGGGACACCAGCCTGAAGCACCATCCATTCATTACACGTCCAGTTCGACCGGCTCTTTGTTCGCAGTTATCGCGAGATGCCCACGCCAATTGAAGCGATGGAAAATTTGTCATGGGATTGACTACAAGATTTCTGGACAAGCAAAAATCGATCACTTGAATGGAAAAATAATGAGAAATTTTGAGTAAAAGTTAAATTCAAGTTTTTTTTCCCCAGACAATTTCAATCAGCAGCTATTTCAAATCGAAGCACTCACCATATTTAACGTCTGGCACTGTAATCGAACTTTCAGCGATGTTTGTCGCCAATATGATCTTCCGTGTATTTTGGTCGGATTCTTGCATGGCCAACTCATTGAGCAATGGATCAGCAGTGGAGTGCATTACGATTCGAAGAATTTTGGTCTCATCATTGCTAGAAGAAAAAGGATATCATTTTTGAAAAAAAGAGTTCTTCCTGCGGTAAATTATCTGTCATTTACATGAAACGCCATTCTTCAAGTCGCTGATACATTTGCTTGATTTCAAAGATGCCCGGTAGAAATATCAAAACTGTTGGTTTTGGGCTTCTTTCATATGTTGCGGTGTCAATGCCATTGGCTTCGCTGTGAATTCGATCCACTCGTTCAAATAAGCAAATCAACCGCAAGGCACAACGGTACATTTGTTCGGAAATTTCTGGCATATTCATCCTCTCTTGGCATTCCTACAAAATTGATTTAATGACATATATATGAATGTTTTTGGCACTTTTTCTTTGCTTGCATTTCATACCATTCGTTCGATTTCATCAAGGAAAATTTTCTCCACGTGGAAGTTACGTTCATAACCTAATTCAATGACCGGTGCTTTTCCAGATGTTAAATCGTTTGATGGGACTTGGTAGTATCTGGCAAACTTATCAACATCAATGGTGGCCGACATTAGAATGACGCGAATTTTTGGATTGAGATACTTGTAAATGGCAATCATCAAAAAGTCCATATCTTTGTCACGTTCGTGAACCTCGTCCAAAATTATGTGCGTAAATTTGTCGAGCGGATTGTATTGGTCGCCATGTATGATCTTTTCAACTAACACACCAGTCGTACAGAAGAGAATTCGGGTGTCTTTAGAGCAATTTATACCCTGATCAGAGCCTACCTATGGCGCAAAAGGTGATGTAAAAATCAGTTAAAATTCTTCAAATGCATGATTATCCCACTTGAATTCGGAATTCCGAAACCTAATGCAATACAATTTTACCTGGTATCCGACAAGTGATCCACATGGCCATCCTCGTTCCTTGCACACTCGTTTGGCGTTCGACGATGCAGCAATACGTCGTGGTTGCGCTACAATAATGTTGCAAAATAGATCCTTTTCTCGGTATTCATCCAGTATGAACTGTGGCACTTTTGTTGTTTTGCCACAACCTGTCATCAACGAAGGAAAAGACATCAATCACATTTCATTATTATTATCATACAGTTTTCTTGTTGGTTCCTATTTACCTGTTGGGCCGCGTAGAATTACTACTGTGTTGTCACGAATCGTGTTCAGAATTCGATGGCGATGCTCTTCGATTGGCAATTTTTGTGTTGGAACGCGTGTTGTGAATGAATACTTTCTGTAAATGTCACTTGGTTCCTGTTTGTCTTTTTCCACGTTTCGTTGTATATCAAACCTCTGAATGAATGCAATTTATGAATATGCGAAATTTCATTTTTTTTAATTGTGCGCAGTACTTACCCGCCATACTTCTTCGCGGATTTTGTTTTTGAATTCCTTGGCATACTTGGTGTTTCGTTCGGGCTCTTCATCTTCTTTGTAGTTTGGTCTTTCATATTCGGTAGCAATTCTTCCGCCAGTTGTTCCTCCAGGTATAGTTTCTCGTTTGATCGACTGGCCCGCGAGAAAACGGTTGAGAAGGTCATCCATTTTTTCCTTTTCTTTTCTCTGATTTTTCCTCAGCTCATGCGAAAGTGTTTGTTTTCTCCGTTGTATCTCGTTGCTCTAATGGTATTTCAAAATCATTTTTCGTATGACAGTTTCGTTCGCATTTCGATAGGGACACACAAACCAAATGGATCAGTGGCTTCAAATGCGTTGAACACATTGCGTTTAATGTTACGCATTTGTATTCGAATTTTTATAGCGGGAAATATTTGACGCGAGACGTTCGAAATTAATTTTTTTTTCTCCTTCGAAATGTTCATCATTTTTTCATTACAAAATAAAAGCAATATAACATTCGTCCATTCTTTATCATTGAATCGTTTTTGAATTGTTGAAAAGAAACAAAAGAGGTGATAATGATCCGGTGCAAAGTAATCATATCATTTTTCTTGTTATTGGTTGTACTCGATGGTGACTATTAAATTCATTGATTATATTCCAAAATAGAGGGAAAAATCAATAATTTTTTTTAATACTTTTTCAGCAATAAATTCGTTGTTTCACAACTATGCAACGCCAATTGAAATTTTCTGCATCAAAGATGAATCGTCAGGCGAAATACACTTTCATCTCAAATATATTTTTAGATCAAATAGAGAGATCACAAATACCCTTTTTAGCTGATTTATTCATGTATTCATGTTGGATTGACTTGTTTTAGTGAAGAATTTTGTGTTTAATTTTTCTATATTTGAGCTAGATTTGAGGATTTTTCCAATTTATTTTCATTGGTTTATTTCATGTTGAAATTCTCATAGTGATTTTGCGTTAAACGCGCTTGTTAACGCGTTCAACGCACAGCGTAGCCACTGTAGCCTGTCAGTTGATAACTGTCAATGACTTGACACATCATCGTTAAACAAAATACAAAATCTGGGAAGAGGCGAAAAAAAACCTAATTAAATATATTTTGCACGGTGTTTTTCTTCACATTGAGTTCTGATAAATAATCAAAGAGTGAGTAAAAGTTTGTTTTCATGAAGTAAAACCATTTAGCCACGTAATAAAGTTAATTGTGAACAAAGCGTATCAAATTCACTAACACTTTCCCCTTTGTTCATTGTTATAGGTTTCGATTGGGTTTTTTTCCTGCAAAAACCGTGACTAAGTACAATTGACCAAGCTGGATCGGAATCAAATGCGTCGTGCACAAGGGTACAGTTATCAGCCGCTTTCCCAAGCACCGGATCGGCCATCAACATCAGCCGGCGGCAATGATCTAATCGAAGAGGAAAATCAGCGATTGACTGATGAGCTACAAGGTAAAATCGGCGCACTGAAATCATTGACAATCGATATAGGACATGAGGTTCGCTATCAAGACAAACTGTTGCGAGGCATCGACGATGACATGGAACGAACTGGCGGATTTCTTACAAATACAATGAATCGTGTGGTGCGGCTGGGACGAAACGGCCACCACAAATACATGTTTTACATATTTCTGTTTGCCCTATTCGTATTCTTGCTGTTGTACTTTGTGATTAAACTCAGATAATAAGCGTAGCGTAGAAGCATTTTTTTTTGTATATACGTATAGAAAAATTGTGTTTAATTTTGTTAACGGAAAACCGATTTGGGCTCATGTTATTCCATATTTTACATTAATAAAGAGAAGGGACTATCGTGTATTTGAAAAATCTTTGTTCGCGGTCGATTTAATCTGAAACGAAATATGTTTTTTGTATTGTAGCCAATAACAATTGCAATTGTGCAAACACACACATGTATTGAATTACTTACTCATTTACACAAATAATCACCTTTTCAATTAAGAGGTCACCCAAACCGTTTCTCCTTCAAAATCAATCGAATGTGCCAATTGATGCATGGTCGTTGTAATAAAACAATTCCAGAAATTCTTGTATTGTGGTTGAATAAACATCAAATTTATTTAAATTTTCTAAAGCGATCTAAAGTGAATATCAATTTTTTTTGTTTTGTCCATGACTTCCATCGCCAATCAGATATGCGTGTTTTTCATGTCTCCTATCTCTACGACAAGCTCTCATTCACAATAAATATTCGAATAAATATAAAAAAAAAAATTGAATTAGTCGTTTAAATTTTTTTCTCTAAAATACCAATCCAAGTGGTATCTGTGGTTGGGGAAGAGAATCGTATATTTATTTGAATGGAAGTGCTTAATAGGTGTGGATTTTTTTTTGCTATCATATCGATTTCAATATTTCGTTTATCATTGAAACTACAAACAATTTCGTATTACATGTAAATTCACTGTTCTAACTGTTAATGTGAGCCATTCACCTACACATTTGGAATATGAGATTATTGCATTAGTCGTTATTCTTCGATTGCAATAAAGAGATAATGTTTTAGTAAGTTCGGTAATTGGTAAATATAGTCTAAACATTAGTTGGAGCGTCCAATGCACAGATAATTGACTTTGTCACGGCTGCAGCGGCCAGTGAAGCATAGTTTTGCCATTTTTTGGTCGTGATGCCATCTTTGTAGTCCGATATTCCTATTCAATGAAATAAAAACGGATGTGTTAGTTGAATGTGAAGTGGAAGGAGAATATGTTTTAAGCGTACCTTTGACTATGATAAAACTGTCACGACAATTGCCGATGATGCTGTCCAAGACGGAGCTCATTTCAACGTCGGTGGCAAGTAAACCATGTGTTCGTGCAAATTCGATACGTTCCGATTCGGATCGTACGATTTCTTTGCCAGATCCAATTGGACCCAAATGCAATCGGTTCTGACCGAATGAATTGCCATCGACATTGTCTACCATCGGTTGTGGATGTTGCACTTCAATCACTTCTCCGTTTCCAATGTTCATATACAGTTTGTCGGTGTTTGCAGCTGGTCGTGTAAAATCATTTTCCGTGCGTTCCTAAAATGAAATGAAATATGTGTCACTTACAAATCACATCAATTCAATCCGCTTGCAACTAAATCAACTCACTTGTAAATGTTGAAGCCCTTCTCTGATGTACGCTTCCCATGGCCGCTTTCCTTCTGATGCATACAGCAGATTTTTGGAAATTTCTTGCAAACATGCATTCACTGGATAGTAACGACGAGTGCCCTGCTCATCACCACCATTGTAGAAATAAATGCTAGGCTTTTCGTTTGTATTTCTGAAAAATGTACAAAATTCCTCTTTATTTACAATTTCCAACCAAATTTTCAATACATTAAGCAAAACAGAACTCAATTTTAATTCGAGTTTGCACCAGAATCTTAATTTTCAAGGGAAAAATCATAACAAAATCTTAAAAGGTGATGAAAATGAAAGAGTTTGACTCAATTCTTACCCATTGAACAAGCGATTCTGTTCGATATGTGAAATGACAACGTCACCAAGTCGAACATGTTTCTTGAAATCAGTGTAATGTGGAATGCCACCAGCGACGCCAACGATAAACACATAATCGACCTTTTGAAATGTTCCCAACAGACGTGTTGTTGTGTTTCCAGTGGCTGTCATCGCTTCGCGAGTACTACCCACGGATGGCAATTTTGTGCTAACAATGCGATGCGCACCAATGTTGCCCAATGTGTACACATTTGATTCGCCTAAAATAATGCAATCGATTAAAGAACAGCGAAGTCACCAAATTTTCATATTATGAAATGAAAAAATTAAAACTTCCACCATATGCAGTTGTACCCATAAGCAATAAAATGTGATAAAAGCGAAACAAAAATTAAAATTGTGAAATGAAATTATCAATGAAGCAAAAAACGTAAAAGTTATGAAATTTTGTAAGATTTTCATCAGTCAATGTAAATGTTTGTCTAAGGTCAAGTTATTTCGTGTTTTTGCACGATAGTCGCATGTCATTTGATAACAAAAAAAAATGTTTGAAAAGAAAAAAACAAAAACTTCTTTAAAATGTCAAATGCGATAAAATGAACACGAACAAAATAATAACAAAAGGTCATGTTATAACAACATAAATGTAAAATACATATTGAGATTTGACGGTGTTGGACAAATTGGTGGTGGTGGCGGTGGTAGTTGTGCGAATTGGTATGTTTCATCTGAAAATATTTTTATCCTTACCGAAACGTTTGCTCTTCGTCATCTGTTGTGTGTGATAACCGTTGGATAGGTCTTTTTCAGGAGAAGAACTTCCTGTTTTGTGTCAACAATCGATCGTTTGGTAGTGTCAGGGTTTGAATTTCGTTTGGTTTTAGTAAAACAACAGTTGAATTTAAATACGAATTATTGCAATAAAAAAGAGAGAAAGAGAAATTGGATAGAGAGAAAGAAAAATAAGAATAAAACTGGTATTTATATCATGCAAGCGATAGTCTACTATCTAATAATAAAATTGACAATAAGCAAGATCAATCCATTTTTTATTTGCCGCAAAATTATTTATCGATTAAAATTCAATTAAATTTAAATTAGTTTGAACTAACGAAATGTTTGATATCAAATCAAGTTTTTTTTCCGAAATATCAGTTGATAGTAAATCAATATAGATAAATCAAACTGAATGAATAAATTTCCTCCATTATTTATCTCCATCATATAAAAAATAATCTTTTGACTACGTATCCATTTGTGTTAGCATAAATCGTCCCATAATAATAATGAAACCATCAAACTCACCCACTGTAGTATACCGGACGAATGTCTCTTTATTTTCCAACATCGCATCGACGGCCAACTTTTCACAATATTGTGCCGTTATAATGGCGATGGTCGGTTGCTTGTTCGAAGCAATAGTTGGCATTTGTTTGACGACCTATATAATAAAAAATTATCATTATCCATTGTCCCATTTGAATCGAAGCTCATTAGGCTTTTCCCCGTAATTACCTTGATTTCCGTGTCTTCGTGATGGATACGAGTGAAGGAATTGAATTCCATGGCTTTGATGATACCACGACTCTGAAGTGATAGCATGATTTGAAGCACTTCTTCCTCGGACCAGCCATGATTTCTAATCGAATACGAATACGAGTAGGAATAAGAATAGGGATAAGAATACGTAATTCCATTGAATTTCTATCTAATCAAGCAAACCGTTGTGATGTACATACCGTGCTAAATCCTCTGGTGTAATTGGGTTTGGATAAGCTTGTTCGATGAATTCAAGCACCTTCTCTGCGGTCAATGGCACGACTTCGTATTGCGAATCTTCGAATGAAACTGTAAACGAAAACACATACAGCACGTCAGACAAATGGAGAAAATTAACCGACATACAACACGAAACAATATTAAATGGAAACACATGTCATCATTCAGCAAAAAAAAAAATTCAGAAGGTTGATCACATAATGACAAGCCAAAGATTTACATCGCAATTTGTCATTCTCAAACGTGATTAGTGTGACAGATTGATATAATCAATTTTTTCACGGCAAAAACGATTCGATTTTCACATGCAATGCAAAGTTAGTATACACAGGCAAAACGAGACATTATAAATTCGATTCAATGGAAATGATTCACAAAGTGAAGTGAGCGTGATGAGAGATGTAAAAGAAAGGCGTTATATTTTTGCATGTTGTTTTGTTTCAATGCAGTGTGAGTTACGGTGGTATTAGTTGGGAAAAATATCGTCAATAATATCCTAAATTGCATAACCGAAAAAATGGCAATAATTACATATTGATCAAACAATGACGACTCAGAATAACGGGTGAAGCCCTTTTGCGCCACTCTATTTGACATTTCAATTTCGTTGTCATCGAATATCGAAATTGAAAAATAATCGCAGTTGTAAACGGTAATCAAGAGGTAAATGTGGAAAAATTGCAATAAAAAACACGTAACTTGCAACAATGCTGATAAGATTTTGTGAAATGTATGTTGTCTGATTGCGTTATGATAACGAGTATTGCCAGCAAATGCGCTTATCTTTCGATGTTTGGGCAAAACGTTTTAATTATTATTGCTATAAATTTTCCAAAATTAGCCTCGATGAAAAAAAGAATGTTTTTAGTGAAAGTCCAAACGATTAAATTAGACAAATGAGGGAGCGGGATTAGAGATGTGATTACAAGTGTAATTGGTTTTTATTTTTGCATACTCGAAAAAATAAGTACAATGAATATATTCAAAGCATAGGGAGACAGAGTGGGACAAAAAGAGAAAGAAAGATCGATTGTTATCGTTTGTTAGGTTCATTTGGTTTAGTTGAGATTCTCTTTGATTGCGTGTTATAAGCATCCAACCAGATATCTTTCATCACGTCACCTGTGCGGCTTTCACGCAACGAGTCCATCGCTTCTTCATATTTACGCTCACAATCGCCATAACAAAAAATCAAATGACCTTCTCTTGCTAAATTGGTTTTGTTATAAGTTTCATGGATTTTCGTATTTTGTTTTTTTCATTGCATGTGTTTTGATCAATGAGAGAATGGAAATAAATTTTTGTTCCATGTTGAATTCGAGATAAAGAGATCGAGTATAAAATAGAATAGAGATAGAGGTAAGACATGTTGTAAAATGTTCGAAAGTAAAGAAAGTTGTATTGTGTGGTTAACTTACGTGGTCGCGATGGTGGTGCCGATGTTTGTTCCATAATTCGTAGTTCCACTTCCAATGCTTGGATTTCATTGTAGCCCTTTTGCATTAACTTCATAATTTTTTTAATGAATCCGACATAATCTAGAGATTTGCGTTTTGTCAAATAGACGTTATTCACTTGAAAAGAACATTATTGCCAAAAACAATTACCTCTTGGAAAATCTTTTGGGCTGACGAGTTCACGGAAGAAATCTTGTGCCACATGCGCTTGTTTGTCTTCGTTTGTAATCCATGATCGAAACCAGAATCGAAGTGTACGTGACTCTTGTGAGTGCTGTCCTGTATTGCCGCTGACCAAAAATACGCGAAATTCCAGGCTCAACTGAGCCTGTGGCAATTGAGATTTTGCCAGTCCGTTGGCCGTATCTTTGTTGATAATGATGCCTGTGTGATCGCCACCGGCCACATGCTGTCTTTCATTGATTGTGTCAATCAATTTGCGTTCAATTAAAATCACCGTTGAATTTGAGGTCTTCCCTTTGGGTGTCATCACAACTTTTTCCTCGTCAAGCGGTGGCACCGAATCGTAGTGATTGTTACCGTTCTGTTTGTAGCTAACTTGACTACTGACATAGTTATTTTCATGTGAATTGTGATTTGTCGATTTTGCCTTTGGCTTTGGTGGCGGCGGTGGTGGTGGTGCATGTTGGGGATGTTGAATAAACGTTGCCATGTTTTATTTCTGTGTTGTTGTTGTTTTTTCTGCGACTGTTACGTGTTTGTGTGTCGTTCTATTTACCTACAATTTCGATTTCCAACGAAAATATTTTCGATAAATTTATTTTGATTATTGTATTGTGTTTTTAGGGTTGACACAACAACCGGAATAAAAGTAGAATATATCGGAGTTGGGAGTCAATCCAATATGAATAGACACATATTTTGGTTGAATGTAAACAAGTTAGAGTCGTGATATGTGTCTAGAAAGCATTTTCAACATTAGAAACGTGATTCATGGTGAAAATTTATTGTTTATTTTGAAATTTTCATTAGCTACTCGAAGTGAGTTGAAGTGAACCGCAAGTGAGTACCATCAATCGGATTTGATTGTTGAACAAATCCAATTTAGCCTACATCAGTGTATATATCGATCACAATAGAAGCATAAATATAATGATTTGGTATGCGATCTAAATGCAAACACTCGTTTCTATCTTGCTGAAAGTGCATTATCTGTGCGCGGCTTTTGTGGTGATGAAATAAAATATGGAAGCATCTGGTTTGGAAGCGCCGCGCATCGCATTTCTACGAGCTGCATGCGCAAAAACATAAACAATCTAAATATAAATCGAAAAGAATTTCTTCTTCGTTCACGGCGAATGTATGTTTTGAACTTTCTCATCGACATTTCTCTCTCTTGCGGGCAAACGCACTGTAAACAAATCCGATCGAAGATTAATTTTCCATCCGAAAAAATCAGCTGGACTTAATGCTTATGGCGTGCGTTTCGCTCGACCGAGGTAAACGTACTCGGCATGTGTGTCAAAACGTTGGATTTTCACCATACTTTTTCGTCTTCTTTATGCTTTAATTGCATGGGCATGGGCACTCATGTTTATCGCCGCTATAAACACTTGCCATTTTTCATGATGAAATTCTCGAGTAAATTAACATAGCCAGTCGCAGGAAATCGGGTACGATAACGAGTTCCCGTTTCGCTTGGCATTACGAAAGTGAATATTGTGGCTCAACCCTGTTTTTTGTTTTGGGTGGTTGCAATCGGTGGTTTCAATTACGCACACAGCGCAACGTAACTAATCAAAACTATGGCACAAGAAGAGTCAACGGTATGTCGCTGTTCAAAGTTTCTTTGTTCACGCGATGTTCTTGCAATCGAAATCGAAAGTGTGCGCTAGTGTGTGGCCGTGATATCGCTACCAGCCAAACAAAATAGCAATGCTGAACGTGCTTCACACAACCAAACAAATGGTTTGGAATGTAGTATTTCATTTGATTTTCAGCAAGCATAAGCACCAGCAGCGTTTTGTTTGCATTGAGTTTCTATGATTTGAAGATAAACAAAAAGTAAAAAATTAAACAACATCGAAAACAAGTGAGTTGAGACCTGCAAAGTGAATCTTGTTTCAAGAGCAGTGAATTGGAAGCGGCCGATTCTTTTTTTTTTGAACAACTGTGAATATTAAATAAATAACCGTTTTCTTCGTTGGAATTTTAACGATGGTTCTTTCCCGTTGCACATTGCACGCCTTGCAATTCAGTAATGCATGTCCACGAGCTAGTCAATGTGATGTTATAACATCAAAACGGAATGTGCATCGAGTGCATTATGCGACCAAATGCCGTGCATTTTATCATTTCGACCGACTCGTCGATACCGTCTAATAAGGGAAAGACCTTTGAAAGAACATTTCGGATACATTCTATAAATACTGAAAACGCAGAGAGTTTGTTTACTTGTAATGCCTAGTTCGATGCGCTCGAACGATCGCGAACAAATCAGCCAGAACATTTGAACATTCTCAACAAAATAAATAAATACAGAAATTCCCTCACTCTTTTTCTCTTCTTCTAAGCGGCTAAAACAAGCAAATTGGGTCAACGTAATTTTATGTGCGTTTTTCTCTCTTTCTCTCTCTGATGTAATCAAAATGTAGTAAATTATAGAATGTCTCGTGCTGTAGATACTGAAATACGATATTGGCACATATGTGTCGCGATCTGTTGACTCGAAACTATCATTTCAGCGAGTGAGAGAGAGCGCGTAAGAGAGACTTGTTGAACGATCGATGATGCGAATGTTCTTGACATTTTCTAGTGCTGCGAAAGTTCAATCTCACTCAAAAGTGAAAGAAAAAACAGAAACACAGCGAACGTATCCAGCTGAAAAATGCGATTTGTCTCCATTATGCCTCATTTTCAACATTTATATAAAATTCTAGAGCAAATTCTCTCGTTTGAATGTGTGTGCGTGTTGTTTTGGTTAAAAATAAACCGTATCGCTGTGTGTGAGTTCAAAAGCATCATTAATGGGTCACGTCTTTATTCTAGCCTGGATTAAAATAAATCCTCCGAATGGCTTTCATCGTGTAAAACTCCGGGCGAAAAATGATAATTGGAAAATTAAGTGTGTTGTAACCATTTTTACAGATTCTCAACAGTAAATTGGCTCGATTCAGTGGCGTATTTACGCATCGTTGGGCCCTTTAAAACTATGGGCAATAAAACCGAACGATGTACAACATAGCAAAGTCCATAAGCCAGGCAAAGTCTGTAAAAGAAACGCAACAAATCACTCACTGGAGATTTGTTTACCTCAAAAAAGCCGATTCACAATCATATTTTCATTTGAATATTAAAAAGAAGCCGCGCATTGTGCGAACGCGAGAAACGATTGAATAATTTAACGAATATGCAGTTTTTATGCATATAAATCACTGAAATCAAAGTGACTTGAACTCGCTAATTAAAAATTCCGAGCTGCGTATTTCATATGCGTCCGCCCCCAAATGATTTTAATGAATTTCTCGAGTTTCGAATGTGATAAAATGTGTCAGAGCTCTAATCAAATTTACGAGACAGTTGGAATTGAATTAAATGCACGCATGCAGCCCATTCGAGTAATAAAATGAAATCATAGGTTTTTAACGAGAAATAATGGCGATTTTGGTTCAATATGTCAACTTTTGATGGGAATTATACGCAGAAGATGAAAGAAAAATAGGCCGCAAATTAAAAATCATTGTGATTTATACTTCAACACAGAAATTCATCGTATTGAACCCTTAAAATGCAATCATTTTCGGGTGACAAAGTGCGAATTGAATGAAGCGTGAGTTGCGAATATCATATCGCATCAAACACGGTGCCAACAATATTCACATCGAGTAAACACACCCTAAAACATTTCACCGAACAGCGGTTAGCCGCCTAATTGAAAAGTAAACAGCACGGCATGTGCACGGTATTTAACGTCGAATCGATATTTCTGTTTGATATCATGTCGGGTCGAGCATTGCTTGTGTCACATGCACTTCTAATGGCCACAGTCACGAAACGGCTTCAAATGCCCGGGAACAATGGTTAAACAGTGGTTAATATAATTCACTCGATTCAAACCCAGCGCTAACTAGATTAGGAATAACATGCGATTTTGAGGTCCTGTTGTCGTTTTTTTTTTCATTTAAAAGGTGCGCTTCAATGTGCACCCATGGATGACAAAGGCAGTCAGGGGAACGTAATGACACTCTTTTTTTCTTCTATCATAACAATTCAATTTGCAGACGAAAATAAACGTTTAACTAGAACAGTTAAATGGATATGAATTGCGCCGTTTTTGCCCATTACAAAGACGATCTCGGTTTTTGTTTTACTTTTCAACGTTCGATACAGCCCAAAATAACAAGTCAATTGGCACGGTGTCAATTGGTGTGTGAACCGAACTGTTTGAAAAAAAAAAAATTAAAAGGCCATCAAATGAATCGGAATGATTATGTTATTTTTGTTTGTTTGTTTCATTCGTCATATTCACGTATTAGTTTGAATGAGTCGCGCTTTCGTGAGGTCATTTGACCTTGAATATTGACTGTATAAATTTGCCCAGAATTCTAGCGAATGGAATGGCAAATAAGAAGAAATCGTTCTTTCAAATCGTGCTATCGTCGACGTAAGCACCAATTTTAACCATCCCCCTGAAAACCGGAATGCCATTGTAAAGTAAATTTGGTGTTGAGTTTCTCGTAAACTTTTTCATTGTGTTTGTCGTTAGGAGTACGATGTTTCCGGCCTAACGCAGACGATAATTTACTCATTTTCGTTATAGCTCATATAACAAGAGTCTGCAAAAATGCTCACAGTTCGCCCGGCTCGTTCCTTTGCCAACGTATAATTTAATGAAATGACAGCAATTTGTCGCATCGGAACCGATTAAATCGTTTGAGTGTGAGAAAATGCCAAGTTTAATTAGAAATTGATTGAAGCTAATTCAATGTCAAAAAAACGACTTGGAAGTGAAAATGAGCCACTGATGGAAAACAAAGACACCTAACCGCACGAAGAGTCGGTATTGGATGTAATTTTTGGCGCAATTAATTTGAACGAAACCACAATCTTGGGCGATAATTTCATCATTTAATTTCTAATTTTCGAAATTTGATGTCGATGCGAGCGTAGGCAAAGTGTACGAATAGAAACGATGGAGAGTTGTAACAAGGTTAACCACTGAATATTCAAATTCAATCAATTTCTATGAACTGCGCGACTGCAGCATAACGTAACCGCAGAACATGAGCATTCGCTCAACACATACAGCGGTGTTCGTGTGAAACACGACATAAATTTTCTACTTTTAAGCCATTCGCAAATAAATGTGCGTGCTCAAATGCGTTTTAACTCTGGATTTGGTGTAGGAAAATGTGTGTCATTTATTTAAAAAAAAATATAACCGAAGCACAATTATTTTCAGTGGCTGTTGAGAAACAAAAAAAAAACCTTATCATTTCATTTATTGAGTGAGTGAGCAGTGGAGCATTGCAAAAAACACACACTGTTTCTACAGTCATGTGCAATTCAGACGCTCCGCAGATACAAACATGTTTGAAACCCGAAAAAATACAAACACACAAAGACACATTTTGCACAATTTGTTGTTCATTGAAGAGAAATTGAAGTTAAAAATTGAAGCCGAACTGATGTGGGTCCACGAAAAGCGAAGTCTATTGATAAATTAGCACTTCTCTTTTCATTTCAAATAATTAACTGTTTTGTTGTCATGAATGTGTG